AATTTGAGAACAAATGACAAATAAATGAGATTTAACCTTTTGTAACTATTCAAAACTTGCTATTTTTAGTCAATTTTGACCTTGACCTTGACCTAAATGCAAAACCCTGAGTTCAGGTGATCTCAAAAGTATTACCAAATGAATTGGCATCCCCAAGTTAGTTGGAAATGACACCTTAAACGTTTTTCTGGTGTATTTGGTTCAAAAGTTAAGCGTGTTTGTACATTAGACCATGCGGACAAGCGGCCATTTTGGATTCGACCTCTCAGGGTCATCAGAGGTCAAATCTGACTTCCCTCCACATCTGAAAATAAATCTTATGGTGAAAGCAAACTATGCTGGAAGTTTCATGCTTTTCTCAAAAAGTGCACAATTTTCTTGCTAAGCCGCTGCACTATTTAAGGCTTTGGTAGTTCTATGCCTGGACCTATGTACAGTAGCCTATCTGATTCATCTGGTTCAGAGGCTGCACAATTTATTCAAGTGACGATGAAAGAGAAAGTATTTTAACAATGCTTGAAAACACCACTCAATTTACAAACTATCCATCGCATTTGCCGGTGATTGCATAGCTAAAAATACCATTCAAACTTTTTTACCCTATGCCTAATTGGCAGACTGATAAACTTATTTTGACAAAACGTTTTTGAAGATAAGCAGTGTAAAGTTATTTTCAATTCATAAGTACACAAGTCTGCATAACTAAATAATCAAAATTAATAAAATACAAAATATCGATAGACGAAATTCTAATATGACAATTAGTGATTTACCGGCCTACATATATATTAGTTTGAAAGTCAATGGTCAAAGAGGTCAAGTCACAAGAAAGTTGTACACAAAGAATCATTTATAAAATACATTTTTTTGGAAGGGTATTGTCTCATAAACTTTAACACACAGCTAAGGGCATTTTCTGGCTCTGAACAGACAAATTGGTGGGAACTTTAAAGGCTCATCTTGAGATCAGGTACATGTATATGAATGACAGCAAATTAATATTCTCAATTTCTCACTATACAATGAAAGATCCTCATAATTTTCAAGACTACAACTAAATGGAATCTGCCCAACGATTTTTGATAGAAGGTATAGATTAGCTGATTAATGGGAATGATCAAATTGTGGGTGACCGTTTTAAGGAAGTGTTGTTTATTAATTAATCTTCATATTACTGGTCAAAACAACCCATCCACAACATGATTCATAGTTCATGATCTAGTTTCAATCATAGAACTCTGGAATGCATGCAGCTTTAAAACATTTTGCTCCTATTTGTTTTTATCACCATACAGGTTATAAAACTGTGTTTATATGGCATATTATTTGTAATCAGTCTTAGTAATGATTGCTTCAAATAGCTTTCAACATTGCAGAAAACTTGCACCCCCATGCACAGTCAAATTAATAACATTCTGATCGCTTGAATCAATAAAGCAAGATAACAAAATACAACCCCTCCCCCCCCCAAAAAAAAAAATGCAGTTAATATAAATATATATATATACATATATTAGCCACTTGTGCAGGCAATCTTATAGTGAACTTTCATGTCTTTCTATTAAGTATTTCAGAATAAATGTAAAATTCCTAAACTTCTAATTTGTTTTCCTCTTAAAATGTTTAAATATATATGAGCAATTCTTTATATATTTGATTCAAAGATATATTTCTGTTGTATTTAGAAATAAACATGTGGTCTTGTGGAAAAGTAAAGGCTTCACAATGCAGAGATAATATTAGTTCGATCCTACATACTCCTGTATCCTATTCTAATGAAGGAGACACATGGCTCGATGCGCTAACTAGTGCCCTTGGTAAAGCATTACCAAGTCCCTCGGAGAGGATTCAAAGCTGGCGGTCCACTGGTTGCTTACTTTAGTACAAGCATACACACGCTTTCTTAGCAGTCAGGTAAAACAAACTACCAAACCAAACCATAACATGTCTTCCATATGTTGTACAATGTAAATTTAATTCACATTGACACAGATAAAAGGTTTATTCATTGGGATATGCTTGGTAGTGAAAAGTTTTCATGTTCAATAAAGAGTTATCATGATTTCACTATCTAAATTTTGTATTGATTTGACTAAATATTGGACCATGACTAAGTTGAAAAGGATATAGTTAATGTTAATTTTGGATTTAAATAGCCTAACTACATGTAATTTTCTGTCCAAACATCTCAATATGGAGAAGCCCTTCTGGCTCCAAACAGATGATACATGTACCTACATGTATTGTGGTTCAGAAATTGAAAAAAGTGTCAATATTTGGCCAACATGTCTTTGGATTTCATGTCATAGTATAGCACAACAAATATTCAGCTGAGGAGGCTTCTACTTTAAAAGCCTCATATACCCCATACCAATTTCTTGCAAATTTAAGGGGGTAGGATTCAATTCATTGAGTAATCTGATATGGAATGACTTTAGAACACTTGTACTTGTAGTTTTAAAAAATGACACATTCAGCATTTGTTTTTAAATGATTTATTTATCATGGAGAAATACCATGGAGAGAGTAGAGAACTAGTTTTCCTGCCACTTTTTTTTATCAGCCTCATGGATGGAAATTGTTTCAAAACTCATATTACGGGGAGCTATGTTTCTGCAGGTGCTTCTGTTAATACAAGAAAACGAAAAAAGAAAAACAAGGAGTTCCAACTTGAGAAACACCTGAGTATCTGAAAGGAAAAACAGATTGGTCCTGCTGAAAATTTCCCCAACTTATGCTGTCTTGTCATCCTAAAGGCCAATCGTGAAGTAATGATCTGAAATATCAAATGTGGTGAACATGTAGATCATGATGCATGTAAAATTAAATTATATGATCTTGACATACATGTACAATGTGACAAAATTACATTTGCAGGTGATCTGCTGAATGTATATATTTCTCAAAAAGTTGTGTACATTATATTTTGTATTTTTCTTTTGATTGACAACAGGCAACTAAGCTAAAAAAGTGGAAGGAACAACGCTAACAATAAAAACAAGAAAGTGATTACACCATTACAACTACATACATGGAATAATGTATGAAGTACAGTGATACATATCCCTTACTCATGGTCTTTTCTACGTACATCATGTTCTCATTGTTCTGTAGCTAATTACGGCAAACAAGAAGCAGTAAATTTCTTCAGGACTTTGAATTAGAAAGCAGAAACCCCAGAAAAGCTGTTAAATAAATGCTGGAATAAGGGACAAATGATATGAAAATGATGAATGTCTGAAACTTTAGATCGCTACATGGAAATCACATGATATAAGTTAATTACGGTAATAATGCGAGTACAATAGGTACGACTACGATCTACATGTACATGAAATCAACCACAAACAGTCCATCAATATTTGTAAATGATACTTTAGTTTATATCATACAGTTTAGTGGCTTTCCCATGGGAGCTGTACACTCAAGATATAATCATGGATGAAGAGTACAATGCTATTATACCCTGCTTTTAAAAAACTCATATTAGTCATAAAGAAGAGAAACATTTTTCTTTAAAACTTATTGAATTAAAGAGCTGTACAATGTACAGTGAAGTGAGCAATTTCGCTACTTCAAGATGCACATTTCAGTGATCTCAAATCTCAAACTTATCACTGTCTTTACTCTTTATTCATAACTTAAATTGATTATTATTAAAGATGAAGTTGAGTTCTGGTCGTGCGATTGCATAGTGAAAGAAACGGTGTGGAATCGACCAGTAAAGGTTGATCATCTAGCATATAAGAATTTGTGTGTATTGCAAGGTTCTGGAATCATCAAAATGATAATAAATTTGGCCAAGTCTTGGTAAAGTTACAAACACTGTACGCAGAAATATGTATATGGGACTACACGAACATGTGGCGTAAAAATCCTACCCCAAGTTTTACGATGTTACATGACATATTTAGAATATGAAGGCATTTGAAGAGCCATGCTTTTCAGGGAACATGTCTTATATGATGTTCTTCCACACTTGCATAATAAGAATGATAACGCTCACAAATTATTTTTCACCACGTTATCATTGTCCTGCCACTTGGGTAGCTATAGCCATAAAACTTATCAAAATAAATAAATAATGTTTTATCAACATCAACTTTACGCAGACTGTTGATAAGAAACATCACCATAGTACGTACAATCAACAAGTTGGGGAATGAGTTGGGCCATAATAAAAAGGGTAGGCAAATCAATATAGAATTATACTATTTATAGCACAACATGAATAGCAATTTGTTAATTCACCATTATTATTAGACAAAAAGCGTCAGTCTCTGATATTGACAGTTGTTCCGCTGAAACTACTTCTGGCTTCACTGGCCGCCCGCTATTGCATCGTACAGGTTAGATGGAGTGAGGGCAGGTTACGCAATGCAGTATGTGAGTAATTTTCGATCTTATAGCGCGCAGTAGCTTCAAGAAACGGACAGATTAGCTGGCAGTAAGTTATATTTTGATTTTTTACAATTATTTTCGATGTTATTTTTTACAAATATGAAAATCAGATCTATTTTCTATCAAATTATCAATTTTTCTATTATCAAACAGATAAATCTAGATAAAAATAATCCTGTGTATGGGGAACGTCGACAAATGTCAGTTTTATTAAAGAATTCCCCATACCAGATGGTCTTCTTCTTCTTCTTCTTCTTCAAGATAATCTGCCTCCTTCAATACTGACAAATTCCATGTTAAATCAGATCAGTCATCTTATTCCCAGTCTGATTTCAGAATCCTATTCCAAAATTAGAAATATATATATCTCCTCATTTCTTCTTCTTGTTTTTTTTTTGTTGTTGGTCGAATGATGCCTCCACAATCTTATTAAAAAGAGACATTCGATTAATAAGAGATCACTGACATGGCCATGGCTCGGCCTCGGAGTATCTAAACTTCAAATGATGACAACATCATCACCTACACCGCCATCAAAGCCTTCCATGACGACTAGACTGCGTATAAGGTTTGTGAACGGTACTCTACCATTTTCTTACCTGATTTTTCATGACGACCCCCAAATCGCCTGCTTTCATGATATCCCTGACGATGGAACCCGCTCTGTTTGCTATCGACACCGACGCCGACATCAGTCGCATTACCAGGGAGATTTCAGCTGCCATCTCGACGTTGAAACAAGAAATTACTGCGTTCTAAACCTTCAGTTTTCAGTAATAAATTTTTCCAACCAGTTCCACGCAAGATGCTCGGCCGTCCACTTTCATTCGTCCCTCTGAAATATGTCGTAGCGCGGCGCGGTAGGTATAGCTAGCTAGCTGCGCTGGTAAGCACTCCAGCTGCTGGAATATTGCGATGCACTGCAGCTAGCTCAGTGCTGGGTATGCCCGCCTATGCTATGGGCGGATATACGGTGTGTGCATGCACGGATGGAGATTGTGCGTTTCGGAGCTTCTGTTTTTATTCATAAAGTAAAATCGTAGAGATCGGCCGGCTCTGCGCGTTTGTAGCGCGCGCTCACACATACGCGTGGGAAAACGGAAATGGTGTTTGAAAAATGTAAACAAAACATTTAAAAAGTAGGTCAAGGTTACTTGCTCATGTGTTTCTAGTCCCGTCTAGTTATTTAATGTATTTTTTATTTTTGGACGAAAGTAACAACGTGTACCATACGTTGTATGTCTGGACAGTTGAGGAAGTTTATTTCACAAATCTTCAGTTTAGACAATCTGTGTAGATCTAGGACACCTTTTTTAATGATGGTCAGTGCTATTTGATGCATAATTTTCAGAAAATTCAGAAGGTAGAAGGGAAGGCTTAATTTGTATTAAAGCTAAAGACCAGTAGTCTATTGGAAATGCCCCAATTTCAAAAAATGAAATGGAAGCTCTCATTACCAATCATGTGAAAGAATATGTTTTGACTAATACATGATGATAAAAAATTTGCCGGGAAAACGCCTACTAATTCATATATTTGGTAAATATGTTTCTCTCATGGTCTGTGAGAGATATAGGGTAGTCCCATATACATCTTTCTGTGTATAGTGCTTGTAACTTTACGAAGAATGGGCCAAATTTCTTATCATTTTGATGATTCCAGAACCTTGCAGATGCTAGATGCTAGATGATCAACCTTTTCTGATCGATTCCACAACGTTTCTTTCACAATGCAATCGCATGACCATAACTGGTCTTTACCTTTAAGCGTCCGGACACACAACCCCCACCATAAGCAATCAACTGAATCAAAAGCAGCTAATAAACTCTCAAATGACAATGGTTTTCACAAAATATTTCATTTGACCTTATCTAATAAGCTTGCACATTCAAAATAATAAGACATGATTTTTTTTTGTTCAGTGACAGTCTCTCAGTTGGGCTTGATTTCATGAGCAGCTATAATAAGGGCTTTTTCACTGAATTGAGGATTAAGTGCTTGCACTTCATGATAGCAGTTGACTTTGAATGAAAGCATCCAAGAATTCAGACAATCGTATAGACAGGAAAGTTAATAAAAACAAAAACCTCAGACATATGAGAGGACAGGACAGATTTTGTATTATAGGATTACAATGTAATCCGCAACATCTCTCCATTCAATTTCTAATTGAAATTTCATTAATGCCCATGTTCATTTTTGATACGTGACTCGGTAACATCGTTAAATGTTGACAAAAAAACTGCATAATTTTTGTATGAAATGTTACTTATTATATTCCTTTGACTGGCACTAACCCTCTGAAATGCAAAAAATCCTGAACAAATTCTGAAACCACAAAGATATTTATGGTTTGCTTTGAAGGCGTTACTAAGCAGGCGCGTACGCAGGGGGGGGGTTTGGGGGTTAAACCCCCCCCTTTGGAAATTTTTTGTGTGTAAACCCCCCTAAAAAAAAACCTAAAACCCCCCCTTTTGGATTTTTTTTTTTTTTTTTTTTTTTTTTTTTTAATTATTAAAAAAAAAAAAAAAAAAAAAAATTATTCCCATGGCCGACCTAAAAAAGGTGACCTTACCCCCCCCCCAACGGAGCAAAATGTCAAATTTCCAAATTTCGAGACCAAAAAAAAAAAAAAAAGTGTCCTCTTACCCCCCCCCCCCCCCCCCCCCGCTTATTCAGCGGTCGGCTGAGTCGTTGCGATTTTTTTGGGACCAAAAAAAAAAAAAAAATGTGTCCTCTTACCCCCCCCCCCCCCCCCGCTTATTCAGCGGCTGGCTGAGTCGTTGCGAAATTTTCGGACCGATTTATAAATGTTAAAACCCCCCCCTTGAAAAAATCCTGCGTACGCGCCTGTTACTAAGTGACACCCTCTAACAGTAAATTCTCCTAACCATTTTTGAATTTTTCCCAACCGTTTTTCCATGAAAAATAGACATAAGACAGGCTTTTAAAAATCTTTCAACTCTTAAATGTCTAGAATGGCTTATAGAGCCAGTTCATTGCTTTGTGACGATTTACATTCACTTAAAATGTAATTCAATTGATATAATATTTGCGAAAATTATGGAATTGATCAGATCAGTTTTTCCCAATTTTTATCATTAATAATAATGGTCTGTTTTCACTCAAACTTTCGGATTATCTTTAATTGTACCGGTACATCTAGCATTGATGTCACCACCTTTGCACCATTTTCTCGCATCTGAACAATGTTACCCAGTCCCTTTAAAGCCCCTTTTATATGACTGCAAAAACAATGTTTTTAAAAAGGATTTTTTGTTGTAATGGTAGGTCTACAGCATTTCATTATGTTTCCAGCTATTAATCACCATATTCATGAAAATGGTAACATTGCCTATTACTTGTGAGAAACATTATTGTTTTTTTATTTTAATTATTATTGTTGTTATTTTCCTATTATTGTTTTATTATCTACTTGACACACACAATGTTTACAGCAAGTTAAGATGAGAATTAAGAATTGCCAATTATTTTGATGTTCTCACTGCTTATGATAGGTTTTTAAAACAATATGTTAGGATACAGTTTGATAGTTTAATTTGCTCCAAATTATGGATTATAGGCAAAGCAAGAGATAAAAAAAAAGGTGATATTCTTCTCTTGTTTTTCTTTTCCAAGGCCAAGTCTAGTCCGTACAGTTCATTCATCAACTTTCTTTTTCTGTGGGGAAGGTTATTTGATGTTATACCATGGATCTATTCATTTTTTTCTTCTAGTTTTATTGATAAAGTAATATAATACTAAATATTGTTCAGGTTCTACCGATTCTTGGGATCCTATAATTATGATTAAGATTACCGGTAAGAAAGTTGAACATTTGTTATCATGCACTATACTTCCGCCCGCCGTCGGCTGGATTTATCGGCCAAGGCAACTAACTACCGGTAAACTTCTCGACTCCAGCTCATGCAACGTTATGTAACCCAGCAACCGATTTCGTCGTTGTGAACCGTGCATGATCTTCTTACAATGGTGAGTAAAATGGTCGTAATTTACATGGTAATTCATGAATATTATTCGGAAAAATGTAATACACATAGTGTGTGGTTTTAAGGTGGGTGCTATTTGAAATAAATTGTACCTGAGAAGCGTGATAAAGAGTGTTCAATATGTCGCCTACGGGGCGTCGCATTCTGCGATCCCTAGCCTTTCAGCAGGGCATGGATTGAACTGAGCAGCCGTTGAGATGAGGGTGGCAGAGAATCGGCACGCCGTACACTCGCAGTGCAGTATCCGCTCATCTCGCATATTTACATGGGCGTCTATTTACTTCTCACGTATATTCTTATCCGAGTCAGTTTTATCTGCACTCTGACATTGATACTATCATGATTATCTCCCCAAAGATTTGCGTGAATCTTCTTTGAAGGATGCTGACAACTTCAAAGAAGTATATATCCAAGATCTTTCCCCAATTAATATGTAGAATATTCCTCTGACTTCTATCATAATAAGAAATGGAAAAAAACACTGGGAGAGCATTTTTGTTAGATAATCACAGTTACAAATGAATTGTTTTAGACTCAACAATAAGGCCAACTAACAAAACTTAAGGAGTTCCCGTCCGCGCCCGCTTCCATTTTGACCGCTGCTTCCTTTTGTTTACAATTTACTATTCAAGGAAATAAAGCAACAACAAAAAAGCGCCTTTTTTTTTTACTTGGCCTAACTAGAAAATAATTTCAAAGTACAACAATGAGGGCATCGTAACGATTTTGAATAAGTCTCTAAAAAGTATAGGGGAATATATTTCCAACTCCGAATTTTTCATACTTTTTTAAGGTTATGTCATAGTTCTGATTTGTGTCTCACTACCCTTAGATATTTTTAAACCTCTTTTCGATCAGCACATTTGAAATGTTTTTTAGGAGTGGACATTAAAGGTATTACAAAGTTTTGGGAAATTTTGAAAAATGGATGGATAGTTATTCTTTACAATTTTGATATATTTGGATGCCCCTGTGAATGTATTAAAAGCACCAGAAATTTTAGCCCCTAAAACATTTCTGCTTTCGAGAAAAAGTGAATATAAAGATTTACCGGTGCTCCCGGTAAATATTGATAAATTTCAAATAGCTCCTACGGCCGTACAATGGTAGCTGCGACCATGAAAATCTCAGAGTCTGTAGTTGTGGTATATAATTTCCGAACGAGAATAGCTAATCGGTCGATTTTAGTCAATAGACATTGTTTTATAGCTTAATTAAAATCTTGACCTTGAGAGGGAGCTATTCAACATAAAGAGTTTATTATTCATAATTTCATAACTTTAGACTCGATTTCAACCGCGACAACGATCACTGAATATTGTAGGATCGCATACGCTTCCAATTTGTTCATTTAAACCAAATTCATGACCCCTTACCAAAACTTTGTATTACCTTTAACTGGACTTATGCCTATCATTAATCTTTTGAGAGAATTTGGAAGAAATCTTTCTTTAAATAAGGGATCTATACATGGCCATCTTTGGGACTGGGTTGTGGGATGCAAACTCACCATAATTTTTTTCTGAGGGAGAAACACTATCAGACAAACCCTGTTTTCAAAGGTATTTCATTACTATTGTCCATTTCTTTTTTAATTGATTTTGTTGTGGGGGGGGGGGGGAATGCTCTGCCACTTACCAGGCTACAACACTGATTTTTTTGTTTGCTGTTGACATTTTTTGAGATAGACCACATCCTTCAAGAGTATGATGAGTTTACAAAAATAGAAGAAAAATTGTCTAATTTATAAATGCAATTAAAATCAATGACTTTCATTTTTTTAATGTAAGAAAGAACTGTTACCTATATGTAATTATTTCCTACTATTCAGTTTTGTTTTTACCGATATGAACTGCACATTGATGATACAGCTAGTTTTTTATATAATATATGAATGTAAACATGGTACTCTTCTGCATGAAGAGGGAAAATACACCTTGGAATAGTTGTAAAAAAACTTATTGCTGTTGGTGAATCTAATCAGAGATCTGAAGAGATCTGCAGAGATCACTCTCATACTGCCCTCTCGTGACAAAATGGAGCATAGATGTTCAGTAAGTACTAAAATTGGAATACACTGACGTGTCTTTTGGAATACATGTACAAGTAAGGAAACATGATCAATTTATTTTCCCCAACTATACTCATTTGCATTAATCTATTAGCATAAATATGTATTTATGTATGATTGACCAGTGCTAATAAATATGCCAATGTAAGGTCGTATTCATGGTGAGTTAATGTGAAATGTTATCCCATACCTTCATAAATCCTTTTTGTAATGGATACTTGATGAAAGGAAGTTGGCATCGTCTAAAAAAGGATTCCCTTTTGACCATTAACAAGTCATGGTATGTTGTGAAGGCATTTTTTTTGGCAGGGATGAAAGTCCACCATCTCCCCCACCCCCACTTATTGAAGTTTTGGCCTGCTCGTGCATCTCAGTTGCACCATTAAACTGTAGTACAGGCTGGAGGTTCAAAAACTTGAAAATACAATAAGGAGATCATTTTAAAGTTTGAACTATGATAATTAATCAATTAGGCCTACATCCCCCTCCTTCTCACGCAAGCCTTTTTAATGGCCATTACCAAGCAATATAAAATATGGTTTAAGGTGCTTTAAGTCTCACATTATGAGAGACTTCCTGTCTTTATTCAATCAGACCAGTGTCAATGGTATAGGTACTCTCCTGGCAAGGCTTCTTCCCTATCTCTGTTTGTCTTTTCCCTTTTCATGACAACACTATGTTTGGGTCAGATTCTGAAATGCTGCTCAGTTCACTTGAGAATTGAAATATATATTATATATCGTCAGTGGGGTGACAAAACCTTGTATCTCAATTTTTTGAGATTTTGATTTTTTTGCATAATTTTGTACATAATGGCCTACGACACCACCTGATAAATCCATGGAACGCCTCCTTCTCGGTTTTTTCACACAATTCCACACAAACACCCTTAAACTAAATCTTGTAATTTTAACCCCCTTTAAAGCTGCACTGACAAAACCTCGTAACATAAGATACGTAATTCCTTTTCCTTGTACATCACACACGGCCTAACAGTACCGAAGTTAGTGTATTCAAATCCTCGTACCTTATTAAACCAAATCCTCGTAACTCATTCAGAGTTGAAAGTAAAAACTTGTATCTCAATTTGAATAAAAACTAATAACTCATATCTCAATGTAGATAAAGGCAAAAACCTCATAACTCACTTTCAAATATAAAAACAAATATTTTACTGTATTTCAACAATGACATTAAGAATTGTATAAATATTCCAGTTTTAAAAAGAAAGGGCGGTGTCACAGCACTAAATTTGTTGAGACAGGAAAGTTTTTTCGCTCTCCTGAAAATTCATGATTTTTGAGATACAAGGTTTGGTCACCCCATCGAGGATATATATATTTCAACTAGACTAACATCTTGACATGTTTGTAATAGTAATTGAATAGTTTATCACTTATTTATCCCAGAATGTTAGAAAATTAAAGCCCCCACAATATTTCAAATGTTTATCAGTGATACACCTTCAGCAATTTTTTAATTGAGAATATTAAGTACACCTGTTTTATATTGGTACCATAGTAAAATAACTCCTGAGCCCTAAGTATTATCTTCATTATATTAGAGTAATTACATAGGTCAAAGGTTATGAAAAGTCAGCATTAAGTCCGAGACTAGCCCTATGGGAACTAGTCATTTTGGTGTTATAGCTCCTATAGCCTGGTCTGCAGGGGTTTGATCATGAGTGAGGGTTACCGTATGTAACTTTGCTGCCATTCAGGGGTGGCGGAGCATCTTTCAAAGTGGGGGTAGACCAGCAAAAAAGGCAATCTTCTTGAAAAAGGGCACCTATAAAGGGTAACCTCAAAGTGAAAAAAAGAACTGTTGATACCTGTTTTGTGGTTCCAAGATACTGCTTCAGCATCGTAATTTGCAGTTGTGTGTGTTTGTCTGAACTTCTTAAGATTCTTTTGTGAGCAAGCAACGAGCAAGCAAAATTTCCATTTTCCATTTCTATGAGAAATATATTGTTTTGGGGGAGATGATATAATAATACTGCCTCTAACATGAATGGCATTTAGTAATGTAAATGCAGTTACCATGACTTTGGAAACTCCTTCATTGTTTAAACCTTCATGTTATGATTGGTATGAAGTTCAAAAGGGCATGGGATGTGAGAGGTTGTAAGTGTAAAAGGGGCACACGTTTTATATTAAAATGACTAGAGTAGGGAAATTTAATAGCATTGAAAATGAGCACAGTTATATTCTAAAAGGGGCATGTTTTTATTTTCTTATGAAATTTGGGACCCTGCCCCCCTCCCTAGTGACAGCCTTTCATCAAGGTGGTAGAAAGGGGAAATTCATGTAAAAACAGGAACTTATCAGAGGGCAGTTATTTAAAAAGGAAAAGCGGAAAGTGTCCTAGTAAAAGAGGCCCTTCTCAGAGGTAAATACGGGCAATTCTCACACCTGAAAAGGGGCTCTCATCAGAGGTGAAAAGGGGCATTACCGGTAATAAGAATATGAGATAGGCATTTATTACAAGAAAAAGGGGCACTTATCAAAGTAAAAGTGGCACCTACCAGATTTTTAGGGCACTTTTCAGAGGTGAAAAAGGGCACTTATCTGAAGTAAAAAAAGAAAGGGTGGCACATTTCACATGTAAAAAGAGGCACTTTTGGAGTACTTGAAAAGAGTATGGGGGCATTTTGCACCCCTTTCCCCCTTGGAGTGCTGTCTCTAATGCCATCGGCCCAGGGCTATAACTAAATAAGACATTGGGTGTCATGGCTGTCAATATTCAGTCTGTTCATAAAAGCTGTTAGGGTGTAAATTATGACTTCAACAATCCAACATATACAGTATAAATACAGTACATATTTTTTTTAAATCTTGTAACATTAGAGCAGATACAGGTTGATATAGCTGATAATTGCTCTATTTGCTCAATACCTCCAATTATGAATAACTACAAAATATTACCAACTAACTAACTAACTAACTATCGAATGTACTACGAGAGGGAAGAGGGAGAGAGATGCATATCATATCACTCCCATTTTGGTTGGTGCACTCTTCCACAACTGTCAACTCATACTCCAATTGGCAGGTGTTGATTGTGTTACTGTTACAATGTGCAATATCATGATTGAACTTTCTCTTTTATGTATCATTTGCAATGATTTCAAATATCGATACTCTGTTTTTTCCTGAGTCATGACCTTTTCAAAATACCCTGCTTTCATCCTGTTGCATCTGTCATATTTCTAAGCATTGTATGATATGTTATAAGATCTCTGTAAAACTCTGTATATTTAAAAAGAAACATTCATGAAGTCTACATTAAATGCAACTGTATGTTTAAGATACATCACCACTCTTATATTTTTGATCTTTTTGTTTCTGGAGATAAGTATTTTGAAAAGTATGATCCCCAATCATTATCTTTCACTAAGCTATATTATAAAAATGTCAGGATTATACATTTTTTTATAGATTTATCTTAAATAATTGTATATTTATTTTTATTTGAATTTTCTATTCAGAATATATTTTGATGTAATATATTTCCTCATCTATTTTGGTTCATATTTAACAGGTGGTCCCTCCCCCATGTTTGCAGTAGCCATCATATTTTGTTCAGCAGTGAATATGCTACAATGCACCATGCAGTCAGATCTGTATAGAGTGAGTCACATTGCAAAGGCACTCGAGGGTTGCAGTCTGAAAATGGCCCTGTATAACTGACAACAGTAACCAGCTGCTTGCAGAGGCTCTTGTGCAAGGTAAGAGGGGGGAGTGGGTAAAGAATAAAAGACAGAGTTGGTGCCTTCCTTCCAAGTTGAATTTAGACCACAAATATCTATCGCCCTGAGTCAAGAGGCAACAAGATTTGGCAAGGAACTGTTGGATCCCGCATTTCTTGCTCAGTCCCTGGATATATTCTGTTGAAAGCATAGATTTGATCTTATGCCAGTTGTGATTTATAAAGGAGTAATGTAGGAATCCTTTCCTAGATCCTATAACTGTCATCAGCATTGGGTGAGTTCTCGTCAACAGACGTTTTGTATCTTTTCGGGACTTCTTATACATTTGATGTTGTTGTTGTTTCATTCAGTCAGGAGTGTTTGCCAAGGTTTGATCAGCACTGGTCTCTTGTTTCAAGACTGGCATCATATTTCTTGTTTAGTTATGACTCTGTTATTTGTCATATACCCTGTAATTCTATTCTGCCATGGTCATTATTAGTTAAATCCCCCCAAATTAGCTGCATGGCAATTTGCCCAAGACTTTTTGATTTCTCAAGTTAAAGTTCCAAGACGTTATAGAATTTTAAATTTTAAATACTTTCAAAATAAAATGGAAATTTCTTGGATTTCTTTACATTTATTACCTGAAAGAATATTAACCATAACAGTTGGAATAATAAAAAAAAAACTCATTTGATGAAGTGATTGTGAAAACATGATTTATTCTTCATAGGTAGAGTTTACATCTTTGTCAGAACTTTATAGATTATGCTAAAAAGTCAGTGGGATTGATCAATACAGTTATAAGAAGATATAAACTTTATAGAATAAACCATATTGTAACAATCATTTCATGAAATCAGGCTCTAACAGTTATTGAACTTCATGGGCAACCATGTAGAACAGCTCCATAGTTGATTACCTTTCCCTGAAGCAATGGCCCCTTGAGCCGACAAAACGCCTTCTACTAGCAATTGGGCTCACTGACTAAGCTCAGTCATGACCAATTTCCAGATTTATTGATACTAACCCGCTTACTTCCCTAATATTGTCAATCATTTCTCAGTGATTTATGATTAGTTTTAAAATACTCTTACATTAAAATCATGTAAATCTTCAATAGCCAAGAAAACTCTTCATTAGTAAGATAATGCTTGATTCTCATACATTTATATTATTTTTTATTTCCTGACTTATGTAGCTAGAACTAGGAAGTACATTGTAGGTATGCATGTAGATTTTAGTTATTTTACTCAAATTTAAACCCTAGGCATAACGGGGGAAATGCAAGAGAACAAACTGAAATTTTTGAGTATTCATTGTATTTGTCATGAATCAGCTATACCTTTGAAACTTGCCTGGGTATTAAAACACTATTAATTTGTCAGGCCATACAAAATTTGTTTGCCCCTCAAATGCATGGTATCAATTTGGTAATATGAACTTATTTTCTAATGAGAATGATCAATTTTAATATTACTTAAGAACTGCACTCTTGTAAACTATGTCACCAATTACTGGTTATACAAAATCAAGAGTGAACAAACAAAATTCTTAAAAATGCATGCTCTCTAAATGGAAATATACTGAATTATGTTTGCTTCTTTCATGTTCGAACTTTTTGCTTTATCATTAATATTGAATGGACCCAACTTGACTAGTCTGGGATAGCCTTTAGGAAAGTTTCTTTGTATCTAGATGCTGAATAAGTGATTTAGATGTTAAAGGTAAAGACCAGTTATGGTCATGCGATTGCATTGTGAAAGAAACGTTGTGGAATCGATCAGAAAAGGTTGATCATCTAGCATCTAGCATCTGCAAGGTTCTGGAATCATCAAAATGATAAGAAATTTGGCCCATTCTTCGTAAAGTTACAAGCACTATACACAGAAAGATGTATATGGGACTACCCTATATCTCTCACAGACCATGAGAGAAACAAATTTACCAAATATATGAATTAGTAGGCGGTTTCCCGGCAAATTTTGTATCATCATGTATTAGTCAAAACATATTCTTTCACATGATTGGTAATGAGAGCTTCCATTTCTTTTTTTGAAATTGGGGCGTTTCCAATACTGGTCTTTACCTTTAAGATATATATTAATAAATTATCTCATTTTCATCCTGACCATGAAACAATATATCCATCTTGTGTCAGTGATGGACATTAAAGCAGCTTACTGTACTTTTCCCCTTAAATATCATCTAAAGTATCAAGAGCAACTGAGAGCGATACAGATCTGTAGAAAGCTAACAATGCAAAGATTAAACTTAATGACAGTAGATTATGAAACATATACCCCATGTTGCTATAGCTCATGATCTTCTTTCACTTCTCACCACAAGTTTACAATAAATGTATTGATGATGTAAGAATGGTAAGGAAGCGGAGATAATCCCTAGGGCAGACAGAGTATTAATCAACATAATCAAAGCATATTAAAGTACTCCAATTAACTTTGTAGATGAGGTCATACACACTTCACTTCTGAGAAAGAAAAGATGATGAACCGATTCATGAGGTCATCTATCTCACCAGTTATTTGTTATCTAGTCTGGAAACTGCTCTGTCTTGTGAAATTGTGCGAATTCTGTCATTAGAATCAAGTAAGAAAGCACTGCATTACCTAGTTGCATTTCTTTTAGTTCCTTTTGAATTATATTAAGTGTAAAAAGAATTTCAAAATTTGATTTAAGAGTCAGAGTGCTAAAAATGCATCTGAATTTCGAGGTGACTCCACAGTTATTGTGATAAATTCAACCAGTGAAATAACAGAACGGGTGCTCTATCATAATATTCATATCTTAAATTATTGTTCTTTAATATAATTTATCTCTTACTCAAATGAATTGTCAACTATTCATTTTTTAAGAGAGTAGTTTAGTACTTCAGAATTTCTATTTCATGAGAAGAAAATTAGTAGTATCGAGGTATATTTTTATTCTAAATTTGGAAGGTCTGTGCAACCAACATCAATAGAGTTAAGAGATAATTCAATCACATGATACATCATGGGCTAAAATGTTATATACTCTTCGGTGCATCTAACAAAGTTTGTCTGTCTGATTTCACATCCCAGCACATTCATGTTCAAAGGAAACAGCTGCCCCAGACAAAGTTTCAAAAGGCTCAGCTGCAGACATGAATTAGCTACAATGTTGAAATCAGAACAAGCATTCAGATATAAAGAAAGAAAAAGTCTGATATGATGGCATGGAATAAGGGTTTCCTATGACCTTCGTTGGCCTCTCACAGGCCCCAGTCTCCCTAGATACTAACACTCACCACTACACCACCAAACCATGGTTGTGACTGGATTTCCGTCTCTGCCTTAAGGGTGTGTTCATGAAACCTTTGCAACCAGAGTAAAGATCATGAAACGCTCATTAGAAGTAGTTGATTTGATATACAATTACCGGTAAGCAGTTCCACATTCATGAAAAAATATTCATATTTCACACAGTGCTTGCCAATAGTTTGTAGCACTTAATAACTTCTTATCATGTTTGTGTTAAATATCACACAGAAACCTTTTATTTAGAGTCTAATAAGGATATTGTTTACAACAAAAATTGTTCAGACTTTGCAATATATGTAATATGACTCACACTTAGGGCTTTTACGTTTACTTACCGGTACTGTGTGATATTGTTTCATATGAGATCATAGTTGCAGTCCTGCAATTTCAGGAAGCGTTATATTTGGTAAACCATGTTAAAAAAATGCACCCGTGTTTTGAAATAATTACCTTTAAAAAAATCATGTTCTTGGGAGAAAAAAAGTTTTCTGGAAAGCTGAAGACAGGGATGTGATGATTTTGTAGAATCTAATACCTGAGTTTTCTGTCATCTGATACATGATGACAAAATGAGATATCAATTTTCCATCAAGTCATGTATATTTCATTGATGACAGATCTGTGATGGTTGATCTTTTTCTGAGAAGCAGACCTAAACGTTTTTTGTGTGAAAATAATATCAAACTTGAATTTTATATCCAACTTTCAAGGGAGCAAAATAATAGTTGAGATTATATTTTCATAAACTTCAACTTTCCTAAATGCTGTACATTACTCTTACTTTCATTTATATTTACTCCAGTTGATAAACTAGACTTTCCATTTTTATCTATTTTGACAATTATGCTTGGAAATAGTCATTCCATACAAAACATTTTGATATTTAAAAAATCTGTCAAAAAGGAGCAAATATGAGTTTTTGGAAATCCCTTCTAGGATCAGAACATCCTGATTTGATAAGTGGAATGTAAGATTGAGGTACAAAGATTATACATTTGATTCATTAGAATGTTGTCTGAAACTATCATCTATGATGACTTTCATATTTTGTAGAAGATATATTTTAAAATAACAAACATTTTGATTTTGTAACTTCTGTGATGACTTTCATTTGTGAAGATATTAGCTGCATACTGACTTTCCGTTGATGGAAATAAGTTTTATATTTGAGGGTAGCATAAGAGGCAGTTTTACTTTGCTTTACTAATTGCTGCTTTTATAGATATAGGTAAAACATATATTAAATGTTTGATCATGTGTTATGATGATATATTATAATTTGGGGGTTTTGAAGGGAAGAAAACAATTAAGAAATTATCTATACTACAATGCATCATGTAGTAATTGTTTGAAACTACAACTCGTCTGAACAAAATTAGCTCAATCATTCCTTTGTACATGTAAACAGCAGCATGAAGAATTCAAATTAGTCTCAGAAAATGTTATCATTCATTTTGATCATCAATAATCATCTTCCTATTCTCATTGCTTTAATCACTCTCGCTACTTGCAGGCCTTATATGATTTTAAATTTTGTAAATAATACATTGATTTAATCTAATGTTTGTTGTGTGGATATCCAAGCGAGAGTAATCAGCCAGCTTATTTTAAAGCCCATAAAGTTGAAAACTACTAGTACATTGCACTGTGTAATATATATATTGCTTCTTTGTGAAATACATTTAGATGTCTGTAGATGATTCTGTGATTTATCAGATTAACCTTGTATTATAGCCTGATAGGAGAATGATATCCCCTAGATCTTATCTGTGTAAGACAAATTGACTTGCATAAATTCACTGTTTTTTAAACTGTCACACTGATTCTCTTGACAAGAGGGAGAGCTTTAGAGTCTGTTGTGCTTTGTTTGAAGGTACACACATTGGGACTGAGATAGGAGAACATGATAGCCAGGAATTAGGTGAACAGTAGTCATTTATTAACATATGAGACATCATTTTTATTTAGATATCTGAACTATAGAGTGTATGTGAGGTGTATAGTGCAACAGTGCCCCATTGTTTTTGCTGGAGGTTGGTTGGTTTGGTGTGTTGGATTGTTCTTCTGGGCTGTGCAGTTTGAAACTTGCTTTAATTGGTTCTCAAGTTCCATCTTTTCCCCTTCGTTTTGAATAAAACCCTACAGAAAATTTACTTGAACTGCATGGTCAACACAATTGTTGCAAACTGTACAGTGAAAGGTTAGAAGTTCTGGTTTTAGCAACTTGGCAGACCTTCAGATACTCAGATTTGTGTCAGGCAATGACCGTGACACTCACATGTTTGGTTGCCTGTCCAGTCAATTCCCCGATCTTATCCAAGCATCTCAACCTACATGTAGTGACCTTTCCTTACTACAAATGAGTCAGATTTCCCATGTATTTGATATTCATACATCCACCTTAATTTCTCTTCCTCTGTTTTTATCCCCCCTGTTTGTATCTCCCTTCCCAACGTGCAGGGTTTCTGGAAGCTTGAGCGTGCCAAACAAAACCTTAGCCAGGAAGTGCCATCTACAGCTGCATTATGGGCACTGTGATGAGTAGTCAGAAGAAAGGTCGGAAGGTGAGAGGAGTGGATCATATAGATATGCCAGCTCAGCTGGAGAAAACAGGACCAGACAGAGCAGATCGGGAGAAAGTAGAACCAGATAAAGGTCCCGCTCCTGAGGGGAATGAATTACAGAAAGAGAAGTTAGACAAGTGGATACTGGAGACTTCTGACAACATGGAGTACCTGCAAAGCAGCGATGACTACGCTACCGAGGAGTGCTTCAAGATCTATGATAACCTACGGAAAGCTAGTACGCTCAAACCAAAGTCCAATCGAATCGTGCTGGCAGAACATCTACTTTCTGTAGGATTTGTGGAGATATTTCCCAGGATGTGGAATGACCTTAACAGCTATCAGATCTATGTGGATGAACCTGTTCCCAAAGCTAAACAAGCTCTCACCAATCTCAAAAGAATGCTGGGAAGTTATTGGAACTTTACAGACTGCTCAGATAAAGCCTGCACAGAATTTGGGAAACTGAAATGTTTAGACTTGTTAATCGAAGGGCTAAAGGATCCCGAACTGAGTGTCGATCGATTGAACGATGACGGAAAACGATATGTCGTTAAGGGAATACTTGGAATCATACATAACTGTTGTAGGAGAAAGTTCAAGAACCGTGCTCGTTGCTACAGTGCCATTGATAACTTGCAGGAATTAACAACGTCATCGTACCTCATCGTTCGGGCAAAGTCTTTCATAATCCTTGCGTATGTTGCTAAGAAGTCTGAGGTGGAGAAGCTACAAACAAACAATGGGTGTATGAAGTTCATGCTGAAGATGATTGAAGAGGCTCTTGTGTACAAGAATCATGTCACCAAAAAATATGGTTTCTCTGCCTGTGAGACACTACAAGGCTTGAATCAGTTAGCCATCAATGACGAGAACAAGAAATTAATAGTTGAGCTAGATGGGTTGCTATTGATTGGGAAGATGCTAGGAGAGAAATGCACAGATGAAGAACAAGAGACTGCAGCTGCTGCTATTTGGCAACTGGCGTTTGTTGATGAAAACAAGGAGAAAATAAGACAGGATCAAGAAATCATAAAATGTATGTATTTTTGTGTCTTTGGCATCTGAGAAATCATCTTTTGAGAGCCAAAAGGGCGTTAACTCCACATATTATATTTCAACACAGTGTTAATGGCCGGGTTGCAAGAGATGGACTGCTCTTAGTTCTTTGTAAAATTTCATATCGTTCAATTTTAATAATTTTGAATAAATTTCAAGCTATATATTGATAATCATATGCAAACCTGGGATCGACTTATTTATTCACTAATAAAGCCAGTGTCATAGTTGTTCTGAATAAAAATGAAGATAAGTATGTTTACATAACGATAACAAAAAATCTGTGTTTCATGATATTAATACAGGTTCATCATAGATGTATGTTTCATTGATTTGACTTGATAAATGGTATATTCTCATTCTCGTTATGATTGATAAAATGCATGACCCAACTCTCTCTTTGACAGCTCTAATGTTCCTGAAGAATAGTGAGAATGCAGCCATCAGAGATGCATGTACCGGTGCATTGTGGGAGATCTATGACACCAAGGTGCCTCTTGGTGTACACAACGAGAAGTCTGAGAGATCCCTGTCCTCATCTACCATCTCCATCAACAGTGAGACACCACACATCATGATTAGCTACCAGTGGGACTGTCAGGAGAGGATGATAGAAATCAGGGATCTACTCCAGAAAGCTGGATTCAACGTCTGGATGGATATTGATAAGATGGGTGAGTTCCAGAAAGAAGTAATACTGAAATTTATTGTTTTGTTACAGATTGAAGGCTGTTTAGTACTTCAATTCAAGACCACTCTCTCTTTCAGAAGAGCGAATTTCAATGCTCGTAGTTAGCAGAAAGATTAAGAATTAGAAAATAAGAGTTAGGGTTACTACATGTACCCCTAAGTGTGCATCTACATGATCGCTTGATGCCATTCTACACCCTTTTTCCCCTCTCTCTCCCTCTCGTTCTTGTACTCTTTTTATTTTTCCTGTCAATCTCTTTTGTCTCTCTCTCTCTCTCTCCATCTTGTCAGTCTCTCCTTCCCTTTTCAGTCTCTCTCTCTTTCCTGTCAATTTGCATCAATCTCTTACATTTTACCCCTTACTCTCTCTCTCTCTCTCTCTCTCTCTCTCTCTCTCTCTAACACCATACATCATTCCCAGCATTCCCATATATCTCCCCAAACCACAACATAGTCCAAGAATCAAAGTATTTATATGGTGAAATCTGTTCTAGGGATCGAATTATGAATAGAATGAGCACTCTTAATCAACAAATAGTTCAGATGTTAATGATATAGTCTGCCTGGTATGCTGATTAGTGGTAGAGGATTAATTTTGATCACTTATTCCACCTTCCTGTTGATGGATTAAACAATATGTGACGTCTAGATTATCTGCTCCGTCTATAGAGGTGGAGTAACAAGCCGATGAGTGCTATCTTATTTTTAGAGATACATTTATACAGTTTAACTTATCGGTAGTAGGACGAATAGGAAGTTTCCGTCCACGACACTTATATCCTCTTTTTTTTTGTCAGTTAAAGGAAAGTAATTTTCTCCATCGATGTCTAAATGAATCAGAGATATTAAAATCAGTTTATCAAGTCAAAAATTGTTATTTAGAATGGCAATTTAATGAGCACATTTAAACTCTAAGTCTATTAGATTTTGACAACATCAATCCTGATTAAACTATTAATAGATTAATGACCAGTTATTACCATTTCCAAATCATCAAGTTCGGAAGCATCTGTCGAAAACCAGAAATGTGGAAAGCAGAAAAATCATACACATCATGAAGTTTCATTGATCTCACTCTGTTCCTAAAAGAATTAGATAAAGAATCTGGGAACCTATTGACTGCATTTTGTGATATGAATAAATGTTTTTTTTTTAAAGAAGCCATTTTTGTCAATAGGAACAAAGTAAGTGCTATACAATCTTATGAATATATGTATACTGAGACCATGCTGTTTTTCAGTACCCCATATGACTAGTACAATGATGATGAGTATTTTGTTATTATTTGTTGTTTTTGTTTGTTTGATATAGCTGGAGACATTTTGGGTGCCATGGCCCAAGCTGTAGAGAGGTCTGCTCTCGTCCTTGTTTGCATGACTCAGAAGTACTTTGAGAGCTATAATGGGCGCACAGGTAAGCTTGTTGTCAATCTCATGGCTTTCTACAGGTAACACCCATTCATTTAGAGCTACTCTTTACAGATATGCTCCTATTGAATTACAGGTAGACCTATTACCCAATTAGTGAAATACATAATATCTAATCAAACTGATTATTTAATATTCCTTTTACGTAATGTGAGAGTATATAACAGGTTCAAATTTGTGTAAAATTCAGGCAGATGGAGTTTATTGCTCTAAAGTATGTCTCTTTTCATGGGTTTTATTTTAAAACTGTAACTGTGTCGCTGTTTTTGGAAAAAGTTATAACAGGTTCAAATTTGTGTACAATTCAGGCAGATGGAGTGTATTGCTCTAAAGTATGTCTCTTTTCATGGGTTTTATTTTAAAACTGTAACTGTGTCGCTGGTTTTGGAAAAGTTAATGATCACTGAAAAGACAAGACATATTTATTGCCTTTCAAACAGTGTATCCTTTTTAGGGATAATAGTACAAACAGAGGTAATTTCAATTAGTTTGAAAAGATAACTGATAGTATTGATAAATTGACTGTAACATTATATTCATTAGCTCAGTTGAATGGTAAGTTGTAGATTATTTCCCTTTATGTAGCCTTTTGTTGAGGTATCTTTTCAAACAATTACCAATTTGGGAATGTCAAAAATAAAATCAATTAATAAACCAGTGAGTGAATAAGAAAATGAATGAAAGATCTTGCAAACTGATATGATCCTACAAACTTTCAATCAGATAAGTTGACTAATATTACCCAATTACTCACCACTTTGCCAGTCTATGCTCTGGTAAAAGGCAGACACTTATTTCCTCTGATAAAATTCATGAAATTAAGGGTAAAATTCACAATGAAGCCAATCTACCCATCATATGGTTACAATGCAAGAATATCTATTGCTTCAGAGTCTTCAGGGAATCCTTTAAATTTTAATGTCAAACTTTAGTTGGTTTTGGATCCTAATGGTGTGATTTGATCTTCATATCTTAATTAAATTTAACTCTGCTCCCTTGTATACCCCCAAAATAATTAAAGAATAGTTGCTGCAATTTAACAGGGTATACATTCTTAATGTTCAATTTAGTTGCTACAGCAGGTGTTATGGATCCAGAGTTATGGTTTGCAAAAAGATGTTTATCTTTTGTTGTGAAAGCTATGAATTCCAAAAATTATACAGTGGCACATATAGCTGGAATGGCCAGGTATGGAGCTCATTCTGTGTTGGGAGGTAACATAAGATTCTTGAATGATAAGTACTTCATGGATAACAATGAAATTCAAAAGCAGTGGGCTGTGCAATGCCAAGTGAATGATGAGACAATACGCATAGTTGAACAAGTAAAGGAATTGATCAACTCGAGGGATGATTATTTATGTAAGGGTTTCCTTAACCGAGAGGAGTGCGAGGAAATTATCTTGTATTTATGCACGCTCTGATCTTACCCTGTTATACATGTATTCTGTTGTTGATGTTGTTTTTTTGTCTTTACATATATTGTGAATGTGCCTATTTGTAGAATATATTGTATATTTTTTTGTTATTTTTTTTATATGTGCTTTTTAAAGCGAATAAAGAACTCTTGAATTGAATAAGTAACCTAATTTGTTCAATCTCGAATAACCTTTTTATTCACATTTTCATCACACATGCTATTCCAGCAAAGCCTGCTTTTTATACAGCCAGTCTGTACCTATGTATTTAATTTGTAATTTGATTTGTAAATGCAATTTCGATTCAATTTTTAAATTTCCTCAGAGCATAATAGCTTGTCTGCAGACTTCAAACAGTGACCTACTTCCACCATGCTAATTGACCTTTGAAACAATTACGACAGTTAAGTAGGCAACGAGGCGTACACTTTTGTAAATTGACCCCTCACCCTTAATTGCCTCCTAGAAAATCAAAGAATAGGAAATGCCAATATGAACGTTAAATATTTCCATGAGACAGTATAATGCTTTCAAAATAATATTCCTGTCGAAAGTAGGACATAAACATGAATTTTAGGCAGCTGCCCGCTCTGTTGTGACTGAGTAACATGAGCAAGCCTTGGTTATCTAGAGGGTGGATGGTTGTCAACGAACCGTTAGCAACATGCCATGCTAAATTTCTCATTTGACTCACACAGGAAATCATGTCAAATCAAAGTAGATTAATGCTGAGCAAAGGAGGTGCCACATGCCGTTGATTGAGGTTAAAGGGATAGACATGTACTCGATCTGCCTTCTAGCTTTGTTTAGTGTCACAGTCAAAGCAATTATAGCGTATTAGTTTGTGGAAAATATGATATTCCTGGGATTAACAGTTGACCAACTAAAAGGCGATGGATTGACTACAAATTTAGATATGTAGCAACTTAGTGAATGAATTCAAGCTGGCGTAATATCTTGTTTTTCTTGTTTTTTACAAAGCAACAAATAAATAAGTCCTTTAAAAGAAGAGCAATAGTTTTACATTCCTGAATATCTCTTTCTTTGATTTGTTAATGATTGTTAATTCTTCTTCTTCTCCTCCTCCTTCTTTTTCTTCTCTTCTTCTTCTACTTCTTTTTCTCTCTTTTTTTCCCCCCAAATTTCTTCTCTTGTTTTTTGCTTCTTTACTTTCCAGGTAAAAAAGGAAATTAGAAAGAAGAAGAAAAACTAACACTAACCATCCCCAAAATAAGAGAGAGATATTCATACCTTTAAAACTATTACTCTTCTTCTAAAGTATTTGAAGAGCAAAATTCTTCATTTATTCATCAACATAATGAATGTTTCCCCATTCCTATCTTTCTTCCTTCTATCCCAACTTCTCAATTTCTTTATTTTTCCTGTTGCCTTTTCTTTCTCCAAATATTTAATCTTTCAATCTTTTTGTTGTTCCTTTTCTTATTTTGCCAAATCAGTCAAGTGAATCATAGTTTCACAAGTCCTTTTCATTTGGCAATCATTAGTTGTCATGACTTCCTTTAAGTGTAATAGTTTCCGTTCAGAGGATGAGGAGATATATCAGATTAAATTAGGACCATATGAGATGGATTCCAGATCCTCGCATCCTTGAGCTCTTAATGAGTCCTGACATCATCAAAAGCATTTATTGTTTCCTTCCTCAGTCTCTGTATCTCACGCTCTAATCTCCACATTCCTTCCTCTCCATCCCTGCCTGTACAGAAGCGACCTACGCCTACAAACTGAAGAAACCCATCATTCCTTTACAGCTGGAGGAGGGTTACGAGGGGGAAGGCTGGCTGGGGGCTCTCGTTGGTACTCTGCTCTATTACAAGATGTTTTCAAATGAGGTCATCCCGGACAATCTTCCTGGACTCATCAAGGAGATAGGAGACAGAGGCAAGATGCCCAAGAAAGTATCAGTCAAGCAAAATGGTGAGTATATTCAAATTTTCCCGTTTTCTTTAGTCCCAAGTTTACTTCTTCTATTCTGCTGAATAAAGTAATTTGTAAACTAAGTTATTTAGGAAACAGAACCAATAGTTTTATAGTTCCTTTATTATATATTTACAGGCTGATATCTGTGTTTTATACCTGTGGAGAGGGGGAATTGAAGCAAGGATCCTTGATTGCCATTTATAGGTCTTTTGAAATATCAAATGCAAGATTTCAGAACCAGAATTGATTTACTTACTGTATTTGGTATTCGTTTGTTATTTACCAAATGTCTAGATTGGAATATGGACCATTTTCAGTTTCTGTCGCAATTTACAACTTTCTTGTTGTTGTCATTTTCATTTGTGTCGTTATTGACAATATATTTAGGTGTATACATTTTAGGTATATACGTCTTCTATTAATATTGATCTATGAATCTTCACTTAAATTTATATATAATGCCCAGCCTAAATGATTTCATTGTGTATCAACCTATCATACTGACAAGTTTTAATTATCATTGTGTCATCCAGGAATCGGACCCCAGAAGTCCAGGATCACCACCTCCCCACCACCTCGGCCCGAGGCCCCTATTCTCCCTGCCAAGTCTTACAGCAAGGGATCCTCAGCGAGTGCTATCTCCAGGTGGAGCACGGAGCAAGTCCAGGCCTGGCTGGAGACCAATAACATCCACACGCTCCATACTACACTCTGCAGTCTCAACGGAGAGCAGCTGGTCCAGATGCGCAAGCAGCTTGCCAGAGCTCCAGAGTTCTTTCACAAGAACCTGAAGGAAGAGCTGAATCTGGGATTCATCTCCATCTTGACCCTGACAGCCGCCCTTGATAAGTTGCTGATTTGAAGAGGGCTGGATGCAAGGATTGTAAGGGATGATTCAGATTCAGGGAGAAAAAGCAATTGGACCAAAGTGTGGTCAAGTTGAAGGGGGCTAGGATCCGCAGATGATTCTTGCCAATGTGGAAAGAAAGGCTAGTCATATTGAAGTGAGGCCAGTGAAAAGGGTCAAGGATTTAGAGATAGTTCTTTGCCACTTTTGAAAGAAATATAGATCACTTGAAGGTGTTGTCAAGTTGAAGGGGGTAAGGGCTTGCAGATTATTCATGCCAATCTTTGAAGAGACACTGATCAGATCAAAGTGTGGCCAATTTGAAGGGACCAAAGATGTGCAGATAGTTCTGGTCAATCTTCAAAGGAACACTGGTCATATCAAAGTGTGGTGAATAAAAAGTGAGTGAGGAATTGAAATGGGTGAAGTTTTGTGAACATTAGGCCAGTGTGAACATTCACTTGTGGTCGAGGGTGAAAAATCTTACTGATCAGGCTGATTGAGATGCTTAGATGATCAAATTGGCAATGTTTGATGTTTGAACATTGGCATCAAACTTTTGAGATGTGTGTCATATGGATCACCTAATCCCGACCACACCCAATTGCTTCCTGATCCAGTATTGTTTTTGATAAATTCTTACATGTGACCCTCATACCATGCCTTCATGGTTTTACTGAAATATATGAAAAAGAACCATGCTATTTTGAGATTGGCAAAGACTAGATTTATGCACATGCTGATAACTTGGCATGGGATGGTATGAGTCACTGTGTTTTACTGATTTTTAGCTTGTGATGAGGTACATTACTCTTCAGGTCATCAACATCAACATGTGAAACCATCGCCAAGTTTATGTCAAGCATGCTACGTGTACACTGCAGGCAATTTACAGAGTGGGTGGCAAGTTACATGCATAAGCATTCATTACTGACCCTAAGTATCTGTATACAGAATAATGATGGAATCATGTATGAATGCCGTGATTAGAGTACCACTTTGATCTAAAGCCAAGAGAGGATTGGGATGTAGAGTTCATGACACCTTGCGAAATATATATAATCTCTGATGACTATGAATGCGCTGCAATATATAGATATTTTTATAACTGGATATTTTTCAATTCATCATGTGTATTGTAAGTGACATTCTATGTTTTCATAGGTTGCAGTAATGTGCAATTTTTTTGTCTAGGAAGGAAAAAATGAAACGGAGAATGTGTTCATCATGATTTTTTCACAACCCATGACAGAAACTGTTAATGGTTTACAGGGTACCACCAAAGCATGTATACCAGATGCAATCATGTATTGAGCTTCCAATGTCTTTACTTAGTTTCGTCAGGTATTTTGAAGAAAATCATGAAAAAATAACTTATGTGGAAGAAATAATTCACTCTTGCAATTCTTTACTCGATGTAATGAATGAATAATACCAAAATGTGTTATTCAAGTACCGTGTGCAGATCATTATATACCCTGTGTGAAGATCCTGTGTAATGAAAATGCTATTTTTAAGCCAACTATTATACTCGGTACATAATCCTATGTTAATAATGCTAAGGTATTATCTAAAGTGGAAGAAATCTACTCTCCAAAAGGCCCTGTCATTAACAAATATTTCAATATTCAATAGAGTTTAATTTTAAAAGTGCAGGCACTTGTGTTTACATTTACATGTAGTAGAATAAACCGTTATAAGCCAATGATAGTGACTATAATCCCTTGTGCTATCACCACTGCTCTTTATGATATCATAATGTGAAGCAAACCTTGAGTTTTTATGATAGATGAATTGTTTTTGTTGATGTATAATTGCAATCCAAGTTATTGATTCTGATAATGAGTACCCGTAAGGACAGACTTTTATACGTTTTGTAATAACTATTATTACATGAATGATGGGAAACGGCAATTGTGCTGATCAATGCATGATTGAAAACTGCAATTGTGGTGATCATTGCACAGAATAGTCTGTGTGTTCCATTATCATTTATTTTGGTAGTAATAATCATTGCAAGCTCTGTAATAAGATAACACAAGTATCCATTGCAGAGTTCTTTACTTTTGGCAAATTTTCAGGAAGTTCAGTATTCGAGTCGGAGAGATGAGATGTTGTAAACCAAACTTTTGGATATTGAATATATACAAAGATCTAGTGCTTGTGGCCGTAAATGAACGACACAATATCTAGTTAACTCGATTAAATCCTGTTCACACATGACACAATAAACGTTCTTTAAAAAAAAATGCTTTAGCAATCTAAAAACAGTTCTACATGGAAAGGAAGAGAAAGCTTACCAGTAGTGCTTAGATTCTTGGACAAGGTGTATAACCCTAATTTGTCTCTCTCAAACCAGGTTTATTAAATGGGCAATGCTTGGTTAATAATACTTGCAGGAAAAGCAGTAGTTACACCAATGTTGCTGCCCATAGTAAGTGAGACCAAAACATTAGTACTTGTATTATCATTCAAATAATAGAAAAAACACTTTGCTTTGCACAATTACAAAGGCCATTATGGGTACTGTGATCGGCATATTAAGAGATACAGATTTTTGACACGATACATATACATCATTTTATTTTGCTACAACAAAATTTAGAGGCTGTTTCCAATCTTGTCTGAACGAGGCCATAGGTGACAGACAATCATTGTCGGTGGCTCAGGAGAGTTAATCCTACTTAAACCTGACCGTTGGTTAAGGGTAGAAAAGGAAGTTCATTATGGAAAGACTGTTAAATTAAAGTTACCGGGTAATGAAAGCTTTCCTGTTAACTGGCAGCCTACTTACTATGAGAGCTGTTAACTGGGCTACTGTCCTATTTTAGGATAATTTGTTAAATTTTTCATATGGTTTCTTTCATCATTTCCTTTCTTGTAACCTAATCAATTCTGAAGTGTTATTTCATGACACATAGAACATGGAGATGCATGTGCCTATGTATTTTATGAGAATAACACAATGAAGGAGAAATGATAGATCTGTAAAGTGCTTTAAGATGTATTGCTAGTATTAAGTGCTTATAAATCTAGATCATCATCTTCATCTTTACCATAGACATTGCCGTTTTTATTCTTGCCATCTTTTTATCATCAACCTTTCCTTTCTACTCTTCATTTGATTCTACAGCTTCTATATTTATTATTTGTTTTTACTACACTTTGTATTAAAGTACAGATTATTAATAGATTAGTAGTATGTCACCTCTCTGTGTCTTTTGTTAGCTATGATGTCATGCTGGTTTGTGAAATGTTTGATGTTTTTATTCAGGCTTCCAACAGTGACACTAGCGACATAGTAGGTAAAATATAAAGTGTATATATGTATACACACATATATATATATAATATATGTAATATGATATATAATATAATATGAATTAAAATATTTGCTCTTTCTCCTCATTCTTTTTCTCCCATCTCTAGTTCACTCTGCAATATTACAACAGTGTTACATGCTACAAAAGGTTGGTCTTTTTAACAATTAACACTGGCAGGACAGGTTGAATTTGTGCCTTAGTTTGTCATTAAGCAATTAAAGCCTGAAAAGTGATACTGGTATTAAATGTACGAAATCATTCTGTCAATAATGAATTCTCAATATAATGACGTAAACACTCGATGATGAAAAGAAGACACCATTATTTTAATATTTCATTAACTTTCAATGGATAGTCCAAAACCTGTTGTAAACCATTTCTATTATTAGTAAGTGGACAAGTGTGTATACGTACAGCATCATAGAGTATGAAATATTCAGTCTTTCATTAATAATAACCATTTGTGTTGAAAAGATTCTACATGTATTTTTGTAAATAAATTTTTTATTCACTATTGTGCAATAGCAATAAATGTGTGGAAATATTTTATTTTGTGTATTGTGTAAAATGTTTGAAACATAATTACCAGTAAAGCGTTTTTATTTTTAGAATTTGGCTTTTAGGTAGGCACGTCAAGTTGCTCCTGGTTGTGTTCATATATATATACATACACAGTTTACCATTCATTTCACAAAAGGACAGTACAATATCAAGGAAGAATATAGGGTGATGAATGAAGCAAATCAAGAATAAGGGGAAAAAGAAAATAACAAAAATGAATTAGGGGTATTGAATATTCTAGTTGACAAATCCTACTAATGAATCTGATGTCAGGTTTAAAAAAAGAAAGATAGAATAATATTTTTCGAAAATAAACTTTTTGTTAAAAAGTACTCAGAATCAGTCTGAAGAAATATGCTATATCTTATACTTTATTTCATACAAATTCATACATAATACAATATACAGTTAAATTTACGTTAACAAAATACAAATAAATCTTGCAAAATAATGTAGATACATATGTACACATCTATCTTACAATATCATGAGAGTCTATGTATACTATCTTACAAAAGTAGAATAGATATTTTCATATACAAAGATATTCATAAACATTCTTTATCATAGGCCATTTATCTTTATTTTCATCAAATATCCTCTTTCTATCATGATAAATCATGTTTATTGAGGACAGAAGAATGCTAATATCAACATCCAACTTTAGTAATATTGAAGAATAGATTGTAGCAAGCTCTGACCTTCAAGAAAATATCTGAAAGATATTCTCATAAACATATATTAAATAAGATTCATATCAATATTTAGCTTGCAAATATATAAACAAAATAAAGAGAATAAAGTTTTAAAAAATGCACACTGAAATGCATAACCACAGAAACACACATGCTGGACGGAATAGTGCAGGAGAAATCAATCGAAACTCACAGAATTCAACAAATATTCGGAGCGACTACTCTACAGTTTCTTAATGGCTATGAAATACATATGCCAATTATTATTCAATCATTGCCCCGTTCTTTGATGAAAATTTTGTAGGAATTCATGTTGGTGGTACAGTCAAACCTGCTTTAGTAACCACCTGTCTACAAAGACCACCTGTCTTCAAAGGCCACATTTGTTGTTTCCCTTGAAAATGGTTTCTCATTGAATCATGTACTAAAGGAACCTGTCTACAAAGACCACCTGTCTACAAAGGCCACTTTTTGTGTTTCCCTTGGGCGGTCGCTATAGACAGGTTTGACTGTATTACCAAACTGAAAGATTAATTCTGAGAAATGTTAATTACAATCTAGGAAGTATCCTCACTCAAATAATAGCATGTGATTTGTGTTTCTCAAACTATGATTCCCTCTATTTTAGATAGTGTATAAGAAAGAAATAGGCCAACATTTATTGATATAACAATGTTGTGACCTATCAAAGAGCATCCTCAAACCTCCATGAAAAAATGTATTAAACCTCCTAGATATTTCCAAATAACATCCTCTTCTGTTGTGGTAAAATGATAAGTCAAACATGGATGAATTTGAACATATATTGGTCTCGTACTCGTGTTGAACTACTGAAAAAGAATCATACCAATAATTTATACAAATTAATTATGATAATGCAAAAAATGAGCTTTTTAAATCCCTTTCTAAATAGGTTTTGTAAAAGACAATAATTAGCATGTGATAATCCAATTTCAATTACTTTCCTGTTTTACATTCTGATTATAACATGGTTTGTGTCTGGTCTTGTCTCTCGATGATATCAATAGCCCATGATGCATACACATAGCATTCATGACAATGTCTTTAAGATACTACCAGACATTCACGTCTATCAGAGATAACCAGAGTGAGTCTACTTCTATTTCTATCTCTTATCACCCAACGTAGCTCCAAAGAATTCTGACAATCTTTGGTCTGTCTTTAGCTTCTGATCCAGGGCCATGTATTTGTGAGGTGCCATCTCCTTGTGTCTGTAAACAAACATTCAAAGAGAGGGTCAATCATAGGTCATCTATAGCAGACTCATACAAAAAAATTAGGAGTAGAGTGAAAATATAATTGATCTTTTTGCAGACAGTTACTTACTTTGATGTCTAAACACAAACTAACAAACTTAGAAACGAAGTTGAAACATTCATTTTAGCCATGAAAATGTAAGTTTACCTATTTTTCACCAATACCCAAGATTAACTAAACTAAATTTGAACAAATGACCAAGTGAAGTCTACAATTTAAGCACAAGTGAATTTGAAATTATTTGTATCGTTTCATCACATGGTTTTCATGTCACCTGCTGAGATTTCTTACATTTTCCCCAAAAGGTACAAACACTATGTGTATCTCAGCTTCATTGTATTTGCAAAGATCAGTCAAGATTTCTGGTTTCAGAGTATGGCTTACATAAATACATAAATACATAATACATAAATTACTGAGAACCAAAGTAACCTCCAAAATACACATACATTATAAGACCCATTTGAACCAATGTACATAGAGAAAATGGCAGAAAAGCACTTTACCTGTTGAGCCTCAGTTCAAGGATGTGTATGCGGAACATAGCTTCACTGCAATACTCTAGATACTCCTCTTCATCCTCTTTCTGCATGTTCATTTGGTTGTTTTGGTACCATGTCTGTTTCTTATGGAGCTCAACAGTTTCCTAGAAGATAGGTAACAAAGTTTAACGTTACACTACTATAAAACAGAATACTGAAACATTAACAATTAAAAAAAATACAAATTATATATCATCTAGTCTGAACCAAAAGAACTTTGGTTACAAGAGTTTAAATGCAAAGTTTATTTATTGTAAGAACTGCTATTGTGCAAATGAAAGCAAAGTTGATAGAAATTAGATCCTTCCTAATTAAATGTCATCAATAAATAATTTACATTTGTACATGCCCAACTAACACACATCTTATGTGTATGCATAAAAAATCAGTCTACACATGGTAAAACTCCTCAATCAATTTCATTAAACAAATAACTGTTAAAGTTGCAGTCATGACATATAGGGAGAACAAATGGTTTAGACTCTATACACTCCTGACAGGAGCTTACCTTTTCAAATCTGGACTGAATAAGGTTAGCTTTATCAATGAGTCTCATCTTAAGATCAGCTAGACAATCTTCTTTGAGCTTTAAGGCTTGCTGTCTGTTTAGTTTCTCTGGGTCTCCAATCTGGGCCAGGAATGGGGCAAGGTAGTCCAGCTCCATCTCCTCTCTACGTTTCTTCTCCTCCATCTGAAGTCGCTCCTAAAGAGAGAAAGAAAACAATTTTGGATGGATAAGTTAATTAGGAATGAACCAATTCTGTTAGCTGTCATTATCTACAATATCTAAGACCAATTATTGCTTGACAAACTGGCAATGCTAAGCATCAAAATAAAAATCACTTGAGAATATTACAATAGTAACATTTTATCATAAATGATAAAAAATACTTTTCCAGTAATTCACCATACTGCTTTTAACCAGAGTTTTTAATTTATATCATGGGATCATTCACTTTAATGATGAGTGCTGCATTTGTTTCAACATTCATTAGTTCAAGGATATGCTAACCCACAAATCTCACCCATCAGTTCACACGATTCTGAGGGACATGGGGGTATGTTCTAAAGGCATTTATGTCATGACGCAGCATCATACTTTATACTTTCTACAATGTTTCCTTTCATAATTGATTGAAGGTATGAGTCAATGTTAGGGGGGGCGTGACAGTCAGTGACATGATAGTAGCAGGGAGAAAATGAGCATGAACTCCATTTTCTACTTACCCTTTCAATACGATGTTGTTTGGCTTTCTCATTACGCTCTGTATCATAGACGGATATGTCTAGGTCTGACCTAGCCTCCTCCTCTTGTCTTTCTGTCAGAATTTCTTTTACCTGTAAACATAAAAAGAATCAATATTCATGTAAATTTGTATTTTATAATCTATTCTATTCATGATTCTTCAGAAGTGGTTTTTGAGATAATTCATTATAGTGCAACAACACTTTTAAGAAATCATAATAATCTCAAAAAAAGACATAAAATATCCTTAATTTTGACATAAAGTTCTATACATTACAAAACATACATTAGCAAGCTAAAATTGACAATATTAGTAAGAGAATTGTATATTTCATAAAATATTAATTGTTATACACATTCTTTTTACTGACTTGATTTTTCCTTTTCATACTGATACTCAATGATTCAGTTAGAAATTAATAGTATACAATAGCCAGAATAGGATGAATTACCTCTTCCTCTGAGTCCCTAACACTGTGCACAGTCTTGTCTTCCTTGTCGACCAACTCCCTCAGAAGATTGTAGATAAACAGGTTCTTGGGAGGTTCAGCTAGCGGATCCACCCTGAACGTAGAGGTCATGTCTTGTGAGAAGGTCAGCACAGCACCCTTGTCATTGGCATTCGGAGGCTTGATAAAGTCTCGGGTGGAGGCGGTGATCTTGTCGTCTTGGTGATGGAAGGTCAACTGGATGCGGTCTTCTGAGATGAGGTAGATGCACTCTGCAATGTCCTCGTTGGCTGGCTTCGCCTTGTTTCGACGGAACTTCTCTACAATTTTCTGCAGATGGACATAAATATAAACAAAGACATATCAAATCTCTCACTAATTATGAGTTTACCCGAGGAAAATACATTAAACAACTTGACGACGATAAGTTTCACAGAAATTCATTCAAATTGTTAGAGATTGGGATATGTAATGTAAATTGAGCTTACATGTTTAAGATGATTGTATAGCACATGCTCCTGTGACAATTGCTCTACTCAATTCTTAACCTCAACCCTGGACCAAACACTAAACCTGACCCTAACCCTAACCTAAACCCCAAATAGCAACCTTCAATATCTTTCACAAAATAAAGCCTACATGTAGAACCATTGTTATCAGTGCAAACATCAGAGCATCAATAAAGGGACTTTGAGGGGAAGAACTCATGTTTTGGGGGATTAAATTGATACAGTCAAGTCATTTTGAAATAAATGGATAATAAAAAGGAAAAAAAAAAAAGCTTACCAAGATAGGTCTTGGATTTGACGAAGGCAAGGATCCAGCAGGCTCTAGTTTCTTGGGTCGTTTACCAAACACCACATGACAGTATAAGAGGAAATCATCCCTGTTATCAAAGTGTTCAGTCATCTCCAGGGCATTCTCTTCTCGTCTTGTCAAACCATCTACTCTAGCATGGTTGTAGAATATCATGGTTCGCTCGCTGTCAGGCCATTGCCCATAGGTTTGCTCTATCAATAAAATACACAAGCAGTAAAGTTATAATAAAAAATATCTGAATAAAAAGAAAAATAGAAAAAATTATAATTAAATATCTTTGAATAATAAGAAATTAGACAAAATAAATTTAAACAAATGTTTAAAAAAATATATATATTCAATTTGATTGAATTCCTAAGATTCTAGTGAACTTTGCCACTTTAAAGGTGAAATTCAAAGAAAATCACTAATATGTCAACTTATATAATGTATCACTAGAAACTGGTAAGCTAACAGATGGCCATCGTACAAGTTTTAGGTCAACTGCATATCAGGTGATTTATAAAAATACAAATACAACCATCTCCATAGCAGCTGGGATATACAAGAGATTCGCCGGAAAAATAACAATGTTTTAATGACGTCACTATATGGACCAAAACTGCCCAAGCAGACGACATCCCATAAAGAATGAACATAATTGCAAAGCTATTATTTCTCAAATTATAATGAGTTTAGTGTATATAAATGTAATGGCATGTCAAACCATTCAAAATGGGATATGACCCGATTCTGATAACTTAAATCTTTTGCTTGTAAATACACAGGATAGGGGTTAATTAACAATCAAAGAAACTAGATTTTCAAATTGAAAACCCCCCGGAATGATATTAAGGACGGCATTTGTTCCCTCTTGAAACGCCAAACATACCGCGGTGTGCGCAGCTGAATATACAATGGCGTCTTATTTTGTTTACAAGAGACAGATTCCTTTATTTTTGTATCGCTGCATTTGTCATCAAAATAAAACCATGCGCAGGGTTTAGAGTGAGGGAATAGATTATACATTTAGCCTGACGGTAGTGAAGTAAGAGAAAGAACTCAAGAGAAGATGAAAACACAGGCACTGAAAATGTGTGAGATGTCATGGGGCATCCTCTGCTTGTGCAAATTGTGTCCATACTGTGATCTCACACATCTCAGCAGCGCTCGGAGAGCTCTTCAGGTGCTATGCAGGGGCTGTATTTAAGCGTTTTGTAATTTATAATAATCATTACTTTGAATATTTCCAAGCATTGAATTTTGATAACCTTGTCGTATCAAAGTTTCAACTTTGCAATAATAAACATAAAGTTAGTTTTTAAAATCAATGAATATCTACTTTAACTTATTAGATTTTCTTACTTTTATGATTCTACTAAAAAATTTACAAACTTGCCTAATGCATATTCTGAGGCACTTAAAATACAGGAACTTGTCACTTCTGCACAATCATTCAAAGAGCTACCACATTCAACAAACTATGCAGTGATAACATTTCTTTGTTTACTCATTATGCTCCCAATCCATATACTGCATTTGAGTTGAGAAAATCATTGATTAAAAAAATCTGTTTCCAAAAGGCATAAAACGAATCTGAAAATTATTATTTGTACCTTTAAGGTGTAGGGGTCTTCCTTGATGGTAGTATTCTGTAATTAAACCTGTCCTGTGGTTGTGCACTCTTAGATGGAGTTTGTCGCTTCGAAATGAATACGTCTCCTCTACTCGAACAAGATCTTTCACTGCAAAGAGAGAAGGGAAGATATTCAAATAGAATTACAAAAGCATGACTCAATCAGTAAAATTTGCAAGTATGTACTCAGATTAAATGGATCTTGTTTTGGGGAACAAATCTTGATAGAGAGAGAGAACCATGGTATGATCCTTATATATTGCAAATAAATATAAATTGAATATTTGTAATACAGCCAACTTAAACTAAAAATTATGACCAAGTTTAAATTGCTACATTTTCTCTATCATAAGCATTTCAGAGTAATTTATAATGCATAACATTAACTTAATAGAAAATAAAACTTTCAGAGCACAAAAAGATCTTATTAGGCTATGTCCTTGTCATGGTTTGTTGCCAAAAATAATAATTAGGGTACAACAAATATATTCTTTTCTTGTACAGGTCACTTCACATTATGATATAACATTCCTGTGTCCTTCCAAAATGATCAAACCACCAGGCTTTGGATCAACTTAGGCAACCATTAACAGAGCAGAGTGCATTTCTGGGAATAAATTCTATAAAACACCCACAAACTATAGATCTGGGTGAAGAGTAGTGGGTAAAGAAAATATGACCATATTGTCAAGTTGTGACTTACTCTCTTTATCATGATAGATTGATAGCCTGATGATGAGACCATCCTTCATGAGATAGTGAGCAAACTTCTCCAGCTTTGCTCGTTTGTAGGTGAGTGTCTTCTTGCCCTGTGGACAGCGTGACTGGAACTCCTTGAGGGTCAGTTCTAAGGGACTCACCCAGGATGGAGGCATGTCCAGATGCTTCTCTTCCTCTTTCTCTTCATCCTGATTGCAGATAATGAATCAATTGAAAGGGGTGTAAATTAATCATTAATTTCATTAATAATTTTTATCTAAGGCATCTGACAATGCATCTGTGAAATGTGAAGATCATCCATTAAGCTCAACTTTTAATTAATCAATCGAATCAGACATTTAATTGGAGGGATGATCAATTAATAGTAATGAGGTTGTATAACACATGCTTCACGGTAATCACTCCTTAATCAATTAACTATCTTATTCAAATTCCCAACTTCAAACTAACAGGTGCGTATAGCCAGGGGGGGGGGCGGTGGGGGCAGTTGCCCCCCCCAAAAAAAAAACGCCGGCAAAAAAAAAAAAGAGAGAAAAAAAAAAAGAAGAAAGGAAGAGGACGTAGGAAGAAAAAGGATTAAGAGTCGAGAATGGTACAACAAATAGTCTTCTTTCTCTAATCATTTATGAAACGTCAGAGCTTTCGTGCTATGCACGGAGGAAGGGGAACTTGTTTTAAACAAGGATTAAGAGTCGAGGAGGTACAACGAATCGTCTTCTTTCTTTAATAATGCAATGAAACGTCAAAGCTTTCGCGCTTTGCACGGGAGGGGGGAAACTCCCCCCTTCATGCACCCACCCCCCTAGTGAGTGCGCTATGCGCGCTCTGTAAGTGATTTGCACGCTTTGCATGCTCACTACAGCCCCCCCCCCCCTAAAATGAAATCCTGGCTACGCGCTTGCAAATAAAAAGCCTAAATCTAAAATCTATCTAAAATTTTTGATAAGATATAAGGTAACAAAACAGCTGTTTTTTTTTTTTTAAAGACATAAAAAGCAATATGCTTCACATTTCTGTATCTTATGACACAGAGCTCAGTGAATACTGCCTAGGATCTTTGTTGTGTGCAGTCGCCATTCACTTACATACCTCATACGACTAAGGTTTTTGGCATTCTTTTTTAGATATATCTCCTGTATCATCATTCTCTACTTTGATCTTACCTCGTCATCCTCAAAATCCAGAGCATCTTCATCCATGTCAGGTATATCTAGGGTTGGTTTCTCATTGCTTGGAAACATGAACTCCCATCTCACACAGTCACCCAGGTCAAACAGCAAGTCCTATCAAAATAAGAAAATAGCACAATAAGTCCGACATGGGAAATATTTCTTCTTTGCCTACTTTCCATCTAAATTAAGTCAATCCAAAATTTACTAGTCTACAAATTTACAAGCTATGCATCGTAAATCAGATGTCATTAGAATATTATGAAAGATTCATTTTTCTAAACTCTTTAACCGTCAGTATATACATTTTTTTTAATCTTTCAAGAAAAAACCCAATTTTCAGTTTAAAAATACACAGTACCGGTATATTACTAGAATTTGGTTGGTTTAAACTGCTTAAAGAAATCTGAAGATCAAGACATGATTCAGTCAGCTCATAAAGAACATAAAAATAGGGCATCTGGCATTTTAGTGGCAGAGGCATAAAAAACAGATAATGAGACTATTGGCATTGAAACTTGATCACAGATGGTACACCCTCAAAATGATTGCATTATGAGAAGAAGAATTTACCTTGCATCCATTTGAGCAGTCTTGCATATTAACCCAGTAGTTGTGATTATTCCAGAGTGATTCTATACCCAGATAGCCATCATGCTGTGTGGAGTAGCTGTTACCGGTCAGTGGTTCGATGAAGAAGTTTTCTGGAACCTCCCTCTTACCACTGAGGACCAGTACCCAGCAGTGGATTCTCAGACCATACAGCTCATCCGATGGTGGCTTCTCAAGTTCCTGCATTACAAAAGAAAATTATCATCTCATTAGGAAAACCAATAACAAAACTATTAATTTTCTCTTTATTTTAGCTACAAGGTAATAATAAATAGTTTCTGGCCTGAAAGGTCTCTATCAATCACATTTTTGGCAGCCCAGCATATGCAAATGATTATCATATGTGTATGTAATGGATTGAATTACAACTTGTTGTCCATAGCAGTTAATATGAAGCAAAACATCTATTGCATACCTGCACACATTTGAAAATAATTAATTGCACCATTAGCGGGGTCAAGGGGCAGGGCAGGGCAGGGCTAACCCTGTAAGTTGGGGCTCTGATCGGATCGGAAGATCGGAGCGACACCCTTGCACCTTTGATCGGTATCGGATCGGAAGATCAACAAAAAAAAATTGGCCGATTTTTTTTTTTTTTTTTTTTTTTAATGACAAAAATTTTCAAGTTTTTGGCTATCAAATGCTCAAAAAAAATTCATGGCTAGGATTATTTTGTCATTTGGAGTTGTTGTAGACCATGTTTGTTGATATTTAGTGCCTTTTTATGACTTTGAAATTAACAATATTGGTCTAAGAGCAGAGGCAAAACATGCGGGCCGCCATCTTGAATTATAATGTAGGTATGCATTATAATTCAAGATGGCGGCCCGCATGTTTTGCCCCTGCTCTTAGACCAATATTATTAATTTCAAAGTCATGAAAAGGCACTAAATATCAACAAACATGGTCTACAAAAACTCCAAACTCCAAAATAATCCCAGCCATGAATTTTGTATGAGCATTTGATAGCCAAAAACATGGAAATTTTCGTCACTAAAAAAAAAAAAAAAAAAAAAAAAAAAAATCTGACGATTTTTTTCCAATCATTTTATTTGATCGGCGATCAGAAATTATTCGCCGATCACCCCCTGATCGGATCGGTATCGGCGTCCGATCCGATGATCGTTTACAGGGTTAGGCAGGGCCCCCGTGAGGTATAGGGGCCAGCACCCCCTGAAGCTGAAGCTTTTTGGGGCAAAATAAAATGAAAAGATGGGCTCTGTTTTACGATAGTTATTAGTACATATTATCTTTATACATTTTTTACATTTGTTTAAACAGTAAGTAAGAAGCTTGAAATATAATAACCCGGTATATCATATATCTCTGCAGAATATCACATTAGAATGAATAAGAAAATCAGTAAACCTATAAGCGCATTAACACTACATGATGAAAATAAGTTTTGCAGTTTTTAAAAGTGATGATAGAAAAGAAATAATAGCTGGATTGCTGCATCACTGACCTCTTGCTTTTCCTCCATCTCCTTCTTCCTTTGTTGCTCCTCTTTGGCTTGTTCTGCCTCTTTCCTGGCTTCCATCTCCAAGATGAACTTACTCCTAAGATCCTTGGGAGGTTTCACTGTATACTTCCTCATCTCCTTCTTCTTCTCTTCTTTTTTGACCTTCACATCAAACAAGAGAGAATGATTAATAATAGTTTGTGTTTATCTTCTCATTCTTTAAAGTCCTACCAATAGTACATGAAATGCTGTTTAATAATACATAACTACATGAGGCAAGAACATACCCAACCATTACAGGTGCTATACCTGTATACATATCAAATCAAGCTTGCTACTGTAAACTCCTGTTACTTAATTGCTATCGGTATAAAAAACAACTGCGAAATAAAGCATTTGAATTAAGCTGCAAAATTTGAAGAAAAGATAAAAAAAAAGTTCTAATAAATAATGAAGCTGCACACTTACCTCGTTTTTCTTCTTCATGAGTGGGCATATTTCTCTGGTTTCATCGCACAGTGTCATCTCTCTAGTAGCATACCCACACACCACATATGCATCATATCCAGCTCCTAGCAGCAGAGAGCAAAGCAATGTACTCATCTCAAAACAATTCCCTCTCTGTCGTCTCAGCACTGTGGTTGAAGATAGCAATGATTTGGGCTGTACAGGGATAATAAAAGAAAGGGAAAGTCTACTTTAGAATGCTCGTGTTTCACAAAATTGTTAAGAAAAATAAAGGTTTGTGATGGTACACAGCATTTATGAAGATATTTCCAATCATGAATATAACTGCATAAATACAAATAGATCTAAAGGTAATAAAAGCATAGACATATTTGTCAAACTTATTCCTTTGATCCCCTTGAATATTCATTACACAAGTCTAAAATTTCATACTTTACTTTTGGAGAAGCCACAGATATTTATGTCTAATCTAACAGTGAACAAATAATCATACACAACAGCATGGAAGCAAAGACCTAGCACTCGACTGGGCCATATATTATTTCATACAGCATTACAGGGAATGGCAAAACCATGAATGAGTATCAAAATACATATTTGAAATTGCTTACCAAATCTACAGGAGGATCAAGTGGATCAAATGTGACATAGTCTGAAACAAATTCTGCACAGCCATCATAGTCATACAGCTCCTGGAATGGAAGTGTTGTGGGCCTGATCGTGGTACACACAAACTTTTCCACTCCACACTCATTGAGAGGGCAAAGAAGGAGTGGTTTACGATCTCTGTAGAGATGGACATACTGGCGCCGGAAGTTCTCTGCGTAGGCCAACACCAGTTTCTCCTTGTTGTCATTCTCTTTGTAGGTGAGAGGATAGCTCTGCATAGGAAGATCTGCAGGCGTCCTGTAAGATTTCATGAAGAAGTTAACAAAACTTAGACATCTGATTGTCCATATTACTCGTTATACTGTTAGGGTCTAATAATGAACAGAAATAATTAGAAAGATATGACCGCATCAAAAACAACTTGAAATTCTACAATATCAATATTTTTCAGTCATTATTTTTCCCCGCAATCAACTTAAGACAATCTATACCTTAGAACCCAGATATACAAATGAAATTCTTCTAAAAGTTAAACAAGCTGAATTAAAGGTGTTTTGCTATAATTGACCGTCTGCCATCACATCATATAGAAGACATTCCAGGTGGAGCCTAGTGGTATAGCCAGCTATCTTGCTCCTAACTCCATAAATTTAATGTCATCAAACTTTGATTTGTACCAAGTAAATAAATTTACTCTAGATCTAGACTAGTCTACTCACTACTAATAGTACTTGCAGACTTCACTTTGAATGAATACTTTTTGTGTTTTGCACACAGTACACACATTACCCCAAACACCAAACACCAACAAAATTAAAAATACACAACTTTTTTGGCGCTTGTTCAGAAACCTATCCAAAATCTGACCCGAACTTCGGCGAGGAGATACCCTACTAAAACTACCCAAAATGAAGCAAATATTCATTAGACCCTAAATGTCCAAATAAAGATCTTGAGTTAAAATAAAAGTTGTTTTTATTGTTATTTGTTATTTTTGTAGTATTTTTCGGAAAAGCGATGATATAAGTATACACTTTTTCACAGGTTTCCCGGCATACCGGTGGGTTGCGGGCGGGCACGCGCCTGTGTGAAGTTATCTACCGTAATGAGGATTTACGACATTGTGAAAAAGTATGGGTCTAGATCTAGACCCATCAACATTTTTCCGAAAAATACTCTAAAAATAACAAGAAAATTGACACAAAACAGGTAATAAACATTACGACTTTTAACTCAAGAGTTTATTGTGGACATTTTATTTAATGAATATTTACTTCATTTTGGGTATGTTTTACTTGGTAGACCTCTAGACTCTAGGGTAGACCTATCTCCACGCCGGAGTTACGGGTCAAATTTTGGATAGGTTTCTGAACAATTAAGCGCCACTTTTTCAATGATATTGTTGGACTTAACTTTAGTCTACATTTGTAAGTAGTTGATATTTTAATCTTTCGTTGCATTTCCATTTTATTTTACAAGATTTCATCCTTACATGTCTATTTTAGGAGGTTGCAAAACAATTTGGTCGAGCTCATCTTTCAACTCGTTGACTGCTTCCAAAGCATCAGCTGGAATTTCATTCTCTGCGTCCTCTTCTTGAATTGTCCCGTCATCGGCACCACTATCTACAACTATAGCTGGACCGTCTCCTACTCCTTCCATAATGGAAAAATTTACTGGCAGATTCTCTCAGAAATAATTTTTCTTCTATGAAACTTGAATTTCTTTTGCGCTTGTAATTGTGCACAAACGAATGGAGACACGACAACAACACAAGATCAAGAGCACGATCGAGCGCAAGCGAACGAGTATGGAGATAGATCCCCGTACTGTACTACTCACAGCTACTTGTATACAGATATCCCTGCTCCATAGCAACAATGCAAAATATAGTTCAATATCTAAACTCAATAATGTAGAAATTTCAAGCCGTACATATTCTAAAATTATTATTTTGAGAATTATACGATTAAAGAATTAATGAAAATTAATGATCCATGGTAATTTTAGATTCGAAAGATTCATGCGGATGAATAACATTTTTGTTAAATGCAAAGCTATTTACAACGAATCGTCGTTGATGGCAGCAGACATTTTGAGGAAACATGGATGCGCCCACGACACCCACATGCTGCATGTGTTCCGACAGACATTGCCATTGATTGAACATTGATTCTATCTCGCTCTGAATATTGTGTTGTTCTGGAAATCTTTTAAAGACACCTTTAGCCTGGTTTCAAACTGTTCAGAAATCAGCAAGTATCAATAGTATGGCAAGAAATAAGGCAGATAATGACTTTGTGATGTCGCATGATTTGGCATGTATTTGGCGAATGGAGAAGGGGATTGCGCAATCACTCGAAAATGATAACATGAACATCGGGGATCAATGTGAGGCATGGATGAGGGAATTCGCCACCAATAGCTTTGAACTTGACAAAGAGGGTAACAATGATGAGATGATTACTTATTTTACATGTAAAAACCTTAAACAAACAAAATCGTTGTAATAATAATAATAATAACAGTTGGTTCTTGTATAGCGCTCGTGTCGGTCAGATTTGACCCTCCTGGCGCTCCCTGGCATTGTACAAGTATAGTGTAACTGTAAGCCAATTGTTGATAGAATTCTAACACAGTTGACTGTTGAGTTGGTGATAATAACGATAAGTCAATCAAGGCACCAAGCAACCAAGTGGATGCTTATATTAATCTCTCTTTGAAAAAAAAATCTGAAATCTCAATCATTTAGTTTTTGAGAAAAACAATATAAATTTGAATTATGAACTGCTGAATCAGACTGTTTAAGAATAAGATTAACCCATTGAATTTTAATTTATTATAATTTTGTTAATTATCAACATATAATTGATAGATCAGATCTAGAGTCTATACATATTCTGTACACCCCAGGCCAGGTTGATCCTGAGAATGTTGACCCAGAAGATGATTGAAAAGAGTAAATAAGTGGCAAATTCTCTTTCGTTTATTTGTTCATTGTTAATTGTTATGTTTTTATTTGTTTCAATGCAGAAGTAAGAAAGTTCCTATTATCAATGTTGAATGGAGATTACGAAGAGGTGATGACATCAGTTATCACTAGTCACATCCTAGCCAGAACTCCTGACCAAGATATTGCAGAGCAGATCTCCAGAAATATCACAGATTTTGTTGCACAACATCAACATCCAAGAGAAAAAGTTTTTAGGTCCGTTGATGTTCTATACAGTGATGATATGGGCAATATATTTGTTATTTTATATCCTTCTTCCTTGCTTGTTCTACTACAATATTGAATTGAATGCAAGCCCCTATATATTAGATTTGCAAAGTATTAACACATTTATTGATTTTGCACGTTGACAAGGAGTAGTTTTAATTATTGACAGAGTAAAATATAGATTTGAATGATTTTTATGACAATAATGACAGATAAACTGAATTACTAATTTACTACCTTATTCATCTTGTAATTTGTTGTTGGCATTGACCTTGAGATTACTCAATTAAGTTGATATTTATACAATACTGTTCTAAACATGTCATTTGCATGTTCACAATCTTTTGCTATTGTTATTATTTAAAAGATGATACTCATTGATTTCTGTTGAGATATTATTTTAAAATTTAAATTTCTTGTGTTTATTTTCCACATACCAGGCAGTTCTTAGTAGCATGTGTGGGCATTTCAAGTTTGCAGTTATTTGTTCAAAATAATTGGACTGGACCACTGACAAGTAAACCTGTGATGGATCGTGTATCAGAAAGTCTTCTTTTTCTTCAAAAGGTAGGAAGAGTTTGCTTATTGATATGATCATGAATTGATGGTATCTCCCATATATGAAAATTGTATAACTCCCTTGTCATTTTGGTAATTAGTGTATAGACCCATTTGTATCCATGTGTATATAAAAAATGAAAAATAAATATGTTTATTGTGTAACCTAGGGTTATAATTCATTGTCATTCATGATATGAATCATATGATATAAATAACTATAACAAAGAGAATGTAGTGTGCATCTCTATCATCCATGGTTACCTTCTTCATGTATGTTCACCACTGCAGATTGTACTTATTTTTTTAGTTGGTAATGATTTTTATAAGAAGTGTAATTTCTAATTGGTCAATCAACAATCAACACTTATTTATTTATTTGTGTACTCATTGGAATTTGAAAATGAAAATGAGCAGATTACCCTGCTTCTTTAGAACAATGAATCGTACCCTGACAACTATCAACCATGTATTTTCCACCTTTTCATTCATTGTTTCAATAATTCAGAAAGAATATTGTGATTCACAAGATAATATGCTAATTTGATGATGGAAAGTTATTCCCTATCCTTTCCCTTTCTTTTCTTTTCTTTTTTCTCCACAGGATAAACATGTACAGAGTTTAGCCAAATCCACACTCTGTCCTGAGGACTGTTCAATATATCCTTTAGTTTGTTTGCCAGAACTACTTCTCATTGCTCGATGCATTCTAGTAGAATCCAGTAATCATGTTGCCCTTTGTAAGGTAAGCACAACATTCATTCTTATATATCCCATTTACTTTGCTATAAAAGCTGATGCTATACTTATGATTTAAACACTTATGTTCAAATTAATCTAATGATAATTAGTCCACAAGGCCAGTGTTACTTGTTTGTTGCATATGAGCATATTATTTTAATATGGTAGCAAAAATGTGTGTGATATTTACTATTTAGTGACATCTTATAGTAGTGACTCCAATTTTGTTGCATTCTATATTCTGGATATGAAAAGTAGTATTGATAATTTGTCTTTGTTTGGTTTTCTTTTCAGACAGCAGATTGGTGGAGGTTACGATGCCTTTGGGTTCAGCAGCAAGTCCTAGATGAGAGATCACCACAACTCTACGATCTCATCTTGCCCCTTATCAATTCAAGTAAGAACCATTCTTTACAGAACCCTGTAACTATGCAGTAATTCTGTATTATCTCATAATGATTTGGCTTATCAATTTGAGTAGGCACACTCCGCACAGTAAGTTGGATATAGTACTATAAAAGAAATATTTATAATTATTTCTCTGTAAATCTTACATGTATAATATTATCCTGTCTCTTAATTTTAGTAGAAGAATATAGAACTCATAATGCCAAGTGAATTAGTATAATGAACACATTTTATTTATCAGGTTTGCTTACATACAAACAGTCGCTTACCAGTTTTGCTTACTGACAACTTTACACGCACACACATGCTTTCTTAGCAGCCAGGCAAAACAATCGTATCAAACAATCAATCAAACAATTATGATTGAAAATACTTTGTAAAATGGTACAGGTTTCCTAGTTTTGTAAACTTGGCCAATATACTGGTACCTGTATTATAAATTGTACATTGTAAAATTATGTATTTATCATGAAAAACTTAATCAATGAACTGGGAAATTTTAGAATTTTAGAGATTTTAAAATTACGAAACTGCTTCAAAGAAAGAAGTTCCTTTATAAAAATCTGAATTTTGTATGCTATAATTTCTATATTCCAATGATTTTGTTTATATTTTGTTTATTGATACAGTCAGAGAAGATGAGATACTAATGTCTCCTGAGCCAGACTGCTCTCTTCCACTCATGTTTCATCTGGAATGTAGTCACATCTTTTCCTACTACTATGAGTACAAGAAGGGCACTGAATGCATAGCTAAAGCAAAGAAACTGGCTGGAATAGAAGTGGGGCACACAGGTGAACAATAATTAGGTGGTGAAATGAAGGGGAAAAAATGAATAAGATGAAAGATAAAATGAAAGAATAATCAGTATATGATTTTTGATGCAAGTCTTGTTGAAAGTTCAACCAAAACTTTGTAAAGGGGGACATTAGAAGAGAAAAAACAAAACCTCCTGGTCATTATGTTAAATTCATGACTAAATTTGTGTTCTAGTATTTAATAGATGCACTTAAGAAACAAAGATAACAACAAAACAAGAAAATTCAAATTTGAAGCTCTAACTGAAATAAATATTCCTCAAAGCTTGATTTAACAAAAATTGTTTCATAGATTTATGCACAATCAAATAATATGTATATTATTTGAAGTGCTCAGGCATGCCTTCTAGTTTGGCTTTTTAAGTAAGATTTAAGAGTGGGAAATATGAAATTATTAAGCAATTTTAAACAGTATCTGCAATGAAGGGTAATTTCTTTAAGATACTCTATCATAACCTGTAAAGGACAAGTAGGAAGTAAAATTGAAAATGGATTTAAGAAGGAAGATGCTGGATTGGCAATGCTCCACATGTTAAATGATTGAGTTATGATGAGAGATCTGGTTTTCTTATGATTGCTTGTAGGTGCTCTTGGGAAGAGGACTAAATTCCAGATCGATGACAAAGCTCAGCTTGTTCTCACGGTAACAAGAAATGATGAAGGAGATAGAGGATCAGAGCCTACATCTTTATCTTCTTCCACTGAAGGCTTGCCAAAGGTATCTACTTAATTACAATATGTCAATCTTAGGCCATTGTGGTGAACTGTATAAATGAAAACGAAAAGATTTGTGTAAAATTAAAGAGAAACAAAATAGAGACAACCAATAGAAATAACACATATAGGGATACGATTGTACAATTTGCAGATTACTCTTTTGTATGTATATCTATGCACCTCTATGAATCTTAATGTATAATCTAACACATCACATTGTCAATGGATATATGTTTTGGATATTTTGGTGAGAATGATGAGAATTTGTTTTTGTTGTTGGTAAATTTGATCCACAGAATGATTACCGGTAGCCACTTAGTTTTATACTAATCGTTTTTCTTTAATTGAAGGATTTGCAGCTGGATGATGACACTGTCTTGCATGCCATTAATTTCACAGAAGATATGGAAGGAAAAATACCTCTTTTGACAAGACTAGAACAAGCCATAGTCCTTGGAGAGTGGTAAGAATATTAGATCAGATGAATACCTTTTCAAAAGTTATGCTCTAATAAATGAATTGGCACTATACCAATGGTTGTGAAATGCTTTCAATGACTCTTTTTCAATCTAGATAATCATTTGGATAGATTTTAATGATTATGTTATCTGTGTATTCATCATATGACCCTAGGAATTCCATATGTATTATCATTTTTGTTTACTTCCTTGTTAAAAGTATATTTATATTTGCTTGTATGTTCTTATGCCCTTAGTATGGAACATAAGCGTTCCAAACCAAAAGATCTACTTGTGACTGAAGAGCTGAAGACATATGTTGTGGTAAGCAGTTATGTGATCTTGTGTTTGTGGGTTTATCAATGTTATTGTCGCAGTGTTGAGCTCACAAGAGTACATATATTAAAAAGTGAATATGATCATGAGCATGGTTCAATAGCTCAGCTTTAAAGGTGAAATTCAAAGAAGATCACAAATATGTCAACTAATGTATCACTAGAAACTGGTAAGCTAACAGATGGCCATCGGACAAGTTTTAGGTCAACTACATATCGGGTGTTTTATAAAAATACAAGTAAAATCACCCCCATAGCAGCTGGGATATACGAGAGATTCGCCGGAAAAATAACGATGTTTTAATGACGTCACTATATGGACCAACACTGCCCAAGCAGACGACATCTCATAGAGAATGAACATAATTGCAAAGCTATTATTTCTCAAATTATAATGAGTTTAGTGTATATAAATTTAATGGCATGTCAAACCATTCAAAAGGGGATATGACCCGATTCTGATAACTAAAATCTTTGCTTGTAAATACACAGGATAGGGGTTAATTAACAATCAAAGAAACCAGACTTTCAAATTGAAAAAACCCGGAATAATATTAAGGAGGGCATTTGTTCCCTCTTGACACGCCGAACATACCCCGGTGTGTGCAGCTGAATATCCAATGGCGTCTTATTTTGTTTACAAGCGACAGATTCCTTTATTTTTGTATCGCTGCATTTGTCATCAAAATAAAACCATGCACGGGGTTTAAAGTGAGGCAATAGATTATACATTTAGCCTGACGATAGTGAAGTAAGAGAAAGAACTCAAGAGAAGATGAAAACAAAGGCACTGAAAATGTGTGAGATGTCATGGGAAATCGTCTGCTTGTGCAAGTTGTGTCCATACTGTGATCTCACACATCTCAGCAGCGTTCGGAGAGCTCTTCAGGTGCTATGCCGGGGCTGTATTTAAGCGTTTTGTAATTTATAATAATCATTACTTCGAATGTTTCCAAGCATTGAATTTTGATAACCTTGTCGAATCAAAGTTTCAACTTTGCAATAATGAAAATAAAGTTAGTTTTTAAAATCAATGAATATCTACTTTAAAGGTAATACAAAGTTTTGGGAAATTTTGAAAATTGGGTGGATAGTGAATCTTTACAATTTTGATATATTTGGATGCCCCTGTGGATATATGATAAGCATTAACAAAATTAGCCTCTAAAACACTTCTGTTTTCGAGAAAAATTGAATATAAAAATTTACCGGTGCTCCCGGTAAATTTTGATAAATTTCAAATAGCGCCTATGGCCGTACAATGGTAGCTGCGACCATGAAAATCTCAAAATATATAGTTGTGATATATAATTTCCAAATGGAAATAGCTAATCGGTCGATTTTAGTCAAGAAACATTGTTTCCTGGCTAAATTAATATCTTGACCTTGAGAGGGAGCTATACAACATAAAGAGTTTGTTATTTATATTTTCAGAACTTTAGACTCGATTTCAACCGCGACAACGATCAATGAATATTGTAGGAACGCATATGCTTCCAATATGTTCATTTGAACCAAATTCATGACCCCATACCAAAACTTTGTAATACCTTTAAGAAAACATTTCTGATTTTTAAGAGGAAAGCAAGATGAAATAAACAGTGTGACCATCCATAGCTCTAATGTGATGAAAGCTACCTTTTAAATATGATGGCTAACATTGCAAGCACATTAAAACCAGCCTTACTTGTACGAGAGTTGTATTTATTTCATTCAGACGAAGAGTCGAAAATGACCAAGTACAGATGGGTTGGGTTGTAACATTTTGGGATATTCATGTAGTAAGTAATTGTTTAGCAATGATGTGTAGCCTATAGAATTATCGAAAATTATTTTTAGTGTTATGATCAGAAATTAATCGGAATTGTCATCTTCAGCAAAGATAATATTGAAATTCTGCAAGCTTCTGCAAAATATAAGTGAACTACTATCAATCAAGAGCTAGATGCAAATCCCAGCTTCTAGAATTGGATTAGTATTGATTTTATTTGTTATCTGCTTTGAAAGGGTCTATTGAGACAACCCCAGAGCTGGATGATCCATACCCTGGCTCTCAGACTCCGATGTTTACTGGAGAAGGATAAGAGAAGGACTGTGGAAAGAGCCATGATGCAAATGCAGGTATTGTGCCATAGTTTTATGTGCCTCTGGAGATGAAATTGATGGATTTTAATGAAGACGATTTCACTGTATGTTATCAAGATAATATTTTTTTTAGGCACTACAATCTTTACATATCAGCTGTACTTAAAGCTGCAAAATTTCTTGGTATTTGAATGCATCATGTTATAATTTCACAAGGTACAGCGATACTTAATTATTTCAAAAAGGAAAAAGGTTGCGCATGTACGCTGTATACTTACCTTTTTGAATATGTAATTTAAGGAACTTAAATAGAATATTTGAAATATGCCAGGGAAATTAAAATGTTTCTGTTTTCATGACTTTTGAGCAGTACCGGTATGTACATGTATAAAGTGTTTATTGAGATGTATTTCAGAAAGTTCAACAACTTTTGATTATCTATTTATCTTTGTATAAATTATGAGCTCGCCATGTATGGTATGAAAATATTGTATAGTGATCGAAGTGGTCTGAATATTTAGAAAAAAATCTATGCAATGCTTTTACAGTATTTTGTGTGTAACAAGTTTATACTGGTCATTGTTTTATTCCTCACTTATTCAGGTTCTAGTGGATCAAATTCCTAGCACCGAATGTCCTGGCAGAGATAGGCTGAAACTCTTCTATGCTGTCAGCCTTCCTCCTAAATGGACATTAGAGGTAATTACTGAATGAATTATTTATTGAATTAAAAATAAACTTTCTTTCGTCTAAGCAACTCTGTGTTCTAATTCCAACCCACACAAAGTCTTGGCTCATCATCAGACACTCTATTGCTCTATACACCTAAAATAAAGCATGCTTGGGGTGATCAGGCTCTCTCAGCCATGGGTCCGAAACTCTGGAATGAACTCCCCCTACAAATATGTCAACTGTCGTCAACAGAAACATTCAAATCACAACTGAAATCTAATTGTTTTTTTCGTTGTATTTATTGCCATATGCTAATTTACTACGTCTAGGAAAATTTTTGAATTTTGTTATTTGTTTTTTTTTTTCTTATGTTTGTTACATGTATTTTTCTCTAAGCGCCATGAGCACCAAAAGGTGGATGTGTGCGCTATACAAGTAGCCACTATTATTATTATTATTATTATTATAATATATTCACTCATTCATTTATTCATCCATCTATCCATCCATCCATCTTTCGTTCATCAATCCATCTAATAGTACATCCAACCATCCTTTCATCCATTAATCCATCTATTCATCCATGCTTCCATCAGTCTATCCATCTATCCATCCATCCATCTGTCCATTCATCATTCCATCTATCCAGCCATGCAGCCATACATCATTCTTCTGTCCATCCATCCATCCATCCATTCATCTTTTCATCCATCCATCCGTTCACCCATATATCATCCATACATTGATTCCCCCCTTCAGCTAAACTGACAATGTACTTGTTTGATGTATTTGATAGGGAGAGCTTGCAGGACTCCTAACCAGTCTGGGATGTACGAGCGCTGCCTTAGAGATCTATGTCAGACTAGAGCTCTGGGAAGATGTGATTCGATGCTACAAGAGTATTGGAAAACCAGAGAAGGTAAGATTGCCGCTTCCACCCCTCCCCCCCCCCCTTTGATGGTTTGTTTCTACAAAGAATTTTGTTTTAAAATTGCCATGTTTTCTTTAAATTTCCTTTGAATTTGTCAAATTAGGAAATGTTTTCTTTTAGCAAAACGTAGAAGCATATTTAATTTATTATCATATATCTTATATATTGCTTCCTTCACACACGTTAGCTTAGAACGAAATCGTTTATAAAGAATATTTTTCTTCTTAATAGGTTTTTATAGAGCTCGTTTTGTCCAAGGCTTTTTTATATTCATGTTAATTACAGATCGTTCTTTTAGAGGCATGTGTTTATCACAACAGAACTGAAATTCATATAAAAATAAATTGTACGCTTTCCCTCCATACATCCATCGGCGGGCACTATAACGTGCAAACTTGACAATCGGCGGTTTGGGGCGAATTCGATGACTGCGATCGATGTCCTGCTTGTCCATGGTGATACCCATCTTTCCTGCTAGTAAGATGACGAGTTTGTCGGTGTTTTCATTGCGGCTCTCAGGAAGACCGTAGATCCAAAGGCACTGATGACGCTAGTATTGCTCCTGATCTTCGAGGGACGATTGAAGTTCTTTGACCTTCTTACTTAGTACGTCAGAGGTCGTTGCCAGGGCATCCATCCTTTGCTCAGTTTTCCTGAGTTCCAGCTGGAATGCCAGCTTTTTCTAGAGTCTATTGTAGAGGGCATCAACAATGGTGTTTATGACGGGCTGAGAATTCAAAGCACTCCTTATTTCATCGGCAATCATTGTTCGGATTTCGGCGGGAGAATTTGAATCAGTGGAATGTTTAACCGTTAGTTGACCAGCAGGGGCGTTTGATGTTAATTACCTTTCAATCAGGAGCTGCTCCCCAGGATCTTCGGCAGAGGACTCAGCTGGGGGTTCGATGACTTCTTCGAGGGCCTCACTGTGGTTTCTCGACTTCCCATTTTTCCTAGATTTACTGGAAGACATGGATCAAAAAATTTCCTACACTCAGCAGTCTGTTCCAAGTTAATGTATGGTATTAAATACTTGATATCAGGATTAATTATAATCTGGTTTAACTTACATAGCACTTCCAAAATCAAGATTGATTCCACACGTTTGTCGTCAGCAAAGGAATGTAAACAAAAGTCTCCACTGCTACTTCTTGCCTTCATGGACTATCATTTGAGACAGCAAACATGTCAAATACTCAGCAAACACACTACTAACTCCTTCAAATACCTCCAACTCGGAACCAACACCCGTATCACCTTTATCGCAAACACCCGTCCGAATTTTGTAAGCTCCACATGATTTAGTTTCATGTTATAAAAATGTTAAATCCCAACAGCTCTCAGAAATAGTACGGTATCTATACTCATTTCTGTGTCATTACAATTAATAATTGATGGAATAAATTTTATTTTCCAGAGTTTACTATTGTATTGATTATTGCCATTCTTGGAATGTTGATTTCTTAATATGACTTTTGTTGTAAATTTGTAGACATTTGGATATTTAGATTATGTGATATTGGCATCTATATCATCAATGAGGTAGTCAAGTGTGACTATTGTATTTTATCATTTAGTAGATGAGATAGATGTGGTTTCCAGAGTCATTGTCAATCTTATTTCATACATTTGCAGATTCATTTATGTAGACATAAAACCTTTGACCTTTGACCTCATTGATACAGGCCATCCATATCATCGAGGAGGAGCTGGCTAAGGAAGAGACTGCCCTCATGTGGTGTCTATTTGGGGATGTGACGCTTGAGAAGAAGTATTACGAGAAGGCATGGGAGGTGTCAGGTCAAAAATCATCTAGAGCGATGAAATCACTGGGTCTGATCTACCTTCATGATGAAGAATTCCTCAAGGCCATTGAATGTTTAGAGCTGTCGTTGGATAGAAACTACCTCCAGGTTAGCAGAGACATTATTGATACTCAATGCTACTCCATATAAATTTATCTTTATGACAGTTGAAATTTCTCTTTTTCTGTTTTAATGCCATTTTGATAAATTCAAGGCAGATTATAGTTTGGCATTATTGTATCTTTTCTGCTGAATAAGAATGCAGTAGACTAATCAGAACAATTACACATGTATGTAGTATTATATTTCACATACTAAGATAAGATTGGTCAAAAATAAATCATGTGATGAAAGATAGTTCGCCCATTATTGATGGGAGAAGCAAAAAGTTCATTACACTGTGTAGATAGTACTACTATCTACACAGTGCAATGCACTTTCACTGAAGATAGAGGTACTATCTACACAGGGCAACGCACTTTCACTGAAGATTATCCATAAGCGCACTAAAACAGGTGTAATGAAGCGCATTACCAATGAGCGCAATTAAAGATAACACATGCACGCACCGTACCCTCAAGGGGTTGGGTTAAAGTTTTAACTTTTTTGGTGTGAATTTGGGCCTAGGTGTCTTTTATGTAGATGCATACATGTCCTTTTCTTTTTGTAGTTAAATTGTATTAGATGTGGAATATAGAGCAAATAATCACCTTTTGGTTTCAGGCGATGGCAAACTATCACTTCCTCGTCGATCAGAATGTATACGCTATCTTTCCTCAGCTTCGCTTCGGAAAGATATAGCTACATCCAGATCGCCTCGGAAGTGATAGTTTGTCCCTTCACCTTTACCAACGGTAATTATTTGCTTACTACTCTTGGTGTTGTATGACTGTTGAAAGCTAGAGAGGATTTTTCTTGCAAAATATATATGGTATTATTTTTAAAATTCATCATTATTTTTGACAACAGCAGGGCTGTTATTAAGCGGGCCATTTTAAGACAATTTACATTTTTCAATCACATGTACGATTAATTCAACTTGCCTGAATAATACTTGCTACAGCCTCTTATATTCTTGATGTAATATGCATCAAAATCAGTTTGATATATCACCATGTATGAAATGATATTCCAGGTTAGTCAATTACTCTATGTTTATAACATGTTTTACACATCTTTTCTCCTTATTTCTACAGTATGGAGCTTGGTTCAGTCTTGGCTTTTGTTCGTTCCAGAGCAAGAAGTATGAGACAGCCGTCAAAGCCTACCGTAGATGTGTACAGCTTGAAAATGATGTAAGTATAATACTTGTAGTTCAATTGGATGGGGAAGTAGACTAACTATAGATGTGTGCCTACATAATGGAAAGGCTTATCATTCCCTTGTGCCCTACACTCTGTAGGTCCCCAACCAAACAGACCCTAGTTATGGAACAACAGCTCTGTAGATTTTAGAATTATTATGATGCAATGAATATTTTCTGATAATAATTTGGTTTAATATCCATTGAAGACAGCATGGTAATTGATTACATGCCATTTAATTGAGCTACAGCACGTAAGTCTCTAGGTCTTTGAATTTGACTTGTGAAGAGTAATAGAGCATCCTGTTTTAAAAGAAGCTTTATTTTCCTGGAATTTCATCAAAGATATAATTTGATCGTCAGGAGATTACTTATTTGTATGAATAATCTGTTTGAATTCTCCCATTTTCTTTTTTCACTTGTTTTTTAAACTTCTTGTGAATATATCTTTTAATTAATTTTGTTCTCCTGCTTTTGTATTGTTATCTGTTTTTCTAGGATTCACAGTCCTGGAATAATCTTGCAACAGCCTTCATCAAGCTAAAAGACAAGTAGGTTGTCATCTTGTTGCTTAATATTTTTGAGAATTGTGATGTGTATTCATTAAAAATTTACTTGAGCCTTTTTTCTTCTTCAATTGCTTTGAATTTAGACATGTATCATCAAGGTATTGAGATACTAAATTTGACATTTTCTCTTGCTTTCAGTAGTACATTTACAAGGGAAACAATATGATAGTTTCATAGGCAGGTGGTCTTTGTAATGATAAACTACATTGATGGGAAAATGACATTTAAATGAAACAGAACATGTGGTCTTTATAGACGGGTGGACATTAATTTATAGGTGGTTCCTAAAGTAGGTTTGACTATATATTTTTGTTGTATTGTCTGTCTCTGTGTTGATCACTCTCTGTTTCTCTCTCTCTCTCTTTCTCTCTCTCTCTCTGTCTTACTTTCCACAAACACACACACATTTATTGTACTTACTTTGTATATTTTGGACAACAGACCCAAAGCCTTCAGAACCTTACGAGAAGCTATAAAATGCAACTATGAAAACTGGAAGATTTGGGACAACTTTCTCGGGGTAAGTACTGGGATCATTCAGTCTTTTTAATTTGCTTCCCTCTGATTAGAAGTAACCCATCTAGTTGCCGCATTTAAAGGTTATAGAATGAAAACAATCCCACTTGAAAACTAGGTTTCAACCTACATCTCTATTCGTCCATTGCTTATTACTCCACTTTTTGGAGAGAGAGAAAAAAACTGGCTGGCTAAAGTGAAGGATTCATGTTTCTTGGGTATGCCATACTGTAAATCGGCTTTCAGAATAGATACCTTCTCCCATCCCTTTCTCACTCATGGTTTTTTTCTTTAACTTTGTCTCACCTCACACTTCTTTTCCAATATTCCCTGCTTTTGATCAGGTGTGCATTGATATAGGTGAGTTTGGGGAGAGCATCAGGGCATACGGGCGGCTCCTGGACTTGAAGAAGAAGCATGTTGATGAAGCTGTTCTAGAGGTCATGGTGAGAGCCGTGCTGGAAGACCTCATGGATTGCCATGAAAAGCCAGGTAAAGTATACAAATAATACACAGCAGTGAGGGCATTGGTAAGGATTACCCACACAAGGTACCTTTGAAACAGTCTAACACGCCCGAGGCGATAGCCGTGGGTGTTTGGCCTGTTTCGAAGGTACCGAGCGTGGGTAATTTTACTAATGCCCGAACAAAATGATGTATATTATTTGTTTTATAAAATGATGTTTTATTTGTTTATAAAATGATGTTTTATAACATGATTTTACTAATACCGGTCATTAGTAAAATAATGTGTTAGGCAAAATAAATGCCTGGTCACGTGTACGCTCTCAACCAATCATTTGATTAGGATCTGCTTCATCATCTTATAACAATTTATACTTCAGGTATACATAATCTGCTTAGAGCCAATAGAGCATTAACTCATATTTCTATAGAGAGTGAATGCCCTTCTGGCTCTCAGCGTGTGATGAATAATTGCATTTATTGAGCACATAGCTTGGAAGGAGCAAAGGATGAGATAGAGCAGAGGTAATAAAGAAATGAGGGAAATGAGGGAAAAGGAACAAGAAGGAAAGGTAAAAGTGACAAGAGACGGTCATTAGGAAATTTGAGGAGAGGAGATATAGAAGTGTACCAATCGAAGTTATTAAAGTTGTATTGTTCACATTAATATTTTTGTTTCCTGGAAAATATGAGCGTTTGAATTGTGCAAAAATCTCATCAACGCCTAAATTATAACTTTCATCAAAGTGAAAGAAATGGTTACTATCAGATGGTGCGTCAACTGAGAGATGAGACGAGACATTAACTTCTTTTCTGTGTTTGTTCACTATCTGCTGTACATGTATGTTTATGAAATATGTAAAGACAAAAATGGCTGCAAATGACTAGTGATAACTCACCTTTTTGAGAATATTTCAATGGACTGTTTTGTTTTACTTTGAATGGAATTTGCATCATAGCCTAAAATTATATTATATGTACAATTAAATGTCATGACTTGATGACTGTACTGATTGTCTATTCTTTTGTCGTGCAGTTAGCTTACTAAAACCCAAAATCTTGGAGCTGTTTGGAAGGATCACATCAGAGGTGACGGCTAATGCTACAGTGTGGAGTCTGTATGCAAAACTACTGGGTAGCTGCCAGTCAGACAACCTCGTACAGAATGACAAAGTTAGTCACAAACTGATGATCTTAAAGCTCTATAAACTTATATAATAATAATGCATTATTATTTTGGACATGACAGATATGTTTATATTCTTCTAGGGCTTATACATTGATTTGGTTAAAAATCATATATTTTTTCATGATTGAAGATGATGTCATCAAAATTTAGGAGCATTTTTTGCTGTGTTTATTTAATTCAATTCTGCTGGGATTGTAAATTACGGTGAGCAAATTGCAAAAAATGAATTAGTTTATATCCTAATTTGACCCTTCAATCTTTATTTCAAATTGATGTGTATTTGCTTTTAGCCTAATTTCAATCCTCTTTGGCCTATAAGCTTTTAACAGCTCACATAAATAGAGAAAAATGTTGAAATGTCCCAGGTAGAAATATAGAATACAGTTCTTCTAAAGAAATGTGTATGTTTATACTTAAAATGATGTAATACTGTAATATAGTGCCTTTAAGACTATAGTATTAAGATGGTTAATCTGCAGTGTTAGACATAAATTGGAGGTGTTTTATTACCAATGTGGATAGCATTGTGAAGTAAGTACTTGAAAGATGTATGTTCTTCTGATGTATTGGTTCTTCTTATCAAGCAATACAACTTGTTCATGTAGGATTTGCGATAAATGATTTAGTAGTGAACCAATTCTTAATTTGTTACTTTCAGGCTTTGCAGTGCTTACAGAGAGCTCATCGACTAGTCACACAGGATGAACATTGGCAGACAGAGGTCAGCCAGGTCAAAGAGGTCATAGATCAAACACTCACACTTGCAGAAGGTGAGAACGTAGGCCGAAAAAGATATTGTGTTCCATTCAGGGCTCAAATTAATTTTTTGTCCACGGGGGCTCTTCCCCCCAAAAAGAGCCCCCGTGAGCCTTCTCACGGGGGCTCTTTTAGTACTGACGGGAGCTCTTTTTTATACAAATATCCATTGAATTGGTACCTATGATACTCCTCAATTATTTACTATTTCATCATTATCATTTTAATCAGCATTTTCCCTCTTACAAATTTCCAAGTTACATATAGCTGTTACTGACTTTCATCCCGGGATGACATTCTCTCGATTTTTTCCCGTCCTGCACATTATTTCCTCCTCATTATTCGGAGCAACCTTTACATTCTTTCTTTACTGAGCCGCGTAGCGGCGAGGCGATTTTGTGTGTGTGCTATTTTGGACAGGCGCGGATCCACGGGCCGATTCTACCGCCCCTAGCCTACCAAACCGGTAAAAAAAAATAGGATAGTAACGTAAATTTTACCTTAAAAAAATAAAATAAAAAACGCCCCCCCCCCTGAACTGCCAGTTACACACAAATGCGGCATCAAAATATTTGTGCTTCTCTGACCGTAATTAAATGCCTAAAACCCCTGAACCCCCCCCCCACCAATTTACGCTCGCTACCCTCTACCTGATCGTAAGTACTTTAGCCCCCACTTTGATAAACGTTCCGCGGGGCTTGTGTATATAAGATATACGCATGGATGATCTATTCATTCATCCCCCCCCCCCCTGAACAATAGGTATTACGTAAGGATCGACACCCATGGATATACGCATACAACACTGATCTTTATGATGTCTTTAACGTGACATATCTTCTTCCCCCTTGCAAACGAGAAAGAAAACAAGTTCATTAAAAGGGATTAAGCGACAAATAATGATTGTGATTCAAATTGATAATATGGATATTTATATAGCGCCGGTATCCGCCAGGCTCTGACGCTCATGGCGCTGTACATACATGTATTACTATCACAAAAATATAACTTCTTAACTAAAAGAAAGTAAACTAAAACACAAATTATAACGCTACATTGACATGATTAGATAGCACTGTTTAGAAAGAGATGGGTTTTTAGAGCAACTTTGAAGGCATGAAGGGTAGTTAAATTACGAATACTAACTGGCAGCTTATTCCAAAGGGACGGACCAGAATGAGAAAATGCTCTATCCCCCCAGGAACTGCGCGTCTTAGGGACAACTAATAAGGAGGATTGAGATGAACGAAGATGTCTTGTAGGCTTATACTTAACAATCAACTTGATATTGTAGGAAGGAGCAGAGTCATACAAGGAATGGAAAACTAGCAACAACAACTTAAAAATAATTCGGTCACATACCGGGAGCCAGTGAAGAGTTTTGAGAATGGGGGTGATGTGGGTTCTACGAGAAGAAAGTGTGACAATACGTGCAGCAGTATTTTGCAGTTTCTGGAGTCGAGAAAGTTGTGTGTTAGGGAGCAGATAGAGAATAGAATTACAGAAATCTAAGCGTGATGAAATAAGAGCATGTACAAGTTTCTCTGTGGTTGAACGACTTAAGTATTTCCTAATAAAACCTAGATTTCTCAGTTGATATCTGACTGACTTACAAATACTAGAAACATGAGTTGACAATGACATAGACGAGTTTAACATGACACCAAGGTTACGACATTGCGAGGAAGGATGAATTACAGAATCTGATATGGATATATTGAACGACTGTATCTTAGCAAGATTTGATTTGGAACCCAATAAAATTAATTCAGTTTTACTATCATTCAGTTTGAGTGAGTTCGAGTTCATCCAAGTTTGCACATCTTTGACGCAAGCATCGAGTAGTTTGACAGTCCGACTTGCGTCATTTTGATTGGGAAGGAACGATGCGTAGATCTGGATGTCATCTGCATAGCAGTGATACTTGACATCATGCTGCTGTAAAACTTGCTTGAGCCTAGTGATGTACAAGGAAAACAGCAACGGCCCCCCGACTGACCCCTGCGGGACGCCACAACTGAGCTTGACAGGATCAGATCTTTCATGATTTACACATACCAATTGCTGCCGTTCATCCAAATAGGACATGAACCATTCAAGTGCGTGGTCACGAATTCCAATGGATGACAATACATTAACAAGAATACGATGGTCCACAGTATCAAATGCTGCCGACAGGTCTAATAACACGACTGCTGTGATCCTACCAACATCCATTTCTGTCAGGATGGTGTTGGACAGGTTGACGAGCAGGGTCTCAACACTGTGATTTGCACGGTAAGCTGACTGGTGATTGTCGAGTAGATCATTCTCCTGTAGGTAATCATACAATCTAGAGAAGGCTACCCGCTCCAGAAGTTTCGACAAGTAAGGTAGATTCGAGACTGGACGATAGTTCTGGAGACATTCTGGATCTAATGAAGGCTTCTTCAGTAGTGGATGAATATGAGCGATCTTCAAGGCTTTCGGAACTTTCCCACTCTGCAGACTCAGGTTGACCACATTGGCAATGTAAGGAGATATGATAGCGGCACATTCTTTCAGAAGCTTAGTTGGAATCGGATCAAGCTCACATGATTTCACAGGGTTGTTGCGGATAAGTGACTCAATTTCCTCTGAAGTAGTATCTGCAAGTGTTGCAAGTCCAATACAAGACAGTGGTGGAAGTGGAGCAACATCGGTACAGAGGTGCCTTCGAATACTGTCAATCTTGGAAACAAAGAACTGGCTGAAGAGCGAAGCTAGGGATTTGCTGCATGCGTTCGCAGGAAGTGGAGATGTCTGTTTGCGATTCAAGAGTGCATTAGCAAATTTGAACATCTTCTTGGAGTCGTTACCACAGTCACTTATTGATTGCTGGTAGTAAGCATGTTTTGATTTGCGGAGAAGAGAGTGTACATGTTGTTTCTGTTTGCAATACAGTTGACGATCGATCTCCAACTTCGAAAAACGCCACTTCTTTTCCAGGCGCCTACGTTCTTGTTTCTCACTTTTAATTTCGTGATTAAACCAAGGAGTATGAGCCCGTGTCTTGACAGTTCGGGATGTAGCTGGAGCGTGGACATCTAATAAGTCACTGAGAACCATGTTATACAAGTCGACTCTAGCTGTTACATCGTCAGTGGGTGAAGATGTCGAGGAAAGCTCGCTGTTCATCATATCTGTTGCAAATGATGTTCTGTCAATTGCTTTGATGTTACGCATGACTCGAGGATGTGCAACTGATGGAGGTTTGTGCAGATGTATATTGCACAAAATTGCAGAATGGTCCGAAATACCTGGAGTTATCCGAAGGTCTGAGAACACCTTGTCATCAGATTGACGAGATATAAAACCGTCCAGGATGTGACCCTTGTCGTGGGTAGGTATGGAAACATGCTGCACCAAATCATAACCTGCTAATAACTCATTGAATTGCTTGGTGTTTGATGCCAACAGATTGTCAAAATGAATGTTAAAATCCCCAGTGATGATAAGCGACATTGGTTTTAGCAATCGCTCGTCTAGCATGCTTGAAAACTCGTCAAGAAAACTTGTATACTTTACGGAGTTACCTGGAGGACGGTATATGATAACAACGTCCACATTGGTATTCTTGGAAGTCAAGGTAGCTGACAACATTTCAAAGCATTGAAAATCTGATGGAGGGTTGACGATCACGTTCAATTCACTGCGGTAAAGGAGGCCGACTCCACCTCCACGTTTACATGCCCTCGGGAGATGTATAAAGCTGTACCCAGGAGGCTTGATGGCAGCGATGACTGCATCGTCATCCGGAGTAAGCCATGTTTCACAGATTCCCACAACATCACAGTTTTTTTCCAATATAAAATCCTGGAATTCTGTAGATTTGTTTCGGAGTGATCTGGCATTCAACATACAGAACGACAGATGGTCATCCTTTAAATAAGTCTGATCAGTCAATGTAATCAAGTTGATGTTGCAACTTTTGGGCACAGACGTCTTCACAAACTCAGGATGTGTATATATATGTGCATCGGAAGATGAAGGAAACCCAGTAATGACCCGGATTGGCAAGCCATACTTGCTTTTACTGCGGTGTCCTCCTTTGAATAAGCGTCTTGTTCGTCGTCGATAAGTTGAAGGGTGAACGAGGCCCCATCGTGATGCGAATATTTGTTTGAATAAGCACTGCTATTCACCCGAATCTTCTTTGTAAAAACAACTTTTACAAATCTCAGCCATGCTTACTGAGTTGAGACGTTCCATTCAATGTAAAATACTCATTGAAGAATACACTTCTCCTAATCTGAAAGTGATCTTACAACACAATGGCAGACTTGCATGGCTGAGATTTGTAAAATTCGTTTTTACAAAGAAGATTCTGGTGAAGAGCATTGCTTATTCAAAAAAAAAACCTTGCATCAATTTGAATCACAATGATTATTTGTCGCATGATCCTTTTATTAAATAACCTTGTTTTCTTTTTTGTTTGCAGGGGGAGAAGAAGCTATGTCACGTTAAGAAATCATAAAGATCAGTTGTATTATGCGTATATACATGATACCAGAGCAAAATGTTGATTATCAGAATGTCATTTTGGAATGCCTCTATACAAATACCACATTGTCTTTAGCCCGTATCAGTATTAGTATGAACCAATATAAAACTAATATTCTTTATTCAGTTCAGTATAATGCTTTTCCTCAAAAATAGTTTCGCTATTTTTTTAGGGTTGAGACGCTAAGAAATGGTTTCAAAAGTACATTACACAAACCCTGAACCATTGCAAAATGATGGTGGTTCTCTCTCTCTCTCTCTCTCTCTTTACTTTAATCATGCATTATCAACTACATAAAGCAGCAACCAAAAACTTAGGGTTATCTGAGATAGGTGAAAGTAAGAGTTAAAAAGAAAGTCATGCTAAAACGGCGCTTCACCTCCCCCCCCCCCCCTGAAAAAAAAATAGATTAGTGGTCCTCCTCTCCAGCATCCCCCCCCGCTTTAATATTCATCGGCCGGCTGAGTCAGCGCAAAAATGTTCCCCAAAACTGGACCCCCAAAACAAATATATGTGCATTTATCCAGCCCCCCCCCCCCCCCCTCATTCGCCGATCGCCGGCTGGCTGATTCGCCGCTAAGATTTGCCCCCCCCCCCTCTTGCCGCCGCACAGTGGGCCAGGGAGGAACCAAAGTGCGCCAAAACTCAATTTTGGTGATTTTTTTTTTCAACTTTTTTCTTGCCCAGTTGAAAGGTAACACATTGAGGAATACCTCAGTAAAATATTTAATTCCGGTATGCATAATAAGGGTATAAATTTACTCCTTCAAACAGCATTATCCTACATATTCACAGTTTTAGTGCAAAAGTGACTTATTTTATAAATCTTTCAATTTAACATGTAGTTTTTAAGTTATTGATATTAAATTGCTCTCACATATTCCTGATAGTTCATTTCGTTGCATGAATGGGTTAAAATTGATAGAAACACAATCTTCATGATGTACTATAGGGTAATTCACTGAAAAATGGACTAATTATCCATGTTTTTTATAAATGCAAAAAAAATGTTTAGATCTCCTCAGAGTTCCGTTTCAATTTTAATACCACCATTTTCTCTGATGTCTAAGCTTGAAGTTGATACCAAATTTGGCTGCCCGATCTTGCCCGTTCTTATGTTAGAGCCGATTTCCCTTGCCACATTGCCCCGAAAATGTTTTTTTTTTTTTTTTTAGGTCCGCGGCTGAATCATGAAGGATTCGCGGTCATAAATCACGGAGCGGGGGGGGGGGGGGGGGGGGGGGGGGGGCGTGTGACACACGCTCTGACAAAGAGATTCGATCATACACAGTATGTCTTCCGTAGGAGGACATAGTTACGCGTTCTGACACCGCATTCCAAAATAAAACATTTTCGGTGCAATGTTGCAAGGAAAACGGCTCTAACATAATAATGTGCAAAATCAGGCAGCCAAATCTGGTGTCAACTTAAAGCTTAGACATCAGAGAAAATGTTGGTAATAAAATTTAAGCGGAAATCCCTGGAAATCCAAACATTTACTCTGGATTTATAAAAGATAAATCCCCCCCAAATGAGTTTTGGCGCGCTTTGGTCCCTCCCTGGCCCACTGTGCGCCGGCTGGATCCTGATTTTGACCCCCGTAAGTGATGTTTTCCTGGCATCTACTTACATGCGAAGCATCGTCCACGAGCCGCATAGCGGCGAGGCGATTTTTGTTGTTGTTGCTATTTTGAACCCCCGTATTGTTTTCCTGGCATCTACTAACATCTTACTGTGTGGGTCGATCTGGACACATAATGACGTTTTTCTATGCACATCACATTTTCACTTGGCAGCCCAAGGGGGCCGGGGGGGGGGGGGGGGGGGGGGGGGGAGGAGGGGGTTAAACCCCCTAACCCCCCCCCTAGATCTGCCCATGTTACCATATCATTCCACGACATCTTGGTCTTCCTCTTCCTCTCAATAGGGACTTTTAGATTTGCGTGGACGTGGACGTGTTACGTCCTTTTAAGGCACTGGCAGTCACATGTGACGTCCTTTTAAGCACTGGCAGTGCCTTAAAAGGAGGTCACACGTTGCAGTCCACGTTCTCATCGTGCAAATCTAAAAGTCCCTTATATTGATTTACTGGTCGAGGTTCATTATTTGCTGGTCATTTAAAATCACCAGATTTCAGCGGGTTAACGCTTTCACAACGAAAACCTTCATGACCATGTTTCTGCCCTTAATTGCGCGATCGCCTATAACCACTGCTGACGGCGGCGCTGCACTGCGAGCTGAATCGGTAGTAATAGGCCTACTCATAGAACGAGAAATCTTGCACGCTATAAGTTCTATTTCATTGGTTTAAGGTTTGAAAATTGAAACTCAATATTGTGTTAAAGTTATAACAGAAAATATAATCTTTATTTTATAATTCCACGGGGGCGATTTTTAATTTTCCAATCGCCCCCGTGAGCAACCTGACGGGGGCGATTATGTAGCTCACGGGGGCGAATCGCCCACCGCCCCCGTGTATTTTGAGCGCTGGTTCCATTAGTTAAACATGTGATTTATGCCAACTCTCTTTTAGACAATACACAATATGTACATTTACAAGATTTTGACTCATTTTTTGTTAACATTCTGACATTGGAAATCGTGTATTTGAGGAAAACAATTTAATCATTGTACATCACATGACTATATACTTTAAAATTACATTCATATTACTATGCAAGATTACCTGGTTTGGATTGGAATTCATCTAAATATATTTTGACATAATGTTTTCACTTTATAACCGATATTGAGGGTTTTCCCTATGGGTAATGTCTGAATAAATGTCCAAATAAATTATGCTATTCCATTTATTGTTATTTTGTTCAGCTTATGAGTATTGCAGTAAAGAGAAGACCAATGATGCTCAGACTGTCCAGTTACTTTCATCAGCTAAGCTTATGATTAAATCAGTCATCTCAAAGATCAAGGTTTGTATGACATTTCAAAGCTTAAAATGTATTATTGTTCATTATAAGATGATGACGTAGATCCTAATCAAATGATTGGTTGAAAGTGTACACATGACCAGTCATTTATTTTGCCTAACCGGTCATTATCCAATTGTAATGACCGGTCATTATCAAAATCATGTTATAAAACATCATTTTATAAAACAAATAATACACATCATTTTGTTCGGGCATTAGTAAAAATTACCCACATTTTGTACCTTCAAAACAGTCCAAACACCCTCGGCTATCGCCTTGGGCGTGTTAGACTGTTCCAAAGGTACCTCGAGTGGGTAATTCTTACTAATGCCCTCACTGCTGTGTATTATTTGTATACTACCCCCTAGATGGTTACCACCTCCCTGCTTTTGAAAAATAACCCTCTAACATTTTCTCTGCAAGATAATATCTAGCTATGAACACCATTAATTAACTTAAAATACAGTTTTCTTGTGTGTAGTTTACTTGTGGCTATTGTTTTAGGGGTTTTGTTACCTAGTAGTTTTCTTAGGTATTGTTTTCCAGATTCATGGATATCTAGCATGTAGTTTTCCAATTTTCAACTAGATGAAATCCAATTATTTCAGCTCAGTATCTTTCTATTATTACTTTTGAACAAGTATTAAATGGAATGGCCTTTCAGTGGGTGATAATGATCTTTTATATCTGTTCTTTTTGTTTTTAGAAAGAGCATTACGATGCGATAGTTCCACCACCAACTTGGGCTGAAGTGAGTCAACCTGTCGAGGGACTAGAGACCAAACTTCAAGAACTACTGGACAGCATATCTCAGTTAAAATCAGGCTGAAAAATATGAACTCACCTATACTCCATTTTGAGCTCAATTGAGTTGCAAGACCTTGTACAGCATATCTCAGTTAAAATCATGCTGGAAAATGTGAACTTACCTATACTCCATATTGAGTTCATTTGAGTTGCAAGAACTTGTGATTTCAAAGGGAAAACAAACTGATATATGTCGAATGATGTAGCAAAGGAAAGCATCAGGTTATACAATAAATAATAGACTTTAAATCCTGGATTGGATTTTCCAATATTTTTATTTTAATTTGTATATAGAACCTGTCAACTTGTTTTCTATATTTAAGAAATGTACGAGGTATATACCCAGGTAACTCCTTCAATGAGATTTATGACGTATCATCCAAATGGAGAATTATAAAAAAGTTTTCTTCTTGACAATCCTTTGGAGATTTATATATGTGGCCTCAATAAAAGATAAATACATGTTTAACAAACTGAGTCAGATTTGGTATTGACCATTCCTATAAATGCATTCATGTTAAATTTAGCTTGGATGCTGTTTAGAGAAATGCAGAAGATCAAATTTTGTTTTTAAGTATGACTTTCCATAACTTCATGATTATGCTACTCATGCCAGTAGTACATGTATATATTATTTATAGAATATAAATATACCCTTAAAGATATAGACTGGTAGTGGTAAAGCAGAAATATATGCCCAAATGTTCAATGTTGAAGTGCATTCACGATATCTATCCAGGCCGGATCGATGTGATAAATTTACCAAATATATCAATTAGTAGGCGGTGTCCCAGCAAAATTTGTATCATGTATTAGTCAAAACATATTATTTTACATCATTGGTAATAAGAGCTTCCATTTCAGTTTTGAGAGGAGGGTGTTTCCAAAACTGGTCTTTACCTTTAACCAGGGCGTTTTTGTCACATTACTTGTATGTATTATTAATGAATCTATATAATAGGGGATATTTATGTCCTATGATAAAATTCTGAAGCCATTTTCTTTGAAGTTGAACAATACGTTTTAACATCATGTGTAATAATCCGTCTCCAATGAGGAAAATGAAAGGGCAACTGTAGAAACCTCTGGGAGACATATATACATGATTTGGCACTTTGCTACTCTTAGTGTTCTCCATTAAAAGAAATCTCCATCCAAGAACAAAGTATAGTATGGACTTGTCACTGTCAGCATGCCAGCTCAAATAGGAATAATATTCCCCAGCTTTTTTCTTCTTCTGAGTCATGGCTTTATCATTCAGCAGGGTTATTGGGACAATTACCGTCAGTCATTGAGTTGTCTCACCTTTTAAAGGAGAGAAATTACTGCCCCGAATCATGTAGAGTCATATTTTGATGACTAAAGAACAAATGGGGAAAAAATGACACAATCATGCACAATGTTGTGCGTTGTTGTAATGAAAAGATAAGTTAATCAATTTAAAAAAGCATTATCTAATAAGAATATGAAGGAAGGATTGTGAACAGAAGATTATTAAATCAACTGAACTGAATTTTGTTTTGTATTCCATCATATAACATGAATTTTCTTTTGTTGAGATATAGGATGGATGTGTGTATTGGTGATGATGATTCTGATGGTGGTGATGATGATGATCACGACGTTGATGTTGATGACAGTGATAAACTGGAAGTGATGATAAAAGTACCAGTGAAAGATAATGATTAGGAAATTGATGAACGTGATGATTTGGTGAGGAATGTAAAGTGCGATGATGAGAAACTGATTGTGGTGATGACAACAATGATGGTGTTACTGAGGAGTACAAAAGGATGATCATAATTTGGGTTAAGGATAATTGTGATCAAGGGTGAAGGAGTAGTACAAATAAAGGTGATGATTGTGTAATTTCATTGTGGGAAAGTGGTGATATCGATATATTGATATTGGTGATGATAACGACGTTGATGCCGTTAATAATATTAATGATAAGAGGGTGATAGAGATGAACAACTTGGCCGGTATCTTCCTTTACTCTCCCACATAATTTCAATACAATACCAAGAAGAAAAAATCAAGCAATTCTTAAATTACAATCTTATTTTATTCCCAGTACAAAATTGGCAGTACAAAGAAAAATGGATGTACATCACATGTACATGTAAAATACAAAAAGAAAAATAAATTCAATATGCATATTGATAACTGCCCAGCTGTTCCTTGGATTGAGTTTAAATATGTTGACAAATAACTAAGGAATGTCCCATATTATCACCCGTTTTAATTCCAACTTTTCTCAATTCTATGGGCATGAATAATCAATATATGACATCTATCAAGAGAAATACCCGGGACGATTGATAAACGATGAATAACAACTGCAATTGTGCTAGAAATCAGAACATTTTGAAAATCAGAAAGTGTCTAATTACAACTGATTTTGAGGCGTCATTTAACGAAAAGGAAGCAAATCATACTTAAAGTTTCATTACTCAGCTGTAAAATGTGTTTATTTGAATTATGAACTCAAGTTGCTGAATAGTATACATCATAAAAAATTGATAATTTTGGCAAGTGATGCAAAAAAAGGGAAATATTTCAGAATTTTTTACACCCACAAATAGAAATGGAACCATTCTAGTCTCTAGGCCAAGCAAAATAGTTTAACATTAAATAGCTGAAATTATATTCTAGAGGACAACAAAAAAGTTCCATGTTTTAGAATATGTTTGTAAGAAATATAATACATATTTCTAGTCCTACTGTAAAAAATACAGTGCATTTATTCTAATTGATAAGCATAATTGTTTAACTACTTTGTGTCTAATACACTTAACAGTAATTTTTAAACATAGATTCTCTAACGGGGTAATAAGATTTCTTGATTATGTGTATGGCTGTTATTTACTTCATCCATATAAATGTATTACAGTAGTATTTACAGACTATAGCACACAAATAATTAGAAATGCCTGACTCGATTTAGTGATTCCATCTGTAAATGCAGCAAATAAGAACATTTAGATCGGGGATTATACTGAACAAAAAAAACATAAAAATATAATAATATTTTGAGAAAAGTCAGATTTTTTGGGGGTGAACATTCATGATCTAAACCAATACCATATACTTATTGCCCGTTTGGAGCCAGAAGGGCGTTATTAACTCAGAATAATGCCCTTCTGGCTCTGAACAGATGACATATTCCATTTCAAAATTGTGTTTCATAAAGAAATAAAAAATTCTATATATGTACATGTACAATCCATATGAACCACAAGACACTTATTTTTCTCATCTCACTTGCAATATCCATATTCAGGCTATATATCAAAGAGCTATTAAATCAACAAGTTATATATGATAAAAGAATTCAATTGAATTCAATATATACAATTTTGCAAACGAGTCATATGAAGTAAAAGCTCATTTGAACAAAAAACAATGTACTACCAAATGTTTGGGAGAACTTCATTTTTAAAAAATTGTTAAAATCTAGAGAAAAATTCAAAGGATACAAGTAAATCAATCATATACCACTGAAATACAGATAAGTGTTGTTCAACTCACATTCAAGCTTACACTTACATGCATTTTCTTCAATGTTCATGATGTTCAACATCAATTACTTTTTTTGAAGCATAAACATTCCCTAAGACCAAAATATTTTGCAAATTTCCCGCAAGGGATTCGACTTGAAACCTGGTTTCAAGCCATTTTGGGCAGATCTACCAGTAGTACTGACCTTTCAACATAAGCCGATCATTTTAACACCCATATACAATCCAAACATGCATCGTCTTAGTTGCATTCAAACATATACTAGACATCTAAGAAGCGTTTCATGATACCATCAAAAGTACAAAATTGCAGAAAACTCATTGAAATGAATGCATTAAATTGAACACACGTTTCAACGTCACTGAACTTGTGTAATGGTCATGTGAAAGGTTTACTGGGTTTTTTGTTGTTAATGTCATTGCTTTTATTACACTATAAAAAAACAGTTTCTTGCTGTGAGGATGGCAGTCATCAATAAATAATAAAGTCTAGGGTAGCCAAAGTTTCTGGTTTTACTGGTCCTCTTAAAAAATGGGAGTTAGATGTGTTCATGTTTTGCTTGTGTTGGAGTACTGGTATTCACAGTCTATGTAAAATGCAATTAAACAATAATAAAAAAATTGACGGACTCGCTGTGTAAAATGATGGATAATACATATGTCTAGAGCAAAAAAATGTTTAAGACATATACCAAAGGCAAGACATGTTGAGCCCTAGGTCTATTTTAAGTTTACCGGTATTTATTATTATTTTTAAAATTGTAATTTTGGGTTAAAATCTATACAACTACATTTTTTATGGCCATGTGTAAAGTTCTATGTAACCCACAAGCCATCAAATATGAAGTAAAACACTATAATTTCAAGCATCAACTCATACATGTTTACTACATCAGAAATGTAGCAACTACAATATACATACCATGCCATACTATTATACAACAGTAACATCGTAATCTAATAACTATATACAAATTTATGAGCATAGATATTACCATTTTTTCTTTAGAGAACTGCATTTTTTACATAATTTTCTCCTTTTTTTTGGTTTTTTTTCTTCTACTTTTGTCATTTTATTTATTTATTATCATCATATTTATATTAAAAAATTGAACACAACAATGACATCTTCCATTTTCAAAATATACGTATACACTAACATATGCAGAACAATTCTCGTTAAGACGTCAAGCTTACATGAGTAAACCAAAGATTAAACTAACAATCCATTCCTCAATTTGTACACCACAAACTGAGCTTTACTCAGCAAACGGTGGGCAAACTCCGGCCAGAAGAGGTAAAGTGTTGGTTACATATGAAATCTCACATACCCCTAAATTCAATTCATGACATTTTCATTATTACTTCTTTAGGAACAATTTTCCATTCCTATCAAATAATCAGTGAAAATGGCTGTGCAAAGTTCAGGGATTTTTTTCTTTAATCGATTCAATTTTTCCTTGCCAACTTGCCCAAGCTATTTCAATTAGTCAGAGTGAGCTCCCAGGCCAAGTTAGCAATGATCCAATCAGATACTACATGACACACACTACCACTACAAATGCCTTATTTTTCAACCTTTGTGTCAGCAAGCTTGGTTACTGTTTTGACACTGGAATTCACCAATCAGCACTTAGCTTTTGAAGCTTCACTGATTAGTGTCACCAAAATAAGCAGGCTTTTCCAAATAAATTGGTGATTGTATACCTTGATGACAAAAACATGTTGAAAAAGCCTTTGCTTTCAACATGTATTGACTGTTTTTCATCAAACATAGGAAAATAAAAGGATGTGAGGTCTTATAATGTTGAGTTTATCCAGTCAATGCCGTGAAATTTGCCTTCTTTAATGAGTTAAATGTATGTAAATATTGTATATCAACCTATTCAATGCCATTCAAGGGTTCACACATCAGTACTCAAAGGAACTTACTTAATGGATAAACCTATCAGTATGGGTAATGCCACCTAGTTGTCCCTCTACTAAAGCCTTGGGGATTTATCAAACTAATGCCATACAGTTACTGATCAATAATTAAACTTGGTCATCTTCCTGACGACATCCAATCGTTGATGAATCTCAGCACACTTCTTGAAATCACCACAGGTTAGCTCAGGCCGCTTCTCATGCAGCCAGTTAAACAAGTAGAGTGTTGAGCTCTTGGTCAGAGAATCAACGTATCTCACTTCCTCAAACCTCATCTTATAGTAGTAAGCAAAGACCTTCCAGTCACTGCCCGTATTGGTCTCTGGATCCAGCATGATCTTCAGCATCTCTCTGCAGCGGTAGTCCATGTCTTTGATGGGAAAGTCTGGAGGATCCTTGGGCTCCTCAGGAAAGTCTGTGGTGAAGAGAGGACGACGGGGACTGTTGATTCTAGGCGGAGTGGTGTGAACTCTTTCATCATCTGCAGGATACCAAAGAAGTGAGGTTAAAGGTCATGTATGGCACTGATTGGTCAATGGTGCCTTTCATTTTTTGGTGAATAATAAGCAAACATGATAAGAAAATAATTTTGATCCTTCACCCTGTAATTACATTATATTATTGATTTTGTCATTACAATATACTGCCTTAAAAAAGTGATTTTGATACATCCTCCTTATTTCATTCAATATCAGCCGATGTTAGTATAAGATAGGAGCCATGAAAATGAAGAATACCAACCCAGGAGTCTGACAGAAGACAGCCAATTAGAGACATACTCTCGTTTCTATGCACACTGTGTTATCATTCACTTTAAACCAGACTTTGTGAAACTACCAAGTAACGTGTTTTAATATCTAGTACACATTCTGATGATTGACATTCATGATGATGAGCTTTCCTTATGGAGTAGTTTTCCTGAAGTTGGTGGAGGCCTGGAGGGTACATGCATTACAGAAGACCTGTCAGTCCTACGAGTGAGAATCACTCTTGCTGCCTGATAACATTCATTTTAACCCACGATTACATGTCTTTTGGTGTGGAATCTTACCATTTGTATTGCCCTCATCTCTCACTCTCTGGCCTGCTCTTAGTGGAGGAAGAGAATGGAATTCAGGTCCAATTGCATTGACTGGTAATTTTTGGCCAAAACCCTCTGTCAGAAGTAAAGTCAATGTAAAAATAAGATAACAATAGGATAGTTAAACAAAATTTCAAAATGAGGTCATCAACTTATTAGTCTATATATTGAAAGTACTATCAAACAGACGGCTATATTTCCTCCAAATCTTTAAAAAAAAAAATCAAGGTATACATCCTTATATGAAAATTACAAATCAAACTTGAAAATGCCAAATGAGGGATAAATTATGATAATCATTCTATTGAACAGCAGTGGTGATGTTAATGTAGTCAGATAATGAAACAATTCATGAAACAAATGGATAAAATACATTCCTGGTATTAATGTATTGCTTTGGGAATTACTTTCAGCGTTAACTTTTCTTCTGAAGTATTTCTTTACCAAAAAACTGTGTGCTTACCTCTGAAATCTTCTTGTTGGAAAGCATCTTTGCTGTTTGGATTGGTACATTCATGTGGGTTGTCTTCAGCAACTTGAACAAATGGCTTTCCTCCTGACCCATGTGATGTATTGTTGAAGGATGTTGTTGCGGGTAGAGATGCAGGCCCCTGGCTGGTGTTGATAGGATTGGGGTTTGTTTCCAAGGATGCAAACTGATGTTGCCATGATCCCTCTGATGGGGCAGTGGAGACCACAGATGGAGTGATTCCACTGGGGTATTCTTGATGAAGAGAAGCAGCAGGTGCTTCAGGCTCAGACATATGGATGTCTCCCGTGTTATCTCTTCTTGGGATCTTGTTTCCAGAGGGCCTCTGCATACCATCATCACGTGGAGCAGGCCGAATATTTGGGGGTATCTCTGCTGCAGGGTAGTGGCCATTTCTTGAAGGAGTACATACATTATTAGGTCCTGCTGCTGCAGGGTACTGGCTCCCGTTGCTGCTTGGATTAAAACCTGATGGACACTCAAAGGTTGCATCGCTTGTTGGTAGCACTGGTTCCTTGGATCCATATGGCAGGGAATGGATGGAAGTGAGAGGCATTGAGTCTCCATTGGCCAGGTACTTGTCAGTATTCGAGGATGACTTTGAAGCTGTTGCTTGGTGATACACTCCAGATGAACTATCCCTTGATGTTGGTAAGTGTCCTGAAGCTTGATGACCTGCCTGGCTACTGTCACTCTGAGAGGGGGTAAGTGGTGGTCTGCTTTGATGAACATAACCTTCCATCGGAAGATGGCTATTCCATGAATCTCCATTAGCTCCAACGATCTTCCAGTCCTGGTTCTCGGATCTACCTCCACTTGAAGGCTGTGCATTGATGGGTTGACCATTGCCAGGGTTACATTTCCCACCCGATGTATAACCTGCTAAATCCTTGCTGTGAGAGGAATGTGCTGAGGGTACTACCCTTCCTCCTTGCTGATTCTGGTTACTGGGGTTTCCTATTAATCCCATCGTAGAGCTGAGACCAGGAGGGATAGGACTGGTCCTCATCTGGACCTTGCCTTCCTGAGAGGACAGATAACTGGGTTCACTCATCTTGCGTTCATCGTTTGGAAGCTGGTGACTGGTATCCTGTGCACCTGAGGGTGGGTTGGCTTCTGTACTGTCAAATGCTTTTTCTACTCCTGACATATTTCCAGTGTGGTGATCTGAAATCAAGAGCATAATAATGAAAATTCAGAAAGACTGTCAACAAATTAAATGAAATTCTGTTGTTTTTAGTTCAACAAATTAAGAGATAAATAACCTCACGAAAAATGTTTTTACATAACTCATTGGGGATACCTTTGTATTTTCCATACCCTCCCTGAATATATTTGAATAAACAAAATACTACATATCAGCACTAAATTAGTAAACAACTTTTTTTCCGGCGCATTCATCAATTGCTCTCACATGATTGAATATTTCATGAATTACAAAAAAACAAATAAATAAACCATTTTGAAGATTTATTTAGCATGTGTGCAAACTGAACTAATTTTTACCCAACACAACACCTTTGGTAGTCAATGTCCTTGTAGGTGAGCACCATGTGTTTTTATTTGATAGACATGCAGCATGTCCAACATCATATAATAATCATAACAACTTTTGCATGGCTCATATTTTTCTTAGTCCTATTTCAATTAGATATAGTTTGTCTAGGAGAGTGATGATGGGTCCTGTTGAAGCACATGGTGAGTTTTTATATGTAAAAGACATTACTAAGACCTCCAAATTCACCACAAAATAATATTGAAACAAGAACTGATGAAATCAATATCAAGCACTGCCAGGTTACTATTCAGTTTCGCATCCCATTAAATAGATCACCATGGCGTTATTTTCTTTGGTCTTACCCAGGGCAAGCTTAACTCTGTTGATGAGATCCGTTGTATCTATGGTTCCATCCTCATGTCTCTCTAGTGAAATAATCATCAGATCAGCCATCTTCGGGAAGGCCGTGAATATCTTATGGCGATTAACCAGACACATGTGGACCACTCTCTTCATGGAGGCCGATAAAATCAAGGCTGACATAAAAACACAAACAAAAAGTTGCTTGTTTAATCATTAAACAACCATAACAAAGTCAATTAGGACTCTATTTATATGATTAACCACTGGCATCAATTCTGATAATGTACAGGTGTATCAGATAACATGTATTGCACTGAACAAAAATAAAGATTAGGATAGGCAAATATAGAAGTAAACATATTATCAAATTTTCCTAATGGCCTCAAATGTAATACTGGAGTGAATATTTTAAAGGATAACAAAGTTAGATTAAATTATACATGTTTAGCAACCTTAAATTTACCGCCTGGAAAATGAAAGTGAGATCAAATATAATCTGACATCAGGGTTTAAGTCCTACATTACAGGTCATGTAATAAGGCTAATATTCAATGAATAAACCCAACTCTCATAGTATTGTAAGGCCCTAGAAATGAAAATATATTTTTCCTTCTAAAAATGAAGATACATGCAAATACCAATTTGTATAAAAATAACACCAAAGAAAAAATATAATGTTTTCGTTAAAATTGTCTAGTGCTTTTTAAAAGAGGAAATTATACAAGGGAAACGCTCTCGGCAGTCTCGCCTGCATTACGCAATTCAATATGATGAAAAATTGAGGTTGGGGCATTATTCATAGGCAGGGTGGCCCATTAGGAGCCCCCCCCCCCCTTCCCCAATGAAATCCTCCAAACATAATCAGCATTTTGAAGTGAATATTGACCAAGAGTCATCGGAAGAATTATTTACTATAATTTGTACCAAGATTAATAACTTTAATGGAACATGAAGAAAAAAACAAAAAACACTTTTTAAAATTTTTTAATCCTTACATACTGACCTTAAATGACCTTTGACCTTGACTTTGTGACCTGGAAATTGCGTCATAAGATTTGTGATACTTGATAACCCTTGTGTACAAGTTTTATGGAATTTGAACAAACACTTTTGAAATTATGCTAAAATTTCAAAATCTTGATGCCGCAAAAGAGTCTAAGGTTGTTGACCTGAAATGACCTTTGACCTTAATTAAGTGAGCTGAAATTCTACTCACATGATTGGGGATACTGGATAACCCTTTAGTGTAAGTTTCATTGAATAAGAGCATATACTTTCAAAATATTATTAAAAATTCAAAAACTTAACCTGAGGTTAAGTTTTCGATCTTGATGCCACAACATAGTCCAAGTCCGTTGACCTGAAATGACCTTTGACCTTGATTTTGTGACCTGAAATTCTGCTCACATGATTGGGAATTCTTGATAACCCTTTAGTCCAAGTTTCGTTGAATGAGAACTTTTACTTTCAAAATTATACTAAACATTCAAAAAATTTACCTTAGGTTAAGGTTTTGATGTTGACGCCGTCGCCGTCGCCGCCGTCACCGGAAAAGCGGCGCCTATGTCTCGCTTTTTTGCTACGCAGGCGAGACAAAAATGACTACATTTTCATTTCTATGTTTACACAATGAGGGAAAAACAACAGACAAAAGAGTCTGTGAACCCCATGCCCTTCAAGATTAACTATAAATGCCTCCTGTAATTAGTCAATGATTGTTAACCCGTTTTGTTGTAGCCGCATTAACAAAAATGTGATAAACCTTTACCTTCAAAGCGGTCTTTGTGTGGTGATCCTGTCATGATATCCAGTAGCCTTTGACACCAAGTAATGACTCCAAGTGTATTGGGACCATCATTCCTAATGATACTCTGTACTTCCAACATCACTATCTCTGGGATCTGTTGATCTTTGTGACATGAAAAAAAAAAAAATTAAGGTAGTTGTAAAATGGATAAGTTTGATATAGCCAAGGGGTGGGGGAGGAGGGGGCTGAGTGAGTGATCCCCCTTACCCCAATAAATAAAAATGCCTCATTAAAAAAAAAAAAAAAAAAAAAAAAAAAAAACTTCAATTCTAATAATTCACATCTAATTCATATATTTAACCAAACTTCATAAAGAACAATATCAAATTCTTCAAAGTTGTTATGAGAGCATTGGTGTAAATATATCACTGCAGTATTTCTTACATGTGCATATACTGTAGGACTTTGAGGTCATTAGTGATCATTAAAACAGATGACTTCAAGTTAAGCAAGCAAAGAACAGGATGTTATATTATGATGGAAGCACTCTATTCAGGTCATGTTTCCATCTTGTAGTTGATTTAATTTTATAAAAATATTAACCATGTCTGCTGTTCGATTTCAAACGGACTATGAAAGTTGTAGAATAAGTAAACAATGAAGATCGGAAGGTGTTGTTGATACCTACCTTGTATTCTGTTGTAGAGTTTGTATTTAGTTGGATCCATTAATTGAAAGCCATCTTCAAGCTCTGTACTGATTTCTCTGACTGCTTGCTTGGCTGCCTTGTCACCTCCATGGACGATATGAACTATGCGGCGTCAAATCAATCAAATTAGAAATACCATTATCCCACCATCAGATGGGAGAATTTTAAAAAGAAAGACTTTCCTCCACGGTTATTGGATCAATTTTAAAAGAGAATCAGCATAAGAGAGCTAGTTTATCATTAATATCAAATCAAATACCGTAGTCTAAATATGTTTACATCTGAACAAGCCCAAGCATATATCAAAAGATAAAAATGGAAGGAAATCTAGAACTCTCAAACAAACCTACAACATATCCTCAGCTCAGAAAGTATCATACCGAGAAAATAACATTTGACATAATAATATTTTTGCAAGTTTCCCGCTATGGAAATAGCCATGCTTAACGATTTAAAAGATTCATGTTGTGTGTATTACCTGAATCTATTTCTAGTGTAGCATCATCCCTCATAGGGATTCCTGAAGATGCAGCAGCCTCTGATTGGCTATCACCTGGACCTGGTTGGATATATAAAACAATAAACATGTCAAGAGTGGATGTGCATTGAGTGGGAGAGAGTGAGTGAGGGGGGGGGGGGGTAGAAAAAGAGACACAGAAAAGGGAGATGAAGAAGGTTATAATGACAAAAGCTGTACATTACATGGAGACAGACATGGAAAGTGACAAAAAAGTGGGATATCAAATCAAATCATTTTATATTGCTACTACTAGGCAGATGACTGAAGCCTGCGTTGTGTGTTAACGTGCCCCTTCCCTTGTTCATAGACGCAGGTTATGTCAAGTGGAAAACACTCCGTCCCTCGGATAGGACGTTAAATGGAGGCCCCGTGTACAGGAGAGTCATAACCCTTACACGTTAAGAACCCATTGCACTATTCGTATAAAAGTAGGGGGAAACCCCGGTGTAATGGTCCACCTGCATACCCCAACCAGGCCGAGTATACGGCATCTGCAAGAATCTTCAGTATTGAAGGAGGCAGATTATCTTGAAGAAGAAGAAGAAGAAGAAATCAAGTTTTATATATATCACATGATCACACTCATTGGATAGAGAGAAGAAGAAGGAAAAATAGAAATAAAAGCACAGAGGGAATGGAAAAGAGGGGGGGGGAGAGAGAGAGAGAGAGAGAAAGAAATAGAGAGATAGGAAAAGAAAAGGGGAGGAGATGGATGAATATATATGGTCACATATGTACTAACACATCATTGTGCAACTAGGGGGGGGGGGGGGGGTCAGGAATGATGTACATGTACAATGTAGGTCCCTAATAAAAATAAGAGGAAGTACATTTGTATATCATACAAAATCAACCCAAACCTCCAAAGATAATAAATATAATGAGACAACACTGGTCCATATGAAGAGAGGAAAGGAGTGATAAAGTGGAATGAATTAGGGGGATTATCAGAGTGAAAGTTGTAGAGCCATTAGAAACTGTCCAAAAAAGTGATAATAAACAAATAAGGCAACAATTTATATTAAAATATGACTAGGCAGTAAAGAATGTTTAACTTATCAATATCTACGTAACAGATGGTGCCTCTTGGATGTAGACTGTAAGTATCGAACCCATCTCCCAAAATGAAATGGAAGTCCTAATAACATTGAAAGTCAAGTTATATTTGACGGTAGAGCTTTATATTTAAAAGGCACTGGGTGTATGCAATAATTGAATTTTTTTTGAAGATTTTAGTTTACAAAATGACAAAGAAAGAGGTAAATTTACCTTGAAAGTAGCTGAATGATTTCATAAGGCTGGTTTGAATATCTTAGAAATGAGTTTACAACAGATCCAAAAATGAATACCTGCGTGGCAGATTAGGTGTCAAAGTCTAGAGACCTTTTTAGTATGCCAGTACATATCTGGAGGCCTTATTTGGACTTAAAAAAACAAAATTGTAACACAGATATGTAATCTAGGGATGTGTCATAGTACTCATTTCTAATAACCTTAAGAATATCAAGAACTTAAACAAATATGACAAAAATAGTGCTAATGTACGCCTTACCTATCCATTGCTTTAAGATAGCCTTTACAAAACTGGGTAACTTCATGTCGCTTGGATCTGCTCTGCATTTCACTCCAAAATTGTTTAGTCTGAAGTGCTCTACAAATCTCTGGGAGAAAGCTTCTTGAAAGATAGGATCTGAGGGCGTCAAATCTTTGTCCCATAAGAGTGCCAAACGACGCTCATTCCTTGATGTGCCTTGGTCTTTTAAGATTAAATCTGAGGGGGAGATATGAAAATCAACTGCATATCATATGGGAGAGAGACTGAGGCTGAGGGTCAAAAGGGCGTTACCTCATATAGGTAATACATAGCTGCCCTTCTGGCTCTCAGCAGATGATATGCAAACCTACACATAAGCTTATTTATTCACTAACTCCTTCAATCCTGGATAAACCATTTTCACTAACTATGTTCAAAATGTAATTGTGTGAGTACAAAAATATTTGAAAAATCAGATGAGAATTTTTTAGATACCAGTATTACTAATTCAAACAGTCACCTACATTGAAAGGAATTTTCACATTCATGAGCTGAAAAAGATTTCAGCTTATGAAGATTACAACCTAAACATGTTCTGTTTTTTAAAATAATTATTAGGATTGGGACATATACAGGGTATTAAGATAATAATAAACCATCAATAATTGAATTTCTAAATCAACTTCTGTTCTGTCAATAAAATACAAAAGGCACATTATATATACACTTAATAAATTGTTAATACATGTATTAATTCTACACATTAAAACATTAAAACATATAATGGCATACATGTACTAATCTTTCATAACACCATATATTCAAAGTGTTTCTTAATAATTGCATTGTAACTGGCTAATAGGTTTCCAGTCTAGTATACAAGAGACTTGCACAGTCATGACAGTCAGGAGTTGGCATGATGTAATGGGGAAATCCCCATCTCCCTTGATTTCTAAGAATCATGGGAATCAAAGAGGCCATAGCTTCCCTCACAGGTTAAAGCCATCGAAGGTGTTTGCAACCGCATGAGTCACCATGTTTTGATGAGAGCAGCATGTACAGTAGAGTGGCTATTATTATAATAAAAACCTTTATATACCTCTCTTTAGAAATCTAGCCTTCTGATTGGTCGAAATTGGAGTCGTTATTTTAGCCATTCCCATAGAGAAACGAACAATGCCAGTATCGGTTAATGGTTCATGAGTGAGATCCCCGCAAGATTCCGGGTACCAGGAAAATAGTAACATTTTGCTGCGATAATCCCCTCTGGTTTACATGTTAAAATTTAGTTTGTGCAAGCGCGGATACCACACTGCTTTTTGCTGCGATTCCCAAATGATTGTAACATTCAGTCAATCTATCCAGCGTCGCAGATTTTCTGTGATGTTTTAATCAATCTGTACTCAAGAAAAGGATAAGGTAAGAATTCGATTTTTGTGTCAATTCGGTATATAAAAGATATATCGACTGCTTTAATATTCGAGGCCTGGCTGTTGGCTCTCAGGGTCTTCAGGGACGTTGCATCCTCCGATGACCCCTCAGCGTGCCACACACCCAGGCGCGCCTATAAAACAGCCAGGCCTCTCATAGCAGTTGATATATCTATACTAGTACATTTACTGTAATATTGAGAAATACCCATCAATCTGGTACCATGAACCTATATTTCCTTTTGTGGGTAAGGTAAGGTCACAATTAAGTGATCTAAAACCACATCCTTTGAAAGTTTTCTGCTGCATCATAAAACTTTATCAGTACAAATACAGGGCCAGCGAATCAATACTTATTAATCATACTTGTATATAAATAAATACAAATAAATATATTTATGGAAACTGAAATATGCATACTGTGTTTGTTACTCTATTTCAAATTGCATGTGAATTTACCAAAGGCATGTATAAAAAGAAAGAGATTTATGTCTAGAACACAAAGAAAATTGTTAAAGTTGATACTCTAAGAATAAAATACTGAGATAATTACATAAATAGAAAGCTTTTAACCCCCATAATAACACCAAATGGTGTCCACCCGACAAAACAAGTTTAGAATAATGAATTCATTCGAGTAAACTCTACCAAAATATCTAAGTCTGAAACCCGGAAGTGCAAGTAGAGTCAGGTCTCTATCTGTGATGTCACGAACGGGACTCATGGGCTCAGTGAGAGTGAATGGCAGTGATATCCCTACGTAAATGCTATCCTGTCAGAGCTTAGATTTGTTGTTGTTAAGGAGTATATTTGATGGATTTTCTGTTTTCATTTGAATGAAGAATAAAGAAGCAACATTTTCCAGTCGCTGATTTCTTTTTATATCCTCATATTCACCTATTTGGTAGAGATTTAAGACGAGTTTACTGCTTAGGAATTAAAGTTAAATCGTGGACGTATGAATAGGCGGATGCATTAGATAAGGTACACGAGCAGTTTTGTAAAACGAATAGGTCTAGAACTATGATAGTACTTATCATAGATGTGTGTGACTGCCTCAAAAAAGGATACAGTACCAGTTAAATATTTTATGTTGTAAAATATCAAACTTGAACGAGATCATGCAAGCGCGCTTCCTCTATAATATTTTGGCGAGTGATGCGGCTCTTGCATGAACGTTCGTGAAGCGAGCAGAATCGGGAGGTAAGACCAAGCCGCTGCTTGCTTGTGATGGAACGTACATGCGCTAGTTATATGTTTATCGGCAATTGCAAGAGAATGAAAGCGACGTTGCCAGCTAAGAAAAACAACTAACAAAGACTTGCTCCTGACTACCGGTGTCAGAATTGGTAGATGAAGGATCTTCAGGGCCAAGGAAGGCGAAAGACATGGGAAAAAGGAAGAAGAAACCATCGGGAGATCGCTGTAGTGTATGGTAATGAACTGTGCATGAGTAGACAGCTACTGTTCACTCCGTGCCTGGGCCGATTTCAACACCAAACAAAAATTACATGGTGAAAATATCGACTAATAGCACATCGTTGGCATGTATATGTCATCATTTTTAAAAAGGGAATTGATATTAATACTATGAAGTACTAGGGGAAGGTAAAGAATTGTACATAGAATTATGATTTATTAGATTTTTCAGCCTTTGAAACAAAAATATGCAGAAAATCGTATCACTCTGCACATGTTTGCTATGGAACATCCGGGTAGGTGAATATATTCTTTCCCGGACGTGAGGTCATAAATAGTACACCAGCGCCGTGACTGATTTTCTATGCAAAGAGAGGCAGATATTTTCGACATTTCAATTGAGGATTTCGAGTAGACAGAATTTTTTTGTGATATACTAAGTAATTGAAAAACTTAAAAATAACATATACTTGCCGTAGGTAACAAATTAAGGGACATTTATTTGCTTAGAGTATCAACTTTAATGAGTGTCCTTGTGGTTCCATGGCAGGAAATAAAATGTTCAAAATCGAGCAGTGGCAAGGTAATGTTTTAATTCTTTAACCTTGACTAACAACCTGTCTAGGTTCAACAACCTGTAAGTCTGAACATGTGCCAAATGTTTGATCATCATTAAAGTTGGGACATTCTAGAAGACCGACAGCCCATGAGACTTACAATGTCGGTCTCATGAAACCTCTAATTACTAATCAGAAGGCTAGCAACTGACATGTTGAATCTCGTGGGCTGTTGGTCCCTGTGGGCTATTACATATTGTGGCCATTGTAGCTGTACTAGTCTACATCGTATTCCCTTAAGAAGAATAATAATAATAATAATAATAATAATAAAAACGTTACTTATAAAGCGCTTACCACCGAAGTCTCTAAGCGCTATACACACAAAATAGACTGATATACAATTACATCTTATACAAAACTAAAAATGCAAATAAACATACAAATTACAATATAAAATATAGTTCATTAAAAGCGCATTCCAAAAGAAACTGCAAACTTGGTACATGTTCATGGATACATGCTGTTGCACTAATTGGATTATGAATCGTACTGCAGTCCCAAGAGGCAAACCACTCATAGCAGGAAATATTCCTTGGTTTATTTTCTATTTAATCCTATCACAAATATTTAAAGTTATTTCCAAAATTTCAATCTTTTTTCCAGATAATCGACAAGAATTATAAATTGGGATTATATTTGGAAAATTATAGTCTTATGATAGAAATCGAACTTTAATAGTGAGCCAGTACAATGAAAGAGGTTTTTAACAGTCATGGCATCATCATTTTTTTCAAAGGCACCTTAGAAAACTTCACTGGGCAGTAACATGTTGCATATTAATACACAGCACTTATACATGTCCATGTAATGTACACCTGTACTCCAACATGAAGGTGCATGAGCATTGCACGTGAACAAACACTATGGCACTGTAAAGCAAGGCCTTTGACAAGCACCATCTACATGTACAGTCCGATGACATGGCAGTTTTTAGGGAGATTAAATGGTTCTTACCTTGGAATGTCTGGGAAATTTCCTTGTTATTTTTCATAACTTCACAGAGACGAGATGAGAGAAAGATGATCGCCTTACAGTGAGGTTCATCTTGATCCAGATCCCTCATCTTCTCTACAACATATGTTGCGACGTTATCTCCTAGAATCGCAAGAAGAAAGGAAAGAGGTTCACTTCTGAATGTGTTTCATTATGGTACCTAATTGGCAATGAACATGCTCTGTTTAGACATGGTGTAGTTAAATACCTTAGAAACCAGTGAGGCAAAACTTCACATCTAAATGAAATCAATGGCATAAGGCAATGTTGTGGTCTATTAACCCTCTAGCAACTAAACCGCCCGAAATCGCTCGTCCGTTTTCAACGCGCTATACTAGTATCTGTTCTAGGGTCTACCGTTATGTTATACGTGTGTAGTCCTTACGATGTCTACAGTAGGATTAGGCATAGAAAAGAGCATGTTTCATATTCTTCAGAAAAATGTCAAAAATGAGAGAAATATTGCAAGATCTTCCAGTGAGTAATTGGCTATTTTTACAAAATCTGCTCCCATGATAAATGACTGTAATAAATTTGTTCTGTAATTTCCGCCAATTCCAAGCTCAAAATCATGTAGATAAACTGAAGAAACTGCAACTAATATTCCTCCATTGCATCCTGTTTTGCTAGCATTTGCGCAGTGCCTAGTTTCAACCCCAAACGGCCCCAACCCAGCTATTTCCACAATCTCACAGTTGGGGAGCCCATTTTCCTCATCTTAGGCCCCCCCCCCTTGCCCCCCTTTGCATACATGCCAACATTTGAAAATCAGAAATCTGTACAAATTATGCTATTTTCAAAAAAAAGAGGAACAATCCTAACTCTCCTATTCAATACTACAGACAAATTTGTACAGGAAGGGGAACACCTGCATTAAAATGATAATTATCTTCTCCCAAAAAGAGGAATGTTCCTCTTTAATCTGAACAGTTGGCATGTATGCCTTTGACTAATAGCGCGACAACACATTCCTCACAAAACTTAGCAACCACGGTAAGTAGAAAATTCAGACAAATTAACATTATAGGAGTACCCTCTTAAATTCTGATGATTAATAAAGATTTGGAATAATTACTTGACATTAAAACTATTTATTTGTGTATACACAAACACATGCAAAAATCTGGCTTTGTATGGAATGAGGACAAAACATAAGACTCTTAAAGGCCCACTGCACTACTGGTAGCTACTTGCGCCCTCTATATAACAAACAATGCCTAATCGGTGACCATTGGTCCCCCATGATCCTCTTTTTCTTATGTTAACTGAGAGCTGAGTTGATGAGATAACCACCTGTCCAGTGACCTTGCAGAGCGGTCTAATCCCTCCTGTAAACTACGGCAGATAAGCTTTAAGAGAACAACATTAACACTAGTGGTCAATGCTAATGCATTTAATTTTCTATTTTTTTTCTAAGAGGAATGGAAGTGGTGGTTAGACTTAGGAATGTAGGATTATATCTAGAATACGACTACTTACTCTCATTGTAGCGACGTTTATAGACAACTTTCTCTTCCAGTTTTAACTCATCTTCGACTCCATGAATAATGGCAAGGATGGAATCATTCACTTTCTTCTCTGCATGAATAAGCAATACTAGGTGAGATACAAGAGAAAACAAGAACATGGGCATGATTGATCATACTTGTATATAAATACTATTAAAACATCACTGAAAATTTGACATTTCCTTTAAAATTAAAAGAATTCATAGAAATGAATCTTCTAAATCCAATTACATCTACCCTCTTCATGTCTAATAAAAAGATTCTTGCACACAGTTCACAAAAGGCAGCAAAGATGAGCAATACAATACCAGATTCTCGACAAGAATCTGCACAATGTTTACATAGACCTACATGTAATTTTGTATTTTAAAAAGTGAAACCTAGACCTAATGCAGACTGGGGACATTATTTTCTGTATGATCTTGTTTAATATTAGACCGAATTTTCCGTCTCTTTCGTTAGTTAAGCCTCTTATTTGGATAGGGTCGGCTCTCTCTTTAGAGACGGAAGCCGACTATACGCATTCCCTTGCTAACACCATGGCCATTTTTGGCCATATTTTGATGCCCCGAAAATCCCCCCAAATGTCATTTTACCTCGTGCATGTTATATTGTAAATTAGGCCTAGGCTATAATAAATCGGTTCCACTTACCAACTTGACTGAAATAATTTGTTTAATGGTCCCTTTTTAGGAAATTATGGGTCAAAATCGAAATCCATGTTGAAGATCTTGCAAGAGGTATTTTAACTCTCGCTGCGCATGATGTCATCTAAATCTCATCTCTTCTAGTCTAAACCGAAGGCAAAATGATTATGAAGGAAAAACTGTGCGCGAGCTATACGTTCGTAATGGCATTATCACAGTTTTTCTTCATAATCATTTTGCCTTCGGCGTAGACTAGAAGAGATGAGATTTAGATGACGTCATGCGCAGCGAGAGTTAAAATACGTCTTGCAAGATTTTCAATACCGATTTCGATTTTGACCCATAATTTCCTAAAAAGGGACCATTAAATGGATTATTTCAGTCAAGTTGGTAAGTGGAACCGATTTATTATAGCCTAGAGTCTAGGCCTAATTTACAATATAGCATGCACGAGGTAAAATGACATTTGGGGGGATTTTCGGGGCATAAAAATATGGCCATAAATGGCCATGGTGTCAGCAAGGGAATGCGTATAGTCGGCTTCCGTTCTCTAAAGAGAGAGCCGACCCGACCCTACCCCCCGGTGGGGTCACTCAATGTGACTTCCGGACCGCATGACCGTTACCACAAATGCATATAACCCCCTTTTGCGGTCAATTTCAAGGACATTTTGTTAAATTTAACCCCCTTTTTTTACGTCAAAACAAGGACAAAATCGTACTTTGGAATACCCCTATTTATAAGATTGTAAGGACACTTTCGCAAATTTACCCCTATTTTACCATATTTCAAGGACAAGACTCGGCTCCGAGAATTTTTCTTCCTGGTTTTCTCTTTTCCCTTCCCGGTTTTCTCTTTTCCCTTTTCCTGACCCCTATTTATCAATTTCGAGGACACCTGTGCACCCCTATTTTCTTTATTTCGAGGAATATTTTGTCCGCGGACATTGCTTGAAATTGACCCCTTTTTCCGCGATTTTGGTAACGGTCATGCGGTCCGGAAGTCACATTGAGTGACCCCACCGGGCCCTACCCAAATAAGAGGCTTAACGAACGAAAGAGACGGAAAATTTGGTCTAGATCTACATGCATGACCAATTTTTTAAATATGACCTATCTTGAACAAAGCTGCTAAGTGCTAGCTGATTATCTGAATCTGAGATGAGATATTGTTTTTTATTATGATTATCAATATCATTTCAGTATATAAACGTGAACTTTAACTCACCTCGCCATGACATGTTGTCGTACATCATGATTGAACTTTGAGAGTGAAGTGTCGCAGCTCGCAGCTCAGTTTGAACAAAATGAAATGAAATGTTTCACATCATAAAAGGAATTTGGAAACCTCTCTTTGATGTTTTAATGTCAAAATAAAGACGAACTATACTTTCTGAATCCTCAGTTGGAGTGGATAAGTAGACTACTGTCAAAAATTGGCAAGCACCAAAATGAAACAAAAATGAACAAGCGAGTAAGAAAGTCAAAGGATAACTCTCTGTGCTATACTGTTACTTAGCTTGAATAAGTCAATAGGGAGTTGCATGACGTCACTGAAAGTCAAGTCTAGTCGAGAATCTAGAGATAATTTCGTTTAAAAACTACCATAAGAATAATCTAATTATCTTTAAATATATTTTAGTATTTTTCACAGTTATTACATTTTATAAATTTCTCTTAGAAAAATATAATTTAGTATAAATTAATTATTTTATTCAACAGATACCCGTACAAACACAGTGAACTATGACATGGGGAATTCCCCACTACCACCACCTCCACCACGCACAGAACTGGAAAATACGTATTTTCCACACACAAAACCGTGAAAGCCGTTAATCATAATGGATCTAAAGAAGATAAAAGAAAAAAAAAACAAAACAGATTAGTAGGGATTTTATTATTTCATTTTGAACGGTGATATCAAACACAAAATACATACATTTGTTCAAATCGGAGATAAAGAGAAGATCTTAACCAGTAATGTTATAGGCACGTAACGTTGGAGTCCATATAAATATCACCCCTCCCCTTTCCAAAAGAAATAGATGGACGAAAGTTTCATAAGTGAAATGTGGACAATTACTTAAAGTTTACTTCCATCATGCTTTTAGGTGCTATACGTATACGCAGAGTCAACATTATAGACACTGGCAGAGCATTTTTCTTATGTACCGTGAGCTACTAGCTATAGTCCTGACGCTGATCCTGCAAGCACATCAAATTAATCCATTCTACTTGTCTAATTTTCTGATTTTTTTCATATTTATTCATGGCATAATCTTGTTTAGTTGTGATAATTGTCTGCATTTTACATTCTTCTTGTTACCTCTACATTCGAACTTCAGAAATTTGCATAAGGCCTAAAATAAAAACTTGTTGTATTGCCCTTTAGGTGCCAAAACATGGGTCGGTCGGTCGGAAAAGATTTTTGTTTTTTTTTACATTTTGTTTTGTCGCCCTTTTGGGCCTTCATTTTTTTCATTTTTTGTCTTCCCCGCCCTCTTTTGGCTGATATTTCTTAGTTTTCTAGCTAATGCAGTGCATGGTATAAACTATAAACACATACAAGAGCCCGGGTCTACTTGAATGTTTACGCTAGTAGGATTTTGAAACTAGGGCAGAAGACGAGTTAGAATTTCGGAATAATTGATTTTATGCATTTATATCCCATTTAAACAAATGAAATACATATTTTTGTATTCATTAATTCAAAAAATTCTAAAAAACGGTTTTAAAAAAAACTTTTTTAAAATTCCGACCGTAGATTTTCAGATTTTTTGGCCTAAGCTATAACATTATTCATGGTCGGCGTATGGAAGACTTTCTGCCTTGACTGTTTTCGTGTCCCATTTGCCATATGAATCTCTTTGGAGAAAAATAATAACACACACTCAACGCTAAAACGGAGACAGTCCTTTCATTCTAGTCCTCGCAATGGGAAATCCCCTTTTTTCAAAAAAATTTATTACAACAGATGAAAACACAGTACATCAAAATATGAAGAAATTGTATAACAATAATCTATTTCACTCTATCCAGCTTATTCCACAATTATTTTACATTTATACGCGTTACAATAATGTTTTCCTGTCTCCCTGTCCCACGCAGATTGCCAGTAACTATAAAGTCCTATACATTGTACCTACCGATATATGTATATGTGCCAGGCTGGTGTTCAGTCAATTTTGGGATGGGAAAGGATACGACAATGTCAGAGCTGACGGTGACAATAACCTCGTCCAAAATTACAAAGCCGCCTTTCAGCGATGGACAAGCAAGATCATGATAGACTTTAAGCTATACTGGTTGTATAGCAATAATCTATTTCACTCTATCCAGCTTATTCCACAATTATTTTACATTTATACGCGTTACAATAATGTTTTCCTGTCTCCCTGTCCCACGCAGATTGCCAGTAACTATAAAGCCCTATACATTGTACCTACCGATATAATATTTATTGTTTTATATGGAGCGATACCGTCTTATTTCATATGAAATAACATTAAAGTAACCCCCTCTTCGGGAGGGGTGGCTTCAAGTAAGTGTTAAGACTATATTTCCAGGGAGAGGTGCCCAGGCGAGGATCCACGGGAGGGGGGGGGGGGGGGGGGGCGACGGCCAACGCAAAGCAAAATAAAACTGGTAAAAAATAAGATACTTTTTATAAACAAAAAACTAAGCGGGCCCCCACCCTCCCCCTGGCAAAAAATAAGGTAAGAGCATTTTTTGTTCGCCTCCCCCCCCAAAAAAAAAAATTGGTATTCCCCCCGGTCCCCCCCCCCTCCCCCCCTCCCCCCCCCTCCCCCCCTCCCCCCTCCCCCCCCCCCCCCCCCTCCCCCCCCTCACCGGCTGGCTGAGTCGCCGCTAAATATTTCCTCACATCCCTTTAATAATTGCTGACCCTGCAATAGATACAAAGGGAGTTTACATGGTCTGGCACTTTTGAAACACAAGATAATCTCCCGCCCCCCCCCCCCACTCAGTGTTATTTAGGGTACGCATATGCGTGTTCCAACCGACCCCCCCCCCCTTTTCAGCAAAAGTCCGGTGTGTAAAGTCAATACGGCTCGACCTTTTTCTTTTGTATACGAGCCTTTTTCAGCACCCCCCCCCCCCTTCAGCAAAAGTCCGGTGTGTAAAGTCAATACGGGTTGACTTTTTTCTTTTGTTACGAAAAGGACATTTTGGTAACACGCATGGGGTCCGTAATATAATATCGTAAGGTTTAAATGTTAGTATATGGGGTATATGCAAAGGAGCAACAACACAAATAAATCTTGGATGATGAAACTTAATGCATTTTGAAGCGACTCCGAACCTAAATACTTTTTTTTATTGGATCCTTTCTCATCTTTTTTCATAATTTTTTTTTGCTTTTCAACAACAAAAAACACGTTCTCCGTCCCTTGCAATCGCCGCCCTTGTGCCGTGGAATCACGTTATATCGACTGCTACAAACAACCGTGCATTGTGAAAAGAAATAACAAAGATTGGGCGCCGATTAAGCAGATTTGCATAATAATCGTCTCAGAATGTTTTCTTTAAATTCTTTTCATTCCGATTTCGGGGGTACTGCTTCGGTATGTGCCAGGCTGGTGTTCAGTCAATTTTGGGATGGGAAAGGATACGACAATGTCAGAGCTGACGGGGACAATAACCTCGTCCAATTTTACAAAGCCGCCTTTCAGCGATGGACAAGCAAGATCATGATAGACTTTAAGCTATACTGGTTAAAATGACAATAGGCCATTTTCGTAATGTAACCAAATTTAATGCATAAGTCTTTGTGAAGTGCCTCAATACAAAATATTGCATTCACCTGATAAGAATAATAGTATTTCAATAGACAGAATCCGAACTGCATACATAAGTTGTTGCCAGGTTGGACAAACATGATGGCTTGACCTACCTAGCAACACTTAATATATGCAGTTGTATTCTGACTATTGAAATACTATTATTCCTAACAGGTGAATGAAATAATTTGTATTGAGGTACTTCACAAACACTTATGCATTAAATTTGGTTACATTACGAAAATGGCCTATTTAATCAATCAATTCTTATCTACTCCAGTAGTCATGTTCAATAGGAGCATCTCTCATCACAATCTGGTATTGAGCCAACAATCTTCACTGATCTTCCACCATGCCCTGCACAGATTTTGGTAAGTGAACACCATCTTCTTCTGCCCTGTCTTTAATATCTACAGGATTTATTTTCTTATTATCTACCATGCTACCCATGAACCGGAATAAACCAAATCCGACTTCTTTGATAACGAGGATTCTATAAGTGCGATATATCTCATATTCAGTATGATTGCAGTTTGATGGTATGTAGATTATTTTGTATAGTACTTGTAAATGTTATTCGATAGTTAGCCTCGTAAAATGATAATGTGAGCGGTATATTTTGTGTTTGGGTACCAAATTCAAAATTTATGAATGATTGTGTGTAGCCTAGTAATATTGATACGATTTAAATGTGATGTCATTTTCAAAAGAGCCTGGCTATAAAAAGAATTTTCATGTTTGATATCGTTGTGATTTCCATGGCTTCTTCCTGCGCCGAAAAGTTGGCGCCCTTTTAGGCAACATGCGCTGTACGAAGATAGTGCAATGCTATTGTATGTATGTAGATTAAGGCTAAGTGTAGATGGTGACCTGTGAATGATGAGCCTACCGGGCCCTGCCCTTTAAATTGTAGGTGAACGGCACGCCCAGTCAGATGCTCTTTTTTTTGTATGTATGTAGGTTAAAGCTAAGTGTAGTTAATTCCTGGCTGGGAGATGGTGACCTGTGAATGATGAGCCTACCGGGCCCTGCCCTTTAAATTGTAGGTGAACGGCACGCCCAGTCAGATGCTCTTTTTTTTGTATGTATGTAGGTTAAGGCTAAGTGTAGTTAATTCCTGGCTGGGAGATGGTGACCTGTGAATGATGAGCCTACCGGGCCCTGCCCTTTAAATTGTAGGTGAACGGCACGCCCAGTCAGATGCTCTTTTTTATTGTATGTATGTAGATTAAGGCTAAGTGTAGTTAAATTTTGGCTGGGAGATGGTGACCTGTGAATGATGAGCCTACCGGGCACTGCCCTTTAAATTGTAGGTGAACGGCACGCCCAGTCAGATGCTCTTTTTTATTGTATGTATGTAGGTTAAGGCTGAGTGTAGTTAATTTTTGGCTGGGAGATGGTGACCTGTGAATGATGAGCCTACCGGGCCCTGCCCTTTAAATTGTAGGTGAACGGCACGCCCAGTCAGATGCTCTTTTTTATTGTATGTATGTAGGGTAAGGCTAAGTGTAGTTAATTTTTGGCTGGGTGTGGTGGCCTGTGAATGATGAGCCTACCGGGCCCTGCCCTTTAAACTGTAGGTGAACGGCACGCCCAGTCAGATGCTCTTTTTTTTATTGTATGTAGGTTAAGGCTAAGTGTAGTTAATTTTTGGCTGGGAGATGGTGACCTGTGAATGATAAGCATACCGGGCCCTGCCCTTTAAATTGTAGGTGAACGGCACGCCCAGTCAGATGCTCTTTTTCATTGTATGTATGTAGGTTAAGGCTAAGTGTAGTTAATTTTTGGCTGGGAGATGGTGACCTGTGAATGATGAGCCTACCGGGCCCTGCCCTTTAAATTGTAGGTGAACGGCACGCCCAGTCAGATGCTCTTTTTTATTGTATGTAGGTTAAGGCTAAGTGTAGTTAATTTTTGGCTGGGAGATGGTGACCTGTGAATGATGAGCCTACCGGGCTCTGCCCTTTAAACTGTAGGTGAACGGCACGCCCAGTCAGATGCTCTTTTTTTTTATTGTATGTAGGTTACGGCTAAGTGTAGTTAATTTTTGGCTGGGAGATGGTGACCTGTGAATGATGAGCCTACCGGGCCCTGCCCTTTAAACTGTAGGTGAACGGCACGCCCAGTCAGATGCTCTTTTTTATTGTATGTATGTAAGTTAAGGCTAAGTGTAGTTAATTTTTGGCTGGGAGATGGTGACCTGTGAATGATGAGCCTACCGGGCCCTGCCCTTTAAATTGTAGGTGAACGGCACGCCCAGTCAGATGCTCTTTTTTATTGTATGTAGGTTAAGGCTAAGTGTAGTTAATTCCTGGCTGGGAGATGGTGACCTGTGAATGATGAGCCTACCGGGCCCTGCCCTTTAAATTGTAGGTGAACGGCACGCCCAGTCAGATGCTCTTTTTTATTGTATGTATGTAGGTTACGGCTAAGTGTAGTTATTTTTTGGCTGGAAGATGGTGGCCTGTGAATGATGAGCCTACCGCGTCCTGTCCCTTAACTGTAGGTGAACGGCACGCCCAGTCAGATGCTCTTTTTTATTGTTTGTATGTAGGTTAAGGCTAAGTGTAGATAATTTTTTGGCTGGGAGATGGTGACCTGTGAATGATGAGCCTACCGGGCCCTGCCCTTTAAATTGTAGGTGAACGGCACGCCCAGTCAGATGCTCTTTTTTATTGTATGTATGTAGTTTCAGGCTAAGTGAAGTTAATTTCTGGCTGGGAGATGGTGACCTGTGAATGATGAGCCTACCGGGCACTGCCCTTTAAATTGTAGGTGAACGGCACGCCCAGTCAGATGTTCTTTTTTATTGTATGTAGGTTAAGGCTAAGTGTAGTTAATTTTTGGCTGGGAGATGGTGACCTGTGAATGATGAGCCTACCGGGCCCTGCCCTTTAAACTGAAGGTGAACGGCACGCCCAGTCAGATGCTCTTTTTTATTGTATGTATGTAGGTTAAGGTTAAGTGTAGTTAATTCCTGGCTGGGAGATGGTGACCTGTGAATGATGAGCCTACCGGGCACTGCCCTTTAAACTGTAGGTGAACGGCACGCCCAGTCAGATGTTCTTTTTTATTGTATGTATGTAGGTTCAGGCTAAGTGTAGTTAAATCCTGGCTGGGAGATAGTGACATGTGAATGATGAGCCTACCGGGCCCTGCCCTTTAAATTGTAGGTAAACGGCACGCCCAGTCAGATGCTATTTTTTATTGTATGTATGTAGCTTTGGGCTAAGTGTGGTCAATTCCTGGCTGGTAGTTGGTGACCTGTGAATGATGAGCCTACCGGGTCCTGCCCCTTAAACTGTAGGTGAACAGCACCTCAAGTCAGATGCTCTGTATTTATTTCATGTAGGTTAAGGCTAAGTGTAGTTAATTTTTGGCTGGGAGATGGTGACCTGTGAATGATGAGCCTACCGGGCCCTGCCCTTTAAACTGAAGGTGAACGGCACGCCCAGTCAGATGCTCTTTTCTATTGTATGTATGTAGGTTAAGGTTAAGTGTAGTTAATTCCTGGCTGGGAGATGGTGACCTGTGAATGATGAGCCTACCGGGCACTGCCCTTTAAACTGTAGGTGAACGGCACGCCCAGTCAGATGTTCTTTTTTATTGTATGTATGTAGGTTCAGGCTAAGTGTAGTTAAATCCTGGCTGGGAGATAGTGACATGTGAATGATGAGCCTACCGGGCCCTGCCCTTTAAATTGTAGGTAAACGGCACGCCCAGTCAGATGCTATTTTTTATTGTATGTATGTAGCTTTGGGCTAAGTGTGGTCAATTCCTGGCTGGTAGTTGGTGACCTGTGAATGATGAGCCTACCGGGTCCTGCCCCTTAAACTGTAGGTGAACAGCACCTCAAGTCAGATGCTCTGTATTTATTTCATGTAGGTTAAGGCTAAGTGTAGTTAATTCCTGGCTGGGAGATGGTGACCTGTGAATGATGAGCCTACCGGGCCCTGCCCTTTAAACTGTAGGTGAACGGCACGCCCAGTCAGATGCTCTTTTTTATTGTATGTATGTAGGTTAAGGCTAAGTGTAGTTAATTTTTGGCTGGAAGATGGTGGCCTGTGAATGATGAGCCTACCGCGTCCTGCCCCTTAAACTGTAGGTGAACGGCACGCCTAGTCAGATGCTCTTTTTTTATTGCATGTATGTAGGTTAAGGCTAAGTGTAGTTAATTCCTGGCTGGGAGATGGCGGCCTGTGAAGGATGAGCATACCTGGCCCCGCCCCTTAAGCGTGCGCCTTTCCGGAATGCTCCCCAGGGAGTGGAGAATGGCCATACATTGTGTCCCCGGTTTGCCTGAATCTGATGACTGGGGTAATAATATATACAGTGTACGGAAAGAGCTTAGACAATTAATTGTCGATGTATTAGATTTTTTATTGACTTTGAAAAACGTTGACACATCATTGATGCAAATTAAGCGCTTTATATTAGCGGGAACTATTATTTTAAAAGTATTGTTTGTTTAAATCAATCAGATATTATCATAGGCGTAGCTAGGGGGGCACAAGGGGCATATGCACCCTATTCAGCCCCTAAAAAAACAAAACATGCAGTACCTCATGCTTCATGTAAGAATTGTGTACCCCCCCCCCCCGCGCGTTCGTGTCACTTGACCAGGCCGGAGCATGCATGCACTGGCGTAACCTACTGATGGGGGTAGGAGGACAGTTGCACCCCCCCCCCAATAATACTCAAACGTGGTTTATTTCTACTTTGATACCAGTGATTTACAAATATTGCTGAAGGCGGGCCCCTGGATGCATATCTGACGGTAATTTAATACCTAAAACCACTAAGCTTCTGTCACAAATAAGGTATCAAAATATGCTTATCTGACCGTTATTAAATGCCTAAAACCCCTGGGGTTCCGGGGGCTCTGCCCCCCTGGACCCCACCTGGGGCCCTAAAATGGGCGTCTGGATGCTCATCCGACGATTATTTAATGCCTTAAACCCCTGAACTTCTGGGAGCTCCGCCTCTGGACCCCACTCCATTTAGTGACCTGACAGTGTCACAAACAAAGTATAAAAAATATGCTAATCTGACCGTAATGAAATGCCTAAAATTCCTGGGTTTCCGCGGGCTCTGCCCCCTGGACCCCACCTAGGGCCCTAAAGGCCGCCCCGAATGCTCATCTGACCGTAATTTAATGCCTAAAACCCCTGAGCTTCTAGGGGCTCCGCCCCCGTGGACCAGCATGCGGAGCCTGCATGTAAGAGTGGTGGTGGTACGGATTTTTCCCCTGCTTAGTCGATCCTTCACGTTTACCCCCCCCCCCCTATTGAAAATTCCTGGCTACGTCTGTGAATAAGATTATTTACTTTAACTTTACCATCTCAAAGACAGAGTGCTGACAAAGTCAAAGTACCGCTCTACCAACTCAATAATATGAAGTAGGCTCTATCAAATCAATTAATCAATCAATCGTCAATCAAGTCATCAATTTAAGCAATCCTTCGTTCGTGTCAATCAATTAATTAATTAACCAACCAATTAAGGAAATGCACTTCAATCAATCAATCACTCAGTCAGCCAATCAATGACTCGTATCAATCAATCTACTTATCCATAATTTGGGGCATTAGAAACTGAATGTACACAATCACAAAGAATTGGTTCCGGTTTATTGACTTTTATTGAAAAACGTTGTAACATACTTATGAGATGAGAAGAAAAATAATCAAGCCATTACACGAAGCGACAAGGATACAGAGGTACATCGTAGGCCTTTACTCCATTATAAAATAGTCACACCGAGACCAGACCGACCGAACAAACTACTATACCTCAGTCACACCATGAACCTGGTCACACCGCAAAATCGACTCGAGATCGACTCTAGACCGACTGACTTATTCGGGGTAATGTGATTCTTCGATCGGTCTGGTATCGGTCTCGTTGGCTGAGTGGCTGAGTTACAACATTACTCCGAATAACCAAGAATCGTTGGATTTGGAGTTGGTATGAAGTCGGTCTAGCGATGCGATTAATGTACTAGTCATGACCTGATTCATAATATTATACACAGGAATCGAGTATTAATACTGTACAAAAATGGAGGTATTTATAAGATGAAATAAAAGAATATTTATAATCAGTATACAAAAGGAAGATACAAATGTATTCATATTAATCATGAATAATGAAAGTGGCAATATAATAATGTGTAACCCCAAACTAAATGCGTAAACAAAATAACAATGTACACAGTACATATATACTGTAACGACCAGCCATTATGTGCATGCATGCATAAGAGATTTACGTTCACTCAAAAATCTCTTATCCTAATTAAAAGAGGATTTAATTCACATATTTTTTAATCATCCTTCCCTCTTTCTCCTCTCTCTCTCTCCGTCTCTTTCCCTCTCTTTCTCTGTCTCTCTCTCTCTCTACCCCTCTATAATTATCTCTTGCATCATCTCGCTATCTTTCTTTAATCCTTATCCCATCCCTCACTAGAAAGTTTATGGCTACATAAAAGTTTGTGGGCGTTTAATGAAAATGACATGTGCACTGAAAATTAAATACAGGAGCAAGTAACGATGTAGTTACGGCTTATACTTCATTAATTTCATCCTCGCATGACCACAATCATCCGTTAACATTGCAAACAATGGTCTTTAACAAAACGTGTAAAATCAATCAATTCATACCTCCTGTCGTCACGCCTGTACCTCATAACTATTTCAAAATAAAGATGGCTAATTTCCTTTCAGTTTCAGGCACTTCCTCGAACCTTCGACTGATCAACCACATCCTAGCGCTGCATCAAATCTCTTCTATGACTTTTCTAATTTGGTCAATCAATTTTGAGATCACTTGTGCCCCCCTCCCACTATTTCTCTTCTGAATAATAGAAAACGTCCAAAGAATACAATATAGTCTTATTCATGTACAATGAACTTACTTAATGTCTCCTCTCTTGTGGCGATGTATAGTCAGAAAGAGTATCCTTCTGCGCAGGCAAAAATAATTCATTCAAAGTTTCTCTTCAATTCAACCAGACATCAAAACTCATTGGCCCGAATTCACAAATGAGGTTTGTCGACAAAGCTCCTTTTGTTTCGACAAGCCTCCTTTTGTTATTTACAAACCAGGTTTGTAAAAAACGCGTCAAAACGCGTCATAATTTTATGATGTACATAAACCTCGGTTTGTCGACAAACCTCCTTTGTGAATTCGGGTCATGGTGACTGCAGGGCCAATGACAAATTAGGAGCTCATAGAGCTCATAAAACTACTCCATTCTCATTATAATTATAACATGCAGACATTATGTAGTCACACTTGTCATTGTGGCCACCTCTCTATAAAAGCCACCTGTCACTAGTGGTCACATCATCTTTCCATAGGAAGAATTTTATAACCTGAATAGAAAGGCCACGTGCCATTAGTTTGGTATGTTTCATTTGACTTGCCTTATTTAGGCCTAACACAAACAAAAAGTTGTATTGCCCTTTGCGACCGACCGACACAAAAATCTACGGTCAGCTTTAAATTTTTTTTTTTTTTTTTTTTTTTTTAAACCGTTGTTTAGAAGAAAATTTTTTATCGAGCATTCAAAACTAAGAAATATCGGCCCGAAGAGGGAGCCCCAAAAAAAAGTACAAGAAAAAAGAAATTCCGACCGACCCATGTTTTGGCACCTAAAGGGCAATACAACATCTTTTTGTTTAAAAGCCTTATAGACCTGCCGGTTTCACTGCATACAATTAAATAATTTATACAACTTAATACGTCATGTATACAATACATGTTATCAATATACTACAACAAAACATCGGAGTACAACAAAAGTTCAAATAGGCCCTTATTTTTGTAACATCTGGTATTCCTCAACTCAGCAATACTTTTTTTTGTCAGCAACATTATGTCAAGTTAATCAAATGGAGCATATCGACTGTCCGTTGTCACACAGTACAGACAATCAAAAGGAACACAAAGTCCTTGAAATATCATTATCAATCGACTTCGTGAAAGTAATGTTACCACCTTTGAAGGAAATTGATGAATTTAAGCAGCACGTAATTTTATAGTCACTTTTGAATGTTTGGAAAAGCCGATATAGAGGTTGTAGAGAATAACAGTTGTCGGCGTAATATTCTATACAAAGTAATTAACCTATTTCGCATTTTTAAGAAATTGCTTCACATTCCTCTTAAGCCGACAATGACATAACCATCATGCTGTAAGCCATTTTCATTCATATTATAGACTTGTTAACATATCCATGACACAGGGGCGGCGGAGTGTCTTACAAATTGGGAGGGGGGCACCTAGCAAGGGAAACCTGAAGCATTTTTTTTTTAGACATTGGTTTATACCCCTACATTGTGACTACACTATCAGAATTATTTCAATATTTGTTTCGTGATGGTCTAAATACTCATTTGTGAGCGAGATAGTACAAATTGTAACATTAAATTTTATGGGGTCGTATTGCGATCTTAAAAAGATGAAGGAAAAAAAAAAGACTGATAGGGTTTAAGACCGATCTCATCATGAAAGACTGAAAAGGGTTTTAATATAATAAGTTACATAATTATATCAACTGTAAATGCAAGAGAGCTTTGGGGGAAATTGAATAAAAAGTAGCATTTAGTAGCTTTAAATTAGGGACGCATGTTATAGAGAAAGGAAAGAGAGCACTTATACCAGAATGGAAGAGCACATTATTAGAAAAGAAAAGGAGCACTTGTCAAAAGTAAAAAGTTCAAAAATCAGAGGTGAAAAGTTACACTTCTAGCACTTGAAAAGGGGCACTCACCAGAGATGAAAAAAGGGGCATTTATTGTATAGGAAAAGGGTCATTTGTCAAAAGAAAAGGGTCTTTTGACGAAGGAAAAGGGGAAAGGGCTTTTATTAAAAAAGAAAAGGGGCACTTATTAGAAAGGAAAATGGGGCATGTTTAACAATAAAATGGGCAGTTATCATTGGTGAAATGGAACACTCAAATGGGATGAAAAGGGGCACTCATAAGAGATGACAGGGGACACTTTTTACAATGGGAAAGGGGTACCTTTCAGATTTTAATTGGTACATTTATGAAAAGGGGAAGAGGCTCTTATTAAAAAAGAAAAGGGGCAGTTATCACAAGGGAAAGGGGCACATATAAAAAAGGAAAAAGAGCACGTGTCATAATTTGATGGACACTTATCAAATTTAAAATGGGGCACTTATTAGAAGGGAGGTGGCTCTTCGTACAAAGGAAAAGGGGCACTTGTCAAAGTAAAGGGGCACCAATTATCAGAGGTGAAGAGGGCACTTATCAGAGGTGAGAGGGCACTTCTGGAGTACTTCAAACAACGGGGGCACTATGCCCCCCCCCCCGGCGAGCCGCCTTTGCCATGACAAAAATAGAAAACAAAGAGGCAAATTCAAATGTTCTGCTTTAGCTACACGATACAGGTAAATATATTTTAAATGAAAAATAGTTATACAATCTGGTTAAGCCACAACAAAATGAACAGGTTGAAATGAATAAGGAAAGTGGAGGTTGGAGGCATAAATAAGATTACAAAGAGAAAGGAGAGGATGATCAAAACGAACACTGTAGAAGGACATGTTGATCCTCAAAACAGTTTAGCTATGTCCATGAAAACGTCTGGTTCAAGAGTTCTTCAAGCTCTATATTATAGGGCGTATAAAATTGTTTTAACTTGTCAACGATTTCATCACTTACTGAGGGGTGCACGCGTCCCTTTGATGGCTTCATACAGGCATAAATAGGCTGAGAAAGACAATAAAAGCGTTTTTGAACATTGAAATGAAAATTCTCAGGCAAAAAGTATGGTTCAATGCCTAAGAATTTCTCTACCTTCTGCATGATTTGATACGGTTCTAGGATCAACTGCTCACCGTCTAGAACCAGAATTTGATCCCTTGAGTAATACTTTAACCATTTCTTCAAATACTTTACGTAGATACTTGTGTCAATAATAGCACTGTTGACATCAATATCGCCTTTATCAGTTAATACCGAGTCTTCAAAGGTGAGCCCCATTTTGTCATAATTGGGATATCGTTGATTATTCTTAGCTTCTATCTTTTTGAAATGTTTTCGAAGCGCGGCTTGCTCTGGAGACATACTGGGTTTGCCATCAGTTCGTTTGTCTCGCAAATGTTTTTCTGAGGTGTACCGCTTGAAGGTAATATGCGTGAAGTCAGAAATTGCTCGTGTCACTGGTTCTCGGAGGACGATGATCAGTTTGATGTCGGGACTGAGATCCTTCTTCATCTTTTCCTGGACGCCAGGATAAACTAAATACCGCGGCGTCTTCTCAACTACGAGTTGATTTGGAAGAGCATACGGTAGTTGATCTATGAACCAGTCTAAGCCCATGAAAATGTTTGTGTCGTAGTAGTGAGCTTCGGTTTCCGCAGCAGCGATTTGCGGATGAAAGCCTAAGAAGTTCTTGAGCGTCGTGGTGCCGCACTTCTTACTGCCAATAATGAGGACATTTGGGACGCTCTTAGAACAACTTCGTTCTTCCAGGACCTCGTTTGAATGGGCTGTATTGGCGAACGTGTTGCTGATGGTATAACAACCGTGGTCATGTATGCTTACAGGGTGACTCTGATCTTTGCTGTGTACGCTTGTCACACCGACCACGCGCAAATCACCGACGATCATAAAAAATGTGACAGTACCCAAAAAAAGCAAACTGCCAAGTATAAACTGCCTCCGATTATTCCACATTGTCGTAGATACTATCCCTGGTCAAAAATCAGAATGACCACTTACAAATTCCAGTAATATCAGGAAAAAGCTGTTAATGTATTACGTTCTTTTGAGGTATAACGGTTTCCAATTTTTCCCGCAAAATATTACAACCGGATTCAAACGGTGGATTGTTCTACTTAGTCTCAATGTTTGACTAAGCTAACTACTAAAGTAACACTTTATATTCACTGTGAATACGGCTGCAATGTCCTACTATCCTTTCATCAGATTTTACGTTGAATCCATCATGAGGGGCACCAACTTAATTTTTGAGTATCACTATCAGAAAAGCGAATGTTGCTGCCGGTAGCTTCTCGTCATGCAGTTCCATGAAGGCAGTGGGACCAGAATCTGAAAAGATACAACGAAAATGAATTTAGATCAGCTGGGTTTACTTCGTAAGTTTTGGAATGACAAATATGACTCAAGCAAATAATTTTGAACGAAAAGGCCAGGAAAGTGTGTCAAGGTTTAGCATACACTATGTCCTGTGGAGCTCCAAAGTCCCATGTGGCATAACTGAAGTGTTCTTGAAAACTATAAGGAAATAATTTGTAGACAGACGGACGGTGTGGGATGTAAAAAAGACGACGTAATTGACGTAATGCCGGTGTATTTCTTTGAACAGATAAATACGAACTACGGATGAAGACATCATGCATTATGAATAAGACTTCCGTTTGTCTTGTCCAGAACAGAGAGGTATTCATTACCAGATGTTTACGAATTAAAGGAATTTATCAACTTAATCACAAGTCGTTGAAGTTTTATTTCCATTTTCAAAAAGAAAAACACACATAATGTACAATAAATAATAACATAAATTACAAACAACATTTTAAGAAATAATTATACAAGTGTACATGTTATTCTTCTTTGCATAACAAAATACATTTGTTTATATAATTCATATTTAACTACAATGAATTATACGATAATCTTATCATACGAAGAAAAATAAAAAAAATATTGCTGTATATTATTATTAATATATCAAATAAAAATGGAGGGATCCACTAAAAAGCATAGCTTGTAGAGTGTGGACCCCTCAACAAATAATGTTATAACAAATTAACCCAATAAAAAAAATAATTAAAAAGTGTTGTGTCTACGGAGACTCCTGAAGAGAACAGGTATTAAGTTACATTATATGGCGTAGTGTAGAAACACAAGGGTAGAATTATGAACTACATGGCCAAGATTATACAAAAGAAAAAGGGCGAGTGGGTGTGGACCGCATGAATGAAGAACAGTATATATGAAAACTAGAAAGTACATAGGAATTAATGTAAGAGCATGGCGATTCTATAACTTTGCAATGAAAATAATTTAAGTTTCATTTAAAACAATTGGGTGAAAATTAATGTTTTATGCATATATCAAGAGTGTTCCAAAATTCGGGACCAACATAAATAAACAACGATAGAACACAAGTGTTTTTAATTTAGCACATGCGCAGGGTAGAGACGGTTTGATCATATTATAATAAGAGGTTAAATAGTTGAGACAATCTGTGTTCATCCAACCTTGCTGTATCTAATCATACCGGGTTTGTAACAATAGCGGGAAAATCCTCGGGAAAATCAATATTATCGACGAGGCTATCCTTGGATATCATCATCGATATTTTAATCGTCATTGGTACACTTTATCATTCGTCATTATATCTGAAATGCTGAATATTATTTTTAATTATATACGACCCACCTCTAATCCTATAACAAGGAAACTAAGATGTTTCCGACCTCAAAATTCGAGGAAGTGTTGTCGCAAAAAGGAAGAAACGAGGCAATTGTTATTCGTAATTAGGACTTGGTTGGTTAACCAAGTTTTGCAAAACTATCCATGTACTTCTTGGTTCGGGCCTAGGATATCAGCAAGACGATTGTCACTTACCCAAGTTTCCTCTTTTATAGGTGGGTGTTTCATTGAAAGGCTTGCAACCTATACTTGCAACCATAACTTGTAACGATCCCTATCAATTTTATGTATATCCAACATTGGTGACGCTAACTTCGAATAAAAGCCAGACAGTTGTGCTACAGGAAGCGATGCACTGAGGTATCCTTCACGGTGTTGTACTTTCCTGGTAATCATTGATGTAGAAATTCTTCTCCATTGTCTACTGCGGAGCGCGGATGTAGCGCATAATTGTTATTTAACAGTAATTAATGCATTATTATCTGGTTCAGGAAGTAGGACATCTAGATTTAGGTTCAGGAGCGGTCATAAAAGATAAATGGGGGGGGGGGGGGGGGGGCTGGCCGCTGGGGGAGATTCTACATGTGCTAATAATGATGTAATAATGATAACCAAGATAAATTTAAGGGGGCTAGAAGAAGCCTGGTAGGACCTTGAACCCCCCCCCACCATATGCCCCTTCTACATCCACTATACTGCATCACTCGCTGTGTTTACATGAATGGCGTTGGTGTTTTGAAGTGAACAAGTTGGCAACGAAATTCAGTTCAAATCACTCGTTTGGAATAACTTAGGAACAGCAGTATGAACTATGACATGAAATATGAGGTCGAAGTCGATGTCTCGGCGAATTTCATGATAACGAAGTTGTGGAGTGATTCCGTCATAAAAACTACTCGCATTGGATTTGAATTACCAAAGTAATCTGCCCATATACATAGTGTAGGAATTTGCAAAGGGTCCACGGAATGAGGTCAACTAATTGACTAATTCCATCTCATAAGACAAGGTCTAAAAGTAACAACCAATATTGGAATACTATTGGTTGAAATATTACGTTAGCAACAACCCCACCCTCTGACATTACTGTGAAAATATATAAACGTTTAGGTCTGTATATGCGCAACTAAAAATAGAATTACACTAATGCAAATAAGCCTGCTAACATGATAATGCGCAATTGCGAATGATATCACCATTCGTCATAACGGGTAGATCCAATGGTGCAGTCGGGGAGCAGTCATGAAGATAGTAAGCCATTGACCTTATGAAGTGAATAACATGCGAGGGAGCAAAATGATCAAGCGTGAAGGGTCTGGGAAACATTAGAGAGTGTAATCCTCTTCCTCTCTTTGAATATTTGGGCTAATGATTGTACCTTCAGTAATGACTCTATAATGAAAACCAATCACTCAGAGATATCAAACATTCCATGAAACAATTACAACGAATAAAATGTTTACATGTTTATCGACGTGAAGTCAATTCTAGAGCTCACTTTGAATGAATCAAGAATCAATTTTCAAATAAGAAAAAACACAAACGCCGATGAGCTTGTTTTTTAAATAGTTTTTTAAAGGTTCGGGATAGAGAATGCACGTTCTCCTACAACAACTATGTTGATTTGGTGAACAGACTGTGGAACCGTTAGACCGATTTCATTTCCCGAGCTAAACACCCGCTGTACAATAAATATTTGTGTTCGGAATAAAATACATCATCAATAACTTCATTTCTGTCGAGATACTGTTTTATTTCACAAAATGTGTATCAAGGTATTGATCAGCATCACATAGGATTTGGTGAACCCTGTAAAAATAATGGCGGGTGTGTGATTGTTCTTATTATAACTATCATACCTGTTATGAAATCCCACTTCTATGCGTGATTACTTTTGGCCTACTCCAGATTCTCTTGGCATGCGGTAGAGATTGTTTGTCAAGTCAAAGTTGAAGTTTTTATTTCAGTTTCAGTCCAAATGGCGGTCAGCAGCTGATACCCTCGTAAGCTAAGGCTATGAACTGTGTATTCGCTTGAAGATCTTTGACATACCGGTCACCTTACACCTGCCTGCTTTTACAGCGTCTTTTCGTGTCCAACATACATCAACCATACATCAACACTGATCACAGGGATTTAGAGAAGTCACTTCGTATATATTACTAGAAGAGAGAATACCGTGAGAAAGCACGCATACCAGTTAGGCCCATCCCTCCAAGAAATGGAAAGGCTATATATGTAGTTCTATAGGACTATCGTAAAGACATAGGTCATGAAGGTTTGGCTCCTTGACATTGGGCTCGTTGTAGACTCAAACTTTTACGATCGTTTCGACGATGAACGTAGTACAAACAGAAATTATTACAGACCTCAATACAGGCATTGCGTGATCAATCGTAAAATATGCGAGTCTTGTTGTGGTGGAGGGGCGGGGACTGGGGAGGGGGTGAGCGGTGAGGTATGAACTGTTTTGCCACACCATCATCTCGTCCATGGGGAATAGTTTGGGCGATGCCGATACATATCTCTAGCAGTTCACTTCGCCATAATAAAAAAGGATATATGTCACCACCAAGATAGGCATATTCAAAATATTACAAATAAAGTAGAATCACGGCCCCCAAAACTAAAATTAAACATCTCTCTCGGAAAACATTGAATACAATTCCTTCACTAATTTTCGAATCAATTCCCTCCTTTATCTCGCGCAGTCAGACATCACACAGATCGGAAAAGACGAACCCATGCAAGGACATTATACTGGAATGTTTGACTTGTTTCTTGGCTACGGCATTCAAGACAGTCTACCACTCAGGATATGACATTGAGTTTTGAAAAATGAACTTGAACATTTCTCACCTTTCTCTCAGAAAGGTAACAAGCAGCATACTTGCAGTTATCGACGTGTTCCAAATTGATGTTGATGCCGGGGTCAATTTAATGTCCCGCGGTGCTAACTGCATCCAGTTATCTCGTTATGTGCGGTGTTGATTTGATTTTGTTTGTGTGAAATTCAGTTTGTTTGTTTTCTTCTTCCTCCACATCAACAAGGAAATGACCCGATCCCTGACAGCGCAAGCGCCAAACCACCAACGACCTAGCCTTTGGTGTAGATTTGCAAGTCCAAAATCTTTGAAAATGAGGATAATGGTAGTGCAAATAAACATGAATTGCAATCAATAAATCATAATTACATTTTATCAAACCGAGGAAATATTGCGTTCTAATCCTGATTTGCTATACCGTTGTTACTGACTTGACTGCATATAAGTGGTAACCAGCAACTTGAAAAGGTAAAGCCACACAAAAAACATATACTTCTGGTACTCAGAGGTTGAAAACGTTAGGTTTTTAATATCTAATCGCCCATACCACGCCGTCTTCTATAATGAAATAATAGAATCGAGCTCCGAGTGAAATCAGGTTTTTGTATTGGTCCGCTAGCTACAGGTATGACTTCCACTCGGGGGAGGGGTTAGTTCAAATAAGCCACCGATTGAAAATAAAGTCAAAGAAGAAGAGCGCTGGGACACAATATCGTATTTAACGTGTCATATAATGTTTATTTTCCAATCACTGACCTGTATCAACTATAATTCTAACAGTATTTATTATCACACAATGTCATGAAAATAATATCAATAATCCATAAGATCTCTGTCTTCTCTTCAACATATATTTATATCAAAATACACCTTAAGCTAAAATATACTTTAAAAGCCTTAACTTGTTGATCTAAATAAATGGGACATTAAGGGTTGGGAAGGGGGAGGTTAGTTAGAAATTGTTAGTACAGTGGCTACTTACATACAGCGCGGTAGACTATTCGCGATTTGAATGGATATACTGATTCGGCCGTTTACAGACGAGATGAAAAGACGATCCTACGGGTCTGGCAACAGGAAAGATGGAGACGGGAACGGAATCGGGAACACAGTTGCGGGATCAGGACGACAGGATATACAGCAGGAACACAGGATCAAATTCAGTAACTCGGGATCAAAATCAGGAACACAGCATCAAATTGGCATAGGGTTAATGGTACCTATTTGCCGACGTATCTGCAATCAATGTTCCTCTTAATATGAATCAGTTCATGACACTTTCAAATTAAATTCCCTCGAAGTATGTTGTTTAATTTTAGTTGAATATTCCTGACTTGGTGATTAAAGTGACGTGACTTTCTTGAACGATTCTGGAACAACGCTGTACTTCGATAACTTTCTGAGTCTAAAACGTGTTGATTTTCACATCCAGCAATTAGTAGTTAGTTCAGGGACAGCTTGATGGAGATGGGAGGACAGGGGTACAGGTAGGGGAGACCAAGTCGTGATGGAGCCAAGTGAATTAAACATTCATGCAAACTACTTTTAAACCTCATTAAACATTCATACTCGACTTTTCCTCGGATTATCTTATTGTTCATTACTTTAAAAGGGGAAGGGGTCTAATCTAAGACTCTACTCTTATTGGGTCAAGGTCACCACTCATGGCCAAAGACACAGTCCTGTGAAGTGTTCTTCAAATATTATTTTAAAGAATAGTCACGAAGCATGAGTGACCCCACAGAGCCCGTCTGATATCTAAATTCCCTTTCATAGAGCTTAAAGGTATTACAAAGTTTTGGTATGGGGTCGTGAATTTGGTTCAAAGGAACATATTGGAAGCATATGCTATCCTACGATATTCACTGATCGTTGTCGCGGTCGAAATTGACTCTAAAGTTATGAAATTGTAAATAATAAACACTTTATATTGTATAGCTCCCTCTCAAGGTCAAGATATTAATTAAGCTGTAAAACAACGTTTCTTGACTAAAATCGACCGATTAGCTATTCCCGTTCGGAAACTATATACCACAACTACATACTCTGAGATTTTCATGGTCGCAGCTACCATTGTACGGCCCTAGGAGCTATTTTAATTTTTTCAAAATTTACCGGGAGCACCGGTAAATCTTCATATTCAATTTTTCTCGAAAGCAGAAGTGTTTTAGGGGCTAAAATTTCTAGCACTTTTAATACATCCACAGGGGCATCCAAATATATCAAAATTGTAAAGAATAACTATCCACCCATTTTTCAAAATGTCCCAAAACTTTGTAATACCTTTAATCTCTATTATTACAGATTTATGAAAGGCATTAAAATCTAGTACACTAATAGTACTTAGTATTGTATCGAACAGGATGGATTAATACTGTGAATGGCACTAGGGTCATAAAGGCTATACCCCAGTATGGGAACGGGTTAGCTTTAATAGGTGGAGACATGCCAGCACATTTTATAAATACATCTATAATCAATAAAGACTGTAGAGAAAGATACAGCTGAAAGAGACAAAGATAAAGAGACAGCGAGAGAGAGAGAGAGAATACAAGAAGAAGAGAGAAGGACTACATGACCAATATTCCACCATGTAAAGATGTTTCTTGACATCTTGCGGCCATTTTTTAGACTTCTAACTTCAAAGCCACCCATTTTTATATTTCACCACCCAGAAATATCGATTACTTCAAGATATAAAAAGATCTTTCATGAACATATCCCCAATCCGATCCTGGTGTTTAAAGTCATCTCAGAATATGACTGTACTTTCCACAAGTTCTCCCCAAAACTTCCCCCCAAAACTTCCTTGTGATAGTGTGTAAAACCTCCTCTTCTCCCCACGTTTTCCCTTTTGTGTTGTTTTTACAACATTATTTTGTATTGGTCCTCAAATAAAAAGCCTTGCTTGTCCAAAGAGGGACTACCCCTATCCTGTCAAAGTAGATTACTTGAGAAGAGAGCATAGCTTCACGTTTTCTGTTTGTTCGATTTGACACTGATGGATCTAACATAGCGACCTTGGTCACCTGCGGAATTCAACAAAAATGTTCATGGAAATGACATGGGGGAACAAGGCAGGATTGGAAGGGTTCGGCGAGATCACCTTCTTCTACACCCCGTCTACAACACCCGAGATCCAACTATTGTCTCTGGGGATATAGAGTCTCGTAATGTCAATTTATCAGACAATTCAGAGATTTCTGAAAGGGGTGTTGTCAAAATCTTGTATACTTGCTGGTCTCTGTTTCGATTTTGTTGTGCATTAACCATTGACAGGTGTAAGTGGTTCAAGAGCAGTGGCGGATCTAGGGGTGGGGGAACGGGGGTGCTGTCCCCACAACATCCCCAAATCCAATCGGGCATACCTGAAGTACGCATCAAATCGATAACGAATAATATGCCCCAAATGTTCATGAAAATTTGATGATTTTTTTCAGACCTTTGCCCACTAACCTCTTCCCCTCCGGCTGCGATTGAAAAACATGATAGGAATATTTGGAAACAGGAATTCAACATCTTTCGCGTGGGATTATGCAGAAACGTAAATTGTAAAGGATGACACAACAATCCAAGTTCATGCAAAACCCGTGCAAATCTCAACTCGATCCATATGCGCTATTCTCATCATAGCTCCATGGTTAATGATGGGACTGTATCTAGAAAGGAACTGGTTAATATTCACTACTCTATAAAATGGGTTACTTTGATCTCCTTGCTTTGAATAAAGGGAAAAGAACATACATGCACTGAAACAGCGAAGCGTGGGGGCACGGGTTTGTGGGTGTGGGAGACTTTTACTCCTTGTTTACCTTTTTGCAATCATTTAATGGAGAGGGAGTGTGGGGGGGGGGGAGATACCCCCTTTTTCTTCCTTGTTTACCTTTTTGTAATCATTTAATGGAGAGGGTGTGTGGGGGGAGATATCAAACTTCTTGATATCCTGTTCCTTTTCGAAACCCCCTTTTCTTCCTTGTTTACTTTTTGTAATCATTTAGTGGAAAGGGAACGTGCCCCCATGCCCTAGCTACGCCACTGTCTTGTCACTGCAATGACATTGAAAATCACTAACAGGCAAATAAATGTCCTTTCTATTGAATAAGCCAGTTCACGGTTGCAGTCTGAGCATGAGCATATAAAGGTCATTGCAGAAAAAATTGTGAAATACATGGAGACGAAATACTGGATATATACGTATATATCGTAGTTATCAGACTCTATTGTATTGTTAAGTTCTAGGCCTTCAATGCTGGACATTCTCCTGTTACGTCAACTTTTTTAAAGCAATTTAAGTACAAGACATGTACAAGGTATGTATCTCCTTGGTAAGATGTACACAATCAATGAATGATACCGCACAAGTATAGTAGAATGGTCGTATGAAGTTTCCATCTGTTTCAAGAAAAAGGTCAAGGTGTTATATTTGAATCATGAAGTACCCTTATACTAGGCTTAACTTAAAGACTTTTAGATCGAATAGAAAGACCAACCTAAGCAACGACTTCCTTCCATTCGAGTTGTCCACTTCGTCTACTCATAACTTCCGTTTGCAAATAACACTCAAACTGGACCCCCCCCCCTATAAAAAAAAAAAATCAACGGATATGACGGATATGTATTTAGATTGGAGCACACCTGTCATTGACATTGAACCGTAACGACTTCCATTTTACAGTGGTAAAGACGGGCTCCCAGTAGATGATAGCCTGATCGTTATGTACTTGCAGGTGTTACACGAAGATATTTTGTGAATACCGGGAAGCTCCCTGGCTGTGCTGCACAACTAATTCGTTATTTCTATCTCGTTACTTCCAGACTTTGATAGATGGCTTTAGATGCACGATCAAACTTCCATCTGATAGTACGACAGCGCAACTGTCAGCCTTAAAGCAGTATCCACACTAATCATCAGATTAGAGAGAGAAGTACTTACAACATAGAGCTCTATGATATCATGTTGCATTCTCGGTAGGAATATTCCCATCATCATCCATTCGCAAAAGATGGTGGCCAACCCGCGGCCCGCGGAGCATTGGAAAAGTAATTATAAAAATAGCTCATTAAGGCAAAAAATTTTTTTTTTTTTTAGCGTCCTGCCTTTTTGAAAAATAGGAAGGAGGGGGCCCTTTTTTTCTTTTTTTTCCCCTCCAAAATGGCCGCTCTGTACATTTTCCCTGACAGTCGGGCTATTTTTCAAGATGGCCGCGGGCAGTGCTTTTGATGTTTTTTTCTTTAAAAAAAACACTAAACATATATATATATATATATATATATATATATATATATTTCAGCAAGAGCCATTTGTGAAATCACACTAAAAAAGTGAGCCTTATTTTTCCCACTGATTGTGTTGTTTGCTGGTTTGTTTATGCAAAATTGCAGGTGTGTACACGTATTGCAGTGGTGTGTGTGTGTGTGTGTGGTGTGTATGTGTGTGTATGGGGTGGGGAGGGGGGGGGGTGGGGAGAAGACTACCTACGGTCCGCCAAGTTATGCCAAATTACGCAAATAATGGAGCGAAAATAACAGAGAGCCTTACAAAATTCAAGTACTTATACACGATCGACCAGAATTGCATATTTGAAACAGGGAGATGTTTGAAAGTAGACAATCACTCAGCACAGGATAAGAAAGTAGCCCACACAATGACAAGGATCATGAATATGGTCCGTCAAAATATAACCCTATACTCCGGATATCATTCATATTTCTCTGAAAACATGTTGTTCGAGGCTACATGCAATTGGAGTAGGGTGGGCGAACGTAATAATACAAACCTTTCGCAACCCCGGGCCTCTCTCTCGGGTGGTTATGGGCCTATTAAACGTTTTGGAAAAAAGAAAATGGTGATGCCCATGACATCTGCACTACCATAGAATCACATGCACTAAATAGTTTGTGCGACGCCATTATCATATCCCATTGGAATGTGTCCCTTTCTCTTAATTCTTGAGCACAATCATTATGTGTATCATGAGTACTGTAGTCAAAATCATTGTGTAGCAGGCTAGCATGCACAGCTAAGGCTTGTTCGACTATTTATTAATGTTCAACAACCACCCTGATCAGCAAGAATGCTGTTTTTCATACTGATCCATTCAACAAAATTTGTACAGACAGACAACTTTGTTAACTTTTGCCCTGTATATTTCTCTTGCAGTCTTGTCACTCTTTTAGTCTTACATCTGTCAGGATAATCAGGGATGTATTTTCCTGACGTAATGCCAATGATGTAACGCATGCAGAGTTCTGCACATCGTCAAATGCAGCTAGACCAGCATTGGCGTAATTTGGCTGTAGCCATTGAGAGGGCACAAGTATCAAGAGGATGGGGATGGCACCGGGGGGGGGGGGGTGAAATTACTTTAACAAGCCCGATAATGAGATAGAGAAGGGTGTTGGAGGGGATCCTTCGTCTTTTTTTCTCGTTTCCTGTTCCCTCCTCCTTTTTTTCTTGTCCCTTTTCTTCCAATATTTTGCCATTAAATGGGGGGGGGGGGGCATGTATCCCTATGTCCCGTACCTATGCCAATGAGCCTTTCAGATCAAAACCTTGAACCCCAAAATCCAATTTTCTACTACGCCAACTTTCGGATGAAAATTCGTTGAAAAACGATCAACAGTATCAAACCGAAGTTGGTAACCCAACAAGTTTCAACGAAGTGGAACTATTAATCAGTACATGGACCAAGAA